GTACTGTAGAATCACGCTGTTGTGATGTGGAAGTAATCTGAATGAACCTTGTTAGCGGGAAAAGCGGCTATAGGAAAGCCCACTTTTCGTGCTACATTTCGGTTTCTGCATTCAAGATTAAAGACGAATGGCTTTATACCTTGACGGTGTGAAGAGAGGTCCGTATTAATCCAGGCTGCATCTTGTTTGTGTATTCCATGTATCTGGGTTATGTATGGTGGCTGATTGGTATCATGTCGTCATGTCGTGATGTCGCCTTTCATAACGCGACAACCCGACATCACGACATTTCTACCCGACATTACGACAACCCGACAAAAATGTCGTAATGTCGAGTAAAAATGTCGTAATGTCGGGTTGTCGGGTTGTCGTAATGTCGGGTAGAAATGTCGTGATGTCGGGTTGTCGGGTTGTCGCGTTATGAAAGGCGACATTACGATATGATACCAATCAGCCACTATAGTCGTAATGTCGTGATGTCGCCTTTCATAACGCGACAACTCGACAACCCGACATCACGACATTTCTACCCGACGACACGACAACCCGACATCACGACATTTCTACCCGACATCACGACACTAAAAATGTCGTGATGTCGGGTAAAAATGTCGTGATGTCGGGTAAAAAGATCGTGGTGTCGGGTTGTCGAGTTGTCGACTTCCATGATCAATGTTATAAGCGGCCACGATGATATTCATAACAAAAAACTGGCAATTAAGAAAATGGTTGATCGAGTGGAAGTAGATTCACACTCACCATAGGCGTACGAGGCGGGGGTGGGGGCGGGAGGGCACCAAATATTTTCATGAAAAAAAATAGAAATCTGAAAAGAGCTCAGAATTGTGAGATCTTGTGGGATCGGTCATTAGCCGAGGAGTTGTTGAAAATGGGGTGGGGGTAGGGGTATGGCCTTGTCGGGGAAGGCTATGGTCTTGTCGGGAATGAATGCTCAGTTTGTCGGGAAGCGTTGCGCCGTCTGTCGGGTTTTGAATATTTTTAATAATATGGAAGCGGAAAGAAAGCAGTCCAGTCAATGATGAACACGTACGCCATCTGAATAGAACTAGCACGTACACATGGCCTTTCTCAGTTCTTGACTGTGTTCCTGTATACTGGCATCCAACTCCATGCACCGGACGAGCCCAGTGATAGAAGTGATCTGAAAAGCAGTATAAACTCTCTGTTTATGCCTTCCCTGATAAAAAAATGTGAAGTCTCATAAAATGAAAAATGTGGCAAAAGTAAATCGTTCGACTTGTTCTTTGTTTTCGTAGTAATAGAGCTTGTATTTTAAAGATGACTTTTACCAGTTTTTATGCTGCAACTGACATAATTTACTACCCACTCCAAATTACTAGAAAGTATTCGAAATGCCTGGAAATCGCGTCTACGGCCGTCTGGTTTTCAAAATTTTATGGGGGAGGCCCCCCAGACCCCGCCATCGGACGGGAAAATATGCTGGCCCCCCAAACAAGATCGGCCACGTACGCCTATGACACTCACAGTGCAGTTTGAGTCGCATTCGTATCCATTTGTATACGTCCACATTCATAATGTGAACCGTCTTCATTAGCTCAGTCGGAGCAGAACAGTGGGACGTTAAACCCCATTTCATTTCATAATGTGAACATATTATGAAGCCGCCCTTGTCTGTGTGTCTGTCATTGAGTCAAGTGGTGTGGTTTCCACCCCAAGCTTGTACATGACAAAGAGTAGGGTCGTCTGTCTAACCTCGTGGGTTTTCCCCGGGTCCCCCGGTTTCTTCCGACTGCTGAAGACCCCTACGCGCAAGCGAATTATTGAAATAAAATTGAACCATATGTTAGTCCCGAAATGACCTAGTTTGTGTCGAGTGGACGTTAAACCCCTCTCTCTCTCTCTCTCTCTCTCTCATGATCAAACTCAGAATTAGCTAGAATCAAGGTTATTGTGTCCCAAAACATCGACCAATCAAATTGCTTATCTCTGCTTAGCCTTAGGAAAATCATAAATAAACAACAAGATTATGAACATGTTAACGATTGTATACACAGTCAGTTAAAAGCCTGATTAAATAAATGTGTTTTAAGTTGTTTTTTTAAACGAATATAGAGATGTACAACATGGTCAAGATATAACGCGACAACCCGACATCACGACAACCCGACAACCCGACATCACGACAACCCGACAACCCGACACCACGACATTTTTACCCGACATCACGACATTTTTAGTGTCGTAATGTCGGGTAAAAATGTCGTGATGTCGGGTAGAAATGTCGTGATGTCGGGTTGTCGTGTTGTCGGGTAGAAATGTCGGGTTGTCGAGTTGTCGCGTTATGAAAGGCGATATCACGACATTACGACATGATACCAATCAGCCACCATAGTCGTAATGTCGTGATGTCGCCTTTCATAACGACATTTCTACCCGACATCACGACATTTCTACCCGACATCACATTTTTACCCGACATTACGACACTAAAAAATGTCGTGATGTCGGGTAAAAATGTCGTGGTGTCGGGTTGTCGTGATGTCGGGTTGTCGTGATGTCGGGTTGTCGAGTTGTCGACTTCCATGATCAATGTTATAAGCGGCCACGATGATATTCATAACAAAAAACTGGCAATTAAGAAAATGGTTGATCTAGTGGAAGTAGATTCACACTCACCATAGGCGTACAAGGCGGGGGGGGGGGGGGGGGCGGGAGGGCACCAAATATTTTCATGAAAAAAAATAGAAATCTGAAAAGAGCTCAGAATTGTGAGATCTTGTGAGATCGGTCATTAGCCGAGGAGTTGTTGAAAATGGGGTGGGGGTAGGGGTATGGCCTTTATGAAAGGCGACATTACGACATGATACCAATCAGCCACCATAAATCAGCCACCATAGTTATGAAAGATAGCCCTGGTATTGAAATTGAATTAATCTCTGTTCATTCTATGTTAAACAAGATCTGTTTATAGGTTTCCATGGGCAACCACACTACAGCAGTTTAATATAGAAATTTAACACAGATCAATGTAATGTTTACCCTATACGGTTATGGATTGTCAGTTTACAACTATAGTTGGATTTAAATAGGTAATATAGTATATTTAATATACATAGTCGATTGTATGTTTGTATTCCAGGATAATAATGTAAGCCAATACACTTTTCGGGAAGCTTTTACTGTCGGTTGGAGATTCTTGTAAATGTGTGCACAGAACAACCAGTGAGTAACATGCGATATCGCTAATAAACAAAGCTTTTGCATGAGGTTTTGAATGTGTAGTGTTACTAGTGTAGGTAAGCTATAGCCCGCCTTGTATTTAACACACCAAAGGCTTAAAGGATTATGGTTATTTGTAAGCCAGTTGATGTTATATGTGCCTTCCGTGTCATTCTGATTCTGTTTGATGGAATCCCTAACTTGAATTTCCACGACCCACCTTCGAGGTGTAGAATGTCATTAAGCGCAGTTGAGCACATGATTTTTTACACACAACCCCACAACTTTGTTTAACATAGAATGAACAGAGATTAATTCAATTTCAGTACCAGGGCTATCTTTTATAACTATGGTGGCTGATTGGTATCATGTCGTAATGTCGTGATGTCGCCTTTCATAAAGGCCATACCCCTACCCCCACCCCATTATGTCGTAATGTCGGGTAAAAATGTCGTGATGTCGGGTAAAAATGTCGTGGTTTCGGGTTGTCGTAATGTCGGGTAGAAATGTCGTGATGTCGGGTTGTCGGGTTGTCGCGTTATGAAAGGCGACATCACGACATTACGACATGATACCAATCAGCCACCATACATAACCCAGATACATGGAATACACAAACAAGATGCAGCCTGGATTAATACGGACCTCTCTTCGCACCGTCAAGGTATAAAGCCATTCGTCTTTAATCTTGAATGCAGAAACCGAAATGTAGCACGAAAAGTGGGCTTTCCTATAGCCGCTTTTCCCGCTAACAAGGTTCATTCAGATTACTTCCACATCACAACAGTGTGATTCTACAGTACAATAGTGGGATCATTCTGCACACAGAGATCCATCTACTTCATACTTTGATAATAAATCTCTGTCCTAAATGGCCGCCATTCCAAAACTCAGTATACTATTTTGTAATGCGGTTCTACTCCGGTTCACATCTGGCATATACACAAAGACTAAAATTTCGTTAGATGGAAGAACAATAAATACTTTTCAAAATTGTCGAATTAGGACTTAAAATTAGGAGCTAAGTGTAGACAGGCAGCCCAAGTTTAGTATGACGTGGGATAATATAGTGACGGCTTTAAGGTATGTTGTAATTAACAATTTACGTTATGGAGATGGTTCGGCATATAAAAAGGTCTTCACACGCGAATTTGCTGGTTGTGGTCTCAGTATTGTCGAAAATAACATCATTTCTATATGTTAGAACATGGAGAAGCCACCATATCCCGTTCTACCTGAGCATATCCAGAATGGAGAATCGGCAACACCACCACCATCCTACGAAGAAGCAATGGGTCAATATCAGTCGTCTGTTTGTAAAAATGAACAAGAGTTACCCCCGTTAGCCTATATTGACATTTTACCAAAGTGCCTGGTACCTGGTGCTGTTGAAAACAAAATACCTCCAAAGTTCCAATCTTTCAGGTAAGGCCCAAATTATCAGTCATTTAAATATAATTATGAAGAGTCCACACCATACGACCCCTACCTCCATTCTGACCCCAAAATAGGCCTTTAGAGGCGGTTAAGAGCCAAAGTAGCCTACGCCCAAAATGGAGATAAATTAAGTTTAATGTATAGGCCTACTGTCTCCATGTTGTGTTTGTTTTATATTTCAGTGAAGTTTTGAAAGATGCTAACGCATGGTTACAATGTAACCCTGGTATTAGAGTGTGGAAATGCGAAACCGTGGAGAGAAAAGTAGAGAAAGGACCGACAATATATCTCGACTCGACCTTATTACACGAACCAACTTATGGTTTTATAGCATACGTAATAGGATTAAGGTCAGTCGGTAATTAAGATCCTACTTTAACTGAATTGTGGAATGTTTTGTATTTTTATGAAGTTGACCATACCATAGTTTGAAAAATTTGTAAATTTAAAAAGGTAGGCTATTGATTATTTTTATTAGTGAATGAGGACTTGGCCACAAAGACTGTTTGAAGCCTCTCGTCTAACCATACATATATGCGAAGCTGTTCGTACCATGTCCCGCTCCTAATACATTATGCAAGAGCTAAATCTGCCTATTGCGAGTCTTTATTTAGGTTTCAGATGTTAAAAAAATTATTAATTAGACCTTTATTTACATGACAAGCTGTAGACACTCGGATGGTTTGGATACAGTTTGGATTTAAACAGTCGTCCATTTAAAATTAAATCAATACATGGCTGGCCAAGCGGAAGTTTACTGTTAGTCACTGACGTCACTACCGGTGACTGTCGATGAAAGGCCTGCCATTGAGAATGATACTTGATAATCGAGAATATGTGGGTGGAGTTATCTTTTGTCAATCAAGCGAAGATATTAGCCTTTGAATGTTTGACAAGACGTGTGCAATAATTTCAACAACCGTACTGGTTGTTGGAAGCTAAGTCTCGCTCCTCCATTTTTAGCTTAAATCAAAATATGGCTGATCTGTTCTAATCTATTTAATATCGGAGAAATCCGATGCCATCGAGAGTTGATTATGGCCTGGATTAGTTAATTAATGTCTAGTTAATAATTTAGAAAACATTTCAGGCCTAAAGAAAGACCTACAATAGGCAGATTTAGCTCTTGCATAATGTATGCTTAAGTAGGTTAATGCTACAATAACATTGATTTCAAGGTGAATTGTTTTATAAATAAAAGTGATTTGTGGGGTAAACAAGACAGTTTGCTCTTAGTCATTAGAAAGATATGAAAAACTGGGGTACGTAATACAGATTTGTAGTGCACGTAAAATATCCTTTAGCCCGACAAAATGTCTTCCTATGGCATTGAAAAACATCACCAAATATGCCTTTTTTTAATTTGCAGACTATGGTTAACTAAAAACAAAGACTCGGATTGTGCAGTACAACAACTGGGTGTTTACAATGTTGTTCCTGAAAAAAAAGAAATACCGGTCTCATATAGGGCTGGTTTTATGGGCGGTGGGATGGCAATTGGTGGGTCTTTTGTCATGGCGCCGGGTACGATAGGTCGTGCTAATCTTCGATTGCAGTCGATTATCACTTATGAGGGATTGGCGAAAACTTTAGAAAGAATTAACAACAAGTTCAAAGTAACGCCACTTCCAGGTAAGCAAAGCAAACCAGTACATTCAGGACTTAGAATAGCATCTGTTCTTACAAAGTGTTACCGGGATAAACTGATACATACTGAACGCTAATTGCAAAAATATTCAATCTTGGGCCATAAGATTAAACTATTGCGCTTTGACCCTTCTGTTCTACAACACCTGCTTTCTTGGTTTATCCAACAATGCAATTCTACATTTGTGCACCAACTGGACTAATGAAGACAGGCATACGCCCGGACAGCAATTGAATTCCAACTTTCGGGCAATGTGACTTTTCGGGCAGACGGGTAAAGTGAAAACAAATATTATTATTTCTTCTAGTTGGCAAAATAAAGTGCCCGAAATACAATAAAACACTAATTTTACTTTTTTTAATTGAATAAAACAAATTTGTCCTGAATTGGCTATGAATTAAAACATTTTGTTTGGAGCCACTCAACTCTGTGCGACATTTTTCGAGCATCGATTATTATTTGTAAATGCAGCTCCAAAAGTATGATGGGATGGTTGGAATTGAAATCGGCATACAGTTGGATTTCGCTTGCTATTCCAGCCAAATTACTTGCGACGATTGATTAATTGGTTGGGATTCAGGTCAGCCACCTTAGGTAGTCTATAGTGGACCGCATTGAAGTTGCTGTATTCACGTTCTGGAATAAAACAAATTTGTCCTGAATTGGCTATGAATTAAAACATTTTGTTTGGAGCCACTCAACTCTGTGCGACATTTTTCGAGCATCGATTATTATTTGTAAATGCAGCTCCAAAAGTATGATTGGATGGTTGGAATTGAAATCGGCATACAGTTGGATTTCGCTTGCTATTCCAGCCAAATTACTTGCGACGATTGATTAATTGGTTGAGATTCAGGTCAGCCACCTTAGGTAGTCTATAGTGGACCGCATTGAAGTTGCTGTATTCACGTGCTGGAATAGCAGGAAAATGCGTTTGCGACAGTTAAATTTTCACCCTATGAAACCCTCTCCGCGGACTGTAAATTGGTTGATGGGAATTCAAGTCACTCACCTAAGTTAGGCTATATTAGACCACTTTAAAGTTCTGTATTCACTTGCTGGAATATTCGTGTAACGGGGGAGGGGGGACGCTGTCAGTAACTCCAAATTTTTTCGGGCATCTCAGATTCTGCCCCCCCCCCTCCCCCTAACATTCATCGAGCCCGTACGCCTATGTCCTTTCTAACTAAAACATATTTTGTAAACTTCTGCTAATTTAGGAAGTATACTCAGCATTGAAACTCGAAAAAACAAAATAGCTGAAGGTTTTGGAAGTATTGATATTGATCCGGAAGTTACCAGCTGGTCCGAGAAAGGTGCTACCACTTCTAAAAGATATGTTCATATAATGAGAATATTTTACGTCCATGGTCAACCAGCCAATCAGGAGATCTGTAAGAAATAATATTTATTGTTTTTTGTTTTTTTTATATATACGCCCACATTTTCGTGTGGATTTATTATGCCGTCGCCCGCGTCCGTCCGTCCACAATTTGCTTGTGGACACTCTACAGGTCACAATTCTTATCCGATTTTGCCAAAATTTGAAATACAGGCTTATCTCCAAAAGATCTCGGCACCTTTCGATATTGGCATGTATCGGATTGATACTTCATTGGTTATGCCCCCTGATTGTACGAAAAATGGGGGTTTTAGCTTGTGGGCACTCTAGAGGTCACAATTTTGATGAAACTTGCAATACATGTTTATGACCCAAGATCTTGGTTCCTTCCTTTCGATATTTGCGCATGTCGGATCATAACTTCCTGAATTATGACCCCTTATAATTGTACGAAAAATTGCGTTTTTAGCATGTGGTCCCTCTAGAGGTCACAATTATTATCCGATTTAAAGAAAAAACGTTCGAATATTACACCGAAATGTTGGTTGAGTTTGAATTTCGTGATAATCGGACCAAAAGTTCCGGACAAAATGGTCGCCCCACATGTATATCAAGGTTGTGGAGCCTCTAAAGGTCACAATTTTGATCCGATAATCACGCATATTGGAACGTAACTTCCTGGATTATGGCCCCTGATTGTTCGAAAACTCACATTTTTAGCTTGTGGGCCCTCTAGAAGTCACAATTTGGATTCAATTTTAAAAACTGTTTACATATATCACCGTTGCACCTCAGTGAAGGTTGACTTTGAATTTCATAAAAATCTGACCGAAACTGCCGGACAAAATGGTCGTTCCTTGTTATTCAAATAGTCTAAAAGTTGTGGCCCCTCTAGAAGTCACATTTTTTATTCCATCTAGATGAAACTTAAAATATATGTTTATATTGAAAAGATTTTGGTTCCTGTCAATATTCATGCTTATCGAGCCGTAACTTGATTATGGCCTCAGGCTGTACAAAAAAATCAAGTTTTTGTTTAGCTTTTTCTCTGTCCATCTCTTGCAAGATGTGGGCGTATCTTGCCTGGCAACCACTGGTTTATGTGTGTTGCAGTCCTCCTCCACTTATCAATGCTGGTCGTCGAAGACATTAAGCGCAATTCCATTACTGCAGTTCACTTGTCCCAGATCACTATTGACAATCTTTTCAGTCATCAAACGAAACGTTGTGTGTATATAATTTACTGATTGTTATCCATGGAACTGTGTTGTGGTATATTATATTCAATCGCTTAATGCCATTCAAAGTTTATATAAGTTATTGTTTTATATTAATTCGAATTTACATAATGTCAACTATTGTTTTCTACAAGACATGCATGAAGTAAAACCAGAAATGATATATCCCAGTGAATTAAGTAAACCGGCCAAATTTGAACATTTTCAAGAGGTTCTGAAAAAAACTCAATCCTGGTTAAAGTGCCAGTCAGTAAGTATTTGGTAAACTAAAATAATATTATGAGGGCGGTGGCATCCTGGGACGATAGTCTGTCGGAGTCAGGTTAGTTGGCTGCACAGACCACAGTTGAGCGACCGATAGTAGAAACTACAACAGTCTGCCAAAGTGCACTGGCTCACGGTACCAGGGTCCTCAAACTTGGCCATTTATAGATTTCCTGGATCTCGATGTGCATAATCGCGAAGACAATTTCAACATTCAACACTAAATCAAACATCTCAAAATTAATGCGCCCTCCCAGTAACAGTTGTGGTCTTGTAACAGCTCTCCGAATATTGGCCAGGAAAATCTGTATTTACGAAAAAAAATGTTCATCCTTAAAGTCTTCAAATGGGTTCACCCGAGGCCTGAACACTCTCAATGTGCCGCGAAATTCGTCCAAATCCTAAAAAAAAAACGTATTCGCACATGTTGAGTAATGCCTATCGAACCACTAGAGGTGGGTTTTTTCCCTACAGAAAAATCGTCCGTCGGTCTCGGGTGCCATAGGGTATTGGAATCTGTCTGTGTTTCTATGCGCCCTCCTCAGTCGTGGTCTATCGGAGCCCACTGCTGTCGGACTTTCTATGCGCCCGCTGTTGGCTATTTGCCGCACAGAATCACCGACAAGGCAGACAGTTGGACCGTAGACTCCGTCAGTTGCTATCTGAGTTTCTTGGCGGCCCCCCTGTGCATAGTAAAGAAAAGAACACTCAAGTCTTAAATCAAATGGAACTGGTTCGATTCCGCCAGGGAATCATTATCATCGGCTAAAAAGAAAAGTTAAATAACAAATACTCTACGAATGGCGATGTTAATGGAGCAACATGATAAATCAGTTTTCGGCATTAAGTAAAAGCTTGAAACCGTTGAATCTGGCGCGAAAGTACCCGAGCCCAACTGGGACACAGTTAAATCGCGACACCGGTAACAAGAGACACAAATACCTATGGTCCATTTATACTGAGTTGGAAGGCGAACACGAATGCAACCACTGACCACGACGAATATCCGCGCTAATTCGGAGATGACACTGGCGCAATTGAATCATTTTGACCACGTATGCCTTTTGACCTTATTTGACCTATAAAAAACGTTCGCGCGAACTGTTCCCAGAATTCGTTCTGGTGGCAACCTCCGCCGTTTACGTGCAAACAAAAATTCGGCCGCATTCGCGTTCGCCGTCAGGTTAAACAAATTCATTCAAGTACTAGTTGATATTATCAGGTGGGGGGGGGGGCGCTGTTCCAGGGCGCTATCCACAATCGCCCCCGCCCCCGTCCTTAAATCCGCGCGGTTTGATTCAGGTATCGGCCAAGAAAGTTCCTTGAAAATCCCCAGCTTTGATTCCCCTTGTCGGTGGTGCAGGGGGTTTTGTTAGAACTAGCGTATATATAGTCGTCTGGATGGTACGAAAACCTGAGGTCCGTTGTACACGTTGACGTGTAGTTAATAGACTCCTTGGCCCTATTTTAATGAGCTAGCACCATAGGTAGCGAGCCACATTGGTTCCATGCAGATACAAGACGAGCTATCTAAACACATGGAATACGGTTGCTGATGGCCAAATCCTCACTATTCCGTTTATTTAACTTGTATTCGAAATCAAAAAGAGTATTTTGAATGATAATTTATGAACATGTTAAATTACAGGGAATACAGATATTAAATCTTGATACACGTGATGCTGTAGTACATGAAGCCTTTGGTAAGTTATATTACATGTCAAATAACTTCCATAAATGTTCATCGGGTGTTCGATCCCTGCATTGGCCGAGAAAGTTCATCCAGATTTTCCGGCGTGGTTCCCCCTTGTCAGTGATGCAGGACAAGGACAGCTGACAAGGACAGTTGTCTAGTCCTTCGGATGATACGAAAAACCGAGGTCCCGTGTATACATTGGAATGCACGTAACAGATCCCTTGGCAGTTGGATTTCGATATAAGAGTAGGCGATAGTGCCGCTGACCGGGCAAAATTTCCCTCATAGCACACTGTATGGCGTATGCCCGTCTTCATTAGCCCAGGTTAGGAGCAGAACAGTAGGACGTTAAACCCCATTTTATTTCATTTCATTTCATTCCATTTCATCAATTCTGTGAAATGCCACATGCCTTCTTTGAACTGTTAGAGAAATGGAATGAAATTTGGTTTATTATCCTACTTTTCTACCCCGACTGGGCCAGTCCAGACGAGGGATTGTTCGGCACATTAAACGCTCTCCCTTGCATTAATGGGCCAATAATATTTGTTTTTAAGGCCGATTGGCTGACAACCCGGCACCAACCTACGAAAGCAACAAAGAAAAACGTGTATGTAAAACCCCTTTAATGTCACCTACAAACATAAAGCCTAGCTCACAACCCGCCGTATACGTGCTACTACGGACAGTCTACAGGGCTCTTTGGCACAGTGGCGGCGCCAGCCGTCGGTGATTGGAGGGGCAAGGCTGGGGTAAAGTCCAGGGTTAAGGGGGCAAAGGCACGAGCTTCAACTAGGGGCAGGGGGCCTCCCCCAGAAAATTTTGAAAAACAGGTTGCCGGAAATGCAGACTGGCAGTATTTCAGGCACTGATCGATGAGGTAAAGTGTCAAACGAACGGACTTGCGAATCACGACGAAGCCCACTCACGAGCGTCAAAGTAGGGAGTCCTCCCCCAGAAAATTTTGAAAAATAAGCTGCCGCAAATGCTGTCTTACGGTATTCTGTCAGGCACCGATCGTCGAGATAAATAGATCTGCCCAGACACCGTTCGTCGCCTGATCACTAGTTTATCCGACTAGAGAACAAAATGTCAAACGAACGGACATGCGAACCTTAACGAATTCCCCTTATGAGCGCCAAAGTAGCGAGTCCATTGGGGACCTCGCCAAGAAAATTTTGAAAAATAGACTGTCGGAAATGCTCTACAACATGCAAGTTTATGACTGAGTGGGGATGTGTGATTTATTCACCGTAGACGGTAATGATTACCGAAACGTATCACAAATACTTTTTTTTATTTTCTAAAATTATTGGGGGGGGGGGGCAAACAGAGGGCAAACCAGATTAATGGGGGGCAAATGCCCCCCCCCCCCCCCCCGGCGCCGCCACTGCTTTAGCACCGTGGAAGATCGCAGCGCTTTTGGAACTGCGCATACAAAATTTTCACCCGGTTTCTTGCGGTTGGCCTGCGAGCTGCCAAACCCTACGACCCGTGCCTGTCAAAACACGTACGGCGGAGTGTAAGATAGCCTTAAGAACGAAACCAGAACATCTGTCCAGATCGAGGAGAGACCTTATGATCTAAAACAATACGCGTTAGACCACTTGGCCACCCCGTCTAGTTTAAATATTCCTTGAATTTGCCGTCTTTTACAGGTAACACTCAAGTGGATTCTGATTCGACAGATGAGTTTAATTCGGCAATGATAGACTCAAAGTATCTTCGGTTTATACGTATTTTCTACTGCCCGAATATAAATATGTCATATACCAGCACGATGCTGACGTCACGCCTGTTTGAACCTGTACGAACTGGAATCAAGAGCTTTGAGACAATGAGTGAAACCATGAAAAGAGTGGAAGCTTACTTAAATCTAACAGGTAACTGAAATGTTTTTGATTGAACTAAATGATTAAAGGGGGAGGGAGGGGGCAGCATGTTAGCTAGACTCGCGTATAGCTTGGGCCAAGAAGATGAGAAACTTTGGTATATTAAATCCAGGTTTTCACTTATCAGGGCTGGTACTTGTGGGTCTTGCTAGGAATGTGGTGTGTCGAGCGGTTCGGATTGTAAGAAAAATCGCGGTCCAATAGTAGTCCCTACACATAAACGATCCCGTTGCAGTTGGAATTTGTGGAGATCCCACTGCCCTTGAAAAATTCTACCACTCGCATTGCACATACAACCATGATATTCGCCATACATTATTCTAAAAATAAACCTAATAAAGTATCGACGAGATATTAAATGTCTTTCCAGTGTGGGTGTTACTTCAGTTCTATAAAAGTGATATCAGACTGGACCACTATATAACATCTAGTTTGGAAGTATAAATGGAATGGTGTTTAACGCCTAATGTATTTTGGTATAACCCCAGATTGATGATATCCAGATCTGGGAAATTTTACTCTTACTTCGATCCCCATCTGTCCGAAGATCTCATACCTGCTGCTAATTGTAAACCCAGGACCTCCTTTTCTGTGCCATCCGAATGACTTGAAGATTTTCATTGCGAGACACCATCGCCCTTCACAACTTAAAAGGGGAAACCAGGCTAGAAACTCCCAGGAAACTTTCTCGACCAACACCAGAATCGAAACCTGGACCTCCTGTAAATGAGCTAGCACCATAACTCACAAATCCACTGTTGCTCAAAAAATATACATAGCTAAAGTATTAAACTTAAGTACATGTTATAGATAAATAGCAGTGTATATAAACTTGACTTATGCTGTTTTGTATTTACAGGATTACCTATTATGAATGTAGAAACTGTACATTATTTATATAACAGTAATTATCATACTGGTGTCGATGTTGATAGATCTTATAATAAAATACCTCAAACATCAGCCAAATACTGGCTTACAACAATCAGGTAAGATTTACTTAGGTATATTCATTACAGGTGAAAGGGTGGGGTGATATGTGTGTATATAGTGAGAGGAATAGGGCGTGGCTGTCTAACTACTATGATTACTCACATTTAATTTACATGTTGCAATAAAATAAAATGGCTAATAAAGACGGGCATATATACCCAGTCAGTTTCCTTAATATGCAAAGTGTTTGACTGGGACGCTACCGCCCACTCTTATTTTCATTTCCAATGTCGGTGGATATTAGACGTCTACCCCTGGGGCCTCGTTTTTTCGTCCCATCCCAACAATTGATGGCTTTTCCTTGCCAGTCCTCAACTCCAATTTTATGATCCTCTGTATTTTGAGCTGCTTAATATAATAGTGACCCACATGATGATTTGTATATTGTTTATAAAATTATGAATAGAAGAAAATTCAGTTTCCTCAAAGAGTTTGAATCTGTAGTGTTAATTGGATTATTTTTTCAGGTTATATTTTCCTACAGTTTATCAGGAACCATCACCCTTGTCACTCCCACCAGTTAAAGACTGGAAATTAAAAGATGGATCTTCATCCTGTTCTATATTATGAGGGTTATTTTTCTGGATTTGTAGAAAGTGTATAAAACCTTTACTATTAAAAGATAATACAATGGTGCAATAAAGAGTCTGAAATCAAACGTCTGCATCCAAGAATGAGATGGGGTTTAACGTCCTACTTTTCTGAACCTACTGGGCTAATGAAGACAAGTCAGGGTCCAACTGGTCACTTATGAATTGCAATTTCAGCCAATATTAAATAAAATATTATATTGACCTAGAGGTGTTTGTCTTTAATTCCCCTTTGTCAGTGATGCAGGACCTGACAAGGACAGCTATCTAGTCGTTTGGAAGGGACCAAAAACCGAGGTCACATGTACATATTGGCGTGCACGTAAAAGATCCCTTGACAGTTGGAATTCGATATAAGAGTAGGTCGTAGTGCCGCTGTCCGGGCAAAATTTCCCTCATAGCACACTGTATGGCGTATGCCCGTCTTCATTAGCCAAGTTCGGAGCAGAACAGTAGGACGTTAAACCCCATTTCATTTCATTTGCCAACATTTGATGGGAATGTATATGTCACCACAACTTTGGAGCCACCACAATTTCGATCCCGGTGTTGGCCGAGAAAGTTTCCCCTTGTCAGTGATGCAGGACAGAGGGCCTGACAAGGACATCTGTCTAGTTGTTCGGATGGGACGAAAAACGTGGCATGCATGTGAAAGATCCCTTGGCAGTTGGAATTCGATATAAGAGTAGACTGTAGTGCAGCTGTCCTGGCAAAATTTCCCTCATAGCACACTGTGTGGTTTATGCCTGTCTTCATTAGCCCAGTCGGACCAGAACAGTAGGTCGTTAAACCCCATTTTATTTCCCACGACAATTTCCTCTGAACACTGTACAGATCCGATTTCTTGTAGGATTATTTTCAAACTAGCAGATAGTATATAGAGTTTTTAAGATAATTGGCAGATAATCAAGTCTACATGTATAATCTGCTAAATTGACTCGATTTCTGGATTTTAGTATTTGATAAATGAGCTACCACACCTTGCCCCACCCTAAACATTTGTGTAGGAGTACTGGTGTGTTATATACAACTACAGGTGACAGACAATACCATTTATTACATTGTATTATAAACAATCACTAATGCAACAATATAAAACAATTATATCAATAAATCACAGTAAAAATCACAGTTAATATTTAATATTGTTTTTTTTACTGAACTTTAAAGGGTTAAGTTTATAAATAAGGTATAAAAATCACAGGTAGTATTAATTCATGTATATTTACACTGCACTTTAAAGGGTTAATTTTATAAGCAGTGAGTAAAAATCACAGGTAATATTAATTCATACATTTTTGTTTACTGAACTCTACATTTTCATAAATAAAACATTCTGAACTTTCAAACCACATTATCCACCATTCTTTTACGGTTCTGCAGACATGTGACCTTACCATATATCTACCTTGCACATGGTACAAATTATCAATATTTATTGCTAATTTTAAGTAGAAATATTGCAATTGTCTAGTAATAAATCAAAATGTGAAGATTTGTTGTTTATTATTATGAATAATGATATTTTGAGGATCAAGTTTCAGTAGTAACTAGTTAAGCATCCCTATAAAATGATGTAGTTCTACAAATTAAAGAAACTTTCATTTCACTCTGTAATAATATTTGTAAATACAATAATTTTGTATTATGTTATATATACTTAACATACAGATGTGACGTCATCCTTTGATGTTGGCGACTTGGCGACGGCGTACCATTATTTCCAATAATGTACGGGCAACTTGCCAATCGTACATTATCTATACTAGATGAAATATTGGACTCGCGTGACGTATTTCATTGAAAAGCATGTGCGGGATAGTATCTGTATTCTAATTTGTTTAATGGTCTCGAGCTAAAGACATTGCGTAATATATTGAAACAACACTCGGCTAATGCAGTATCAATATATAACTTAATGTCACGCTCTCGACCATTAAACCATACATATTAAGGGTTTGATGTGTCAAGTGTTACAAACTTCAAATAACAGAGAAGTCCTACTTCACACTGTGCCAAAATGGTTAGAAATAAAAATCTACCCTTTGCTCATTAAAAAACTGTAACAGATATTAAACTGTTCAACAGACAAATTTTGTAAGAGCAAGTCGTGTAGTGTACAGGTATTCCCTAAATTTCAATTTTTAAATTTGTGGCATCCAAAGTACTTCGGATTTCAACTGTTGAGATTCTGTTTACATGTATTTACTAATGATATGAAACGATGATGTAATGATAATGGAGAGTTTAAGATATCACACAACCCCAACCAGCTTCATCTTCAGCTACAGATGGTAAAATATCCACCGGTGGTTCCTCAAACTTATCCGAAAAATATAACCTGCAAAATCAAACAAGGAATACTTTAAAAAAATAACAAGATATACCTAGATACATGTTTTCAAGCACAAAAATGGAGCTATGCATGTGCTTCACTATAACATGCTCAATTCACTAACTACGACTATGTTATAAACAAGGGTTTCCTGAACAAAGATATTGTAAGGTTCCAGAACAACTAGAAATAAATCATTCAGTACTTTCACAACTAACAAATTAAATTGCTCTTGACTTTTCACCAAAAAATGGATGAAAACAAGGAGTTGACTATAATGTTGATGTTTTGGTAAAATGACTAGTTTATTACACTGGGTTACATTATTATTTAACTTTTTACATAATCAAAATTACCATCTTAGTAAAATGGATCTATGACATTTTATCTAATGAATAAAATACTCATTTACCTTATACATGTTAGATGATAACGTCCTGTATGTTTATTTATATGTAGATCTACTTTGTCTTCATTTACACCATTACCAGTACTATCAGGACTTACAACATAATCTACAGTCTCCATACCATATAGAGGGCATTCTATAATAAATATAATATATAACATAATCTACATTCTCCATACCATATAGAGGGCATTCTATAATAAATATAATATATAACATAATCTACATTCTCCATACCATATAGAGGGCATTCTATAATAAATATAACACAATCTACATTTTCAATACCATATAGAGGGATTCTAAAATAATTTTAATATACTATTCAAAAAAAGTAGGGGATATTTGATTTTGGGGGCATAATACTAAAATATGCAAATGACTACGAAAAAAGTCACTATAGAACCTAACAGAAGAAACATTTCCAGTTACATGTGACGCCCAAACGCACCAATAGCTACCGCATGGAATGCAGGTGATGCTTGGGATCATCATGGGGGTCCAACCCAAGATTTGCACGACTCTGACTTTGAATGTTACAGTCATTGTGGCATTGAATTCCAGGGTGGAAACATCAGTTTAATTGTTTTAGTGACCAGAAAACAAATTTTGATATGCGTCGGCTTACCCAAAATGAAAGGTTACGTGCCCTTGGCATGCTACAGATCGGCACAACACAGGCGGTTGTGGCGCGGACGATGAATGTTTCTCAGTCTGTCATAAGCAGGCTATGGTCCAGATACCGTGATACACAATCTGTACAGGACAGATCACGCTCAGGTCGACCAAGGGCGACAACTCAAGCCCAGGATCGATTTATCCGTACCTTGGCCTTGAGAAATCGTGTCATCATAGCAAATCAGATCAGCGCTCGTCTTCAAACAGACACTGGTGTGAGAGTGAGTGGCCAGACGATTCGGAATCGACTGCATAGGGGTCACCTTCGCGCCCGACATCCTCGCGTGATCCCTTGTTTGAGAGATCATCACATTCAGGCAAGACGTCGTTGGTGTAGGGATCGTCAACACTGGGATAATCGACGCTGGAGCAATGTGATGTTTTCAGACGTAGGAGGGTGTGGCGTCGTCGAAACGAGCGCTTCCAAGACGTTAACGTCATCAGACATGATCGATTTGGGGGTGGTTCTGTTATGGTGTGGGGAGGCATCACTGTTGCTGGAAGAACGGCTTTACATGTTGTTGCAGGGCGTGTTACAGGCCAGTTCTACCGGGACAACATCTTGGCAGTCCATGTTGTGCCGTTCGCACGACGTCATGGCCGCCGTTTCATCTTCCAGGATGACAACGCAAGATGTCACAGGGCCAGGATCGTTACAGGTTACCTCCAACAACAGAACATCACCACATTACCTTGGCCAGCACTGAGTCCCGACCTCTCCCCCATCGAGCATGTCTGGGACATGCTTGGACAGAGGTTACGTCAACGTCAACAACGTCCTGCCAATGTCCAAGAACTTGCTGCTGCGTTGCAACAGGAATGGGACAATCTGGACCAAAATGACCTTAGACGTCTCATTAGGAGTATGCCACGTCGGATCAATGCTTGTTTGGCAAACAGAGGAGGATTTACCCGTTACTGACTTGGTTGTGATGCTGTGGTAACTTTGCTGTTTGACCCCGGGTATCATTTTACCCTTATAATGGTCAGTCTGTGCCTTACTTAGTCTAACGATCATTTGGAATAAATTGATGAATGTGAACTTCATTTCATTTTGTCATTTGTTTCTTCGTCAGTTTCATTAGGTGACTTTAATAACACTTAAAAATCAAATATCCCCTACTTTTTTTGAATAGTATATATAACATAATCTAGTTTCCATACCATATAGAGGGATTCTATAATAAATATAATATATAACATAATCTACAGTTTCCGTACCATATAGAGGGCATTCTATAATAAATATGACATATAACATAATCTACAGTTTCCATTCCATATAGAGGAGATTCTATAGTAAATATAATATATAACATAATCTACAGTCTTCGTACCATACAGAGGGCATTCTACTTGCATAATAAATATTAAATATAATGTATAACATAATTTACAGTCTCCATACCATATAGAGGGCATTCTATAATAAATATAATATAATGTATATGGCTTAATCTACAATATCCATAACATATAATCAATCTATTTTCTGAAGTTATAAAGTAAATAAAAGCATAAATCCAACTTACTTGTCACTTGTAACCAAGCAATTGCTCTTTGCATAGTTTTAGAAAACGCTTCAAATTCTTTTGGTCCTCGTCTTATAGGTACAAACAATCGTGTAGTTAAATTAACTGATGGCATAACTTCGTCATTTTTACTTTTTTGTTTTGTGACGTAAAATGTTCTTAGAATTTTAACAAACTGAGAATCACTCAATGGTAATTCCCCATACCCAGAGATATTAGACTTAAAGTTAATTTGACCTGAAAAAAGAACATAGACATAGAGATAAATAGAAATGTGGTTTAACCTCTACTCAAATCAAACCAGGACATTTTGGGACTAAATTAAGGTAAAATTTCATTTCAATAATTAACTTGTGCACAGGGGTCTTTAGAAGAGGGAGGAAACTGGAGAACCCAGAGAAAACCAATGAAGTTAGGCAGGTGACCCTACACATAAAAGAACACATAACCATTGTAACAATATGAAAGATTGTCTGTCATTATTGATGGAAAATAAATCGATGCTTTGGTCTGTGCGACCAGTGTTAAAGTAGCTAAGCTAAGTCTCTAACTCAATATCATCCAAAGTCTTACACGTTGAAAACACAAATTATTTGTCAATTCAAATCAACATTGATGTTGTTATCTTACTGGGAAGAGGTAGGCTTCTGATATCCAATATTTAAGACAAAATAAACATTTTACCATTGGTACACGAATCGTGCACCATAGTGCGTTTCAGTGTCATTTGTAATAAGTGGCCAGAAAGAAAGAGGCTAGACATATTCAACAACTCATGTCAAACGGTGACGCCATATCTTATCTGGAGAAGCATGCACAATAGAATGGAATAACCAGACGCTAGAAATTGGCATTCGGTTGAGACTTATGCCGTATTTCACTGGACATAACTGATTTGTAATTAAGGGTCAAAACGGAAACAATTGAATGTAAATAAGTTTATATACAATCAGATTATATTATTATATGGGTCAATTTCTAGGTCCCAAATATTAGCGATTTAGCTCCTTTAAATTTGGCTCAGTAGACCGGATGAAGATAAACTCTGAGAACTCTAGTCTCTATTTAAACAAAATATATGATAGAATTACTGGTCCTTGAATTAACAATAGGTAACAACTTGAGGATTTCAAATAGTTGACAAATTATTTTGTTGTTCTTTTGTATTGACATGTTACAAAGTGTTCAGGTAATCCTATATAAAGTTTATATGGATGTATTCTTACCTCCATATCGTTTTTCTGTTGGGATATTAATTGATTGAAGATTGACAACTTGTACATTCTGTAAAAATAATGTAACAAACTATATATATAAGATTGTAAAATACACCCATTTAGTTAATTTACACCCCACATCGAGCAATAATTTCATAGTGCCACAGATTCATGTTCTTATCAATAGAATATATAAGGTCATTTAAAACCAGTCTATCAGAAATTATATCCCAATGGCAGAGTTTTTTTTTAAAAGGTACATTATGTAAGATTTAGATAAAGAGCTGGCCATTATTGCTATAATAGTTCAAAAATGATAATGCAAAATGAATATATTGAAAATTTCATTTAAATTACTTTATTCTGAGCCAAGTTATCACTGTTTGTAGTTTTGATAAGATTTGTGCATTGATTATTTATTATCGTAACCAGAATGGCATCGAAAGTTCTTGGCATGTTAATAAATGTCTAATTAATAATTTATATAACATTTCAGGCCTAAAGAAAGACCGGCAATAGGCAAATTTAGCTGTTGAATAATGTATCTTTAAACAAATTTTATTTTGTATTTTTTTCAAAGACATATAGACATTGAATGTGACTAAACACTTTAGTACAAACATCATGTTTTATTGGTCTGGGGTTCTCAGCTTCATCATTGTTTTTGTGGCCTAATATTCCAAGAGGATTAATAAACTGAACTTACTGTTTGTTCCTGTATCCATCTAGCTGTTCTACTAACAACTTGTGTAAATGGTGCATATTTGACCTTCACCCCTAAACCTTCTGATGTTTGTACAATATCTGGTACTTCATCATGATAACCTTCAACAAAAAGTATCAATTAATGATGGCTAATAGGTCAATTAAAATTTTTAATTCAATAAGCCTGTAAACTTCTGATCAGTTATCAATGAAATGAAATGGGGTTTAACGTCCTACTGTTTTGCTCCTAAACTGGGCTAATGAAGACGGGCATACGCCATACAGTGTGCTATGAGGGAAATTTTGCCCAGGCAGCGGCGCTACGACCTACTCTTATATCGAATTCCAACTGCCAATGGATCTTTTACATGCACGCCAATGTGTACACGGGACCTCGGTTTTACGTCCCATCCGATCGACTAGACAGATGTCCTTGTCAGTCCCTCCGTCCTGCATCACTGACAAGGGGAAACCTCGCTGGAAAATCTGGATGAACTTTCTCAGCCAATGCAGGGATCGAACACCCGACCTCCAGGCTAGTGAGCCGGCGTCTTACCCACTTAGCCACGTGATCCCCCAGTTATCAATGAACTTCATTCATAAATATATTATGTGTATATACCAGTGGTAAGCCCAATGTGTTTTTTTCTACTTGACTTTAAGTGGAGTCTTAAATCCATCAGATTAAACTCAATGTCAAATTAATTTTAAAATGTACTTTGCGTTTTCACGAAGGGATGTCACATAATGACTAGACACTTTGACTCGAGTAATAAAAAAAAAAATTGTGTCAATTTGATTGGCTTTTATATGTTTTATGGGATTGGAATCTTTATGTATATAGATAAAGTCAGTGCGGAGATGACTTTGTGTTCCAATGTCAAAACAGTAAGTCAAAAATTAAACTGAAATTAGTAAACAAACCAACTTCAGCTTAATCTTTTCAAACCACATTTCAAAGGTACAGAGCTTCGAAATAATGCATCATATAAATTCAAATTAATATTCAAGTTAAATATTCAATTTATAATGAATTTTAAAATTTAAAATCTGCGTGGTAGTTATCAAGAAAAGTGGATTTATACCAAGGTGCTCCATTATATATTAAGCTACACTTGATATTGGGTCTACTGAATGTATAAATATTGATAAATGATATATCAAAAGCAGCACATAACGAATGGACCTGGATAGTACATTAATATCTAATCAAGGGAATGAAGGCAACAAGTTTCCTTCTTCGTCTACCTGTTTCCGCTTACCTAGCCTATCAAGCAGGACTGCCAAGTTTCCTTGTAAACATTTGTCCGGGTGTTAAGCCCTATGAATTAATGAACAAGGCATTAACTTCCTTTAATTAACTCACCTATTGTTTCAAACTGTTGTTGACCAGTAATATAATAAACACGTAGAGCATACAGAAACAATCTACTAGATCTATTACTATCTATCCAACATGATGATTCTGTGTCAGGTTTCTCATTACCAACACCTTCTACTACTTTTACTGAGAATGTTTCAATGTTTAATATTTTTCCTAAAATGAAAGGCATTAATTCAATTAATTTCAGCTAATATTTCAAACCCAAATACAGCTCACATAATGATTAATGGGGATATTGTCTCAATCTAACAGTATCAAGCAAATACACGACCATTTTTCCTCTCAACCAATCCCAAGAAGCTCAGTATGACCTTCGAAATTGTATACAAATTTAGCGGTATTTTGTCTAGACTAAATTTGTGGTATTAAATTAAACCAAAGACAATATAGATAGAAATGATTGATACTCACCGATACTCACCGTCAGAATTCAAATGGAATTTATCTGAATTTTATCAATTTCTAGACAAGATGCTTTGAAAGTATATGACACTAGTCTATGGTCATGTAGGCTTCTGTTACCAGGTAATGGTTTATTCTTTTTTTTTGTTTTATCTCTTGCATAGATTAATCACAGATATAATTCTTATTAGACATTTGTGATTTAATATTTCCAATTATGTTTTAATATTACCTGCAAGGGGTCTGTGCTGTAATTGTCTATTAAGTTTTTCTATTGTTATTTTAAGAGTATCATAGGCAGGAACAGGATGTTCAGCTCTCATACGATAGTTAGCAGATAAAGCTAGAGAGACATCTGCTGAGTTACCCTCAGAGACATCAGGTAAAATACTAATATAACTAATCTGTTGTACCTCATCACTTGGATTTGGATTAGGGAAAATCCATATTCTACAATAAAAATAAATAGAATGTCACATCCAGTTTGCTAATAAAAAGTTTTAAAAAATGTTAAACAGTTACTATGAATGGATATTATATTTTTGAATAGTTTCTATCAAATGATATAATATTTTTAAATAGTTACTAGGAAATGATATTATATTTTTGAATAGTTACTATCAAATGATATTATATTTCTGAATAGTTTCTATATTATATTATATTTTTAAATAGCTACTATTAAATGATATTATATTTTTGAATAGTTACTATGAAATGATATTATATTTTTGAAGAGATTCTAGGAAATGATATTATATTTTTGAAGAGTTCTAGACAATAAGTTTACAGTATGGTCACATGATCCATTTTCTGTATATATTCATCATAACATCGGCCCATCATTACTACAGGAATGATTCCACAAAACTATATTTTCATATTATGGTAATCTAAATAAACAATGTAGCGTGATGGACCAGTTGAACCAATTATGTAATGTTTCCTATCCAAATTATATAAATTTTGCCAGTTTCACATTATCATAAAATTTCCAAGAGTACCAAAACCTGACAGCCATGTCCTTACTAGATGGAGATGAGAAACAAATGTTTAATTCTTATTGGACTAATAAAAGATTAATAACATACCTGATACCTCTAACATACATATTTTGGCCATGGCTAGATTCATGCTGTAAAGTTGAATCTAAATCTAACTTCATTTCACCCAGTAGTTTCCTATCTATTGTCTCAACTTTGAATATTTTATATTGTGGCATTGATATTAACCATTGGTTCACTTGTTCCATAACAGTTCTGCAAATATAAAAGAAGAGTTCATAAATTATAAAGAAGAGTTCATAAATTATAAAGAAGAATACAAAACTTATTCATTCTCTTCTGAGAGCTCTGAGTACCATTTCTCACTTTTTTTTAGAATAATCTGAGCACATTGAAAAAGAAAACCCCCTGACCCATGCAATGTTCACAATAATGTGAATAGCCACAAGAACATTAACAGGTAGTTGAATTAAAATCATATTTAAATAAATAAAGCTATTTAGATGAATTATTGCCATAGATTAAGTGTAAAATGTTTAAACAATAGGTCATTTTCAGAAATAAAATGAAATGAAATGGGGTTTAATGTCCTAACGTCCATTAGGTTTAACTGGGATAATGAAAACGGGCATACACCATACAGTGTGCTATGAGGGAAATTTCGCCTGGACAGTGACACTACGGCCCACTCTTATATTGAATTCCAACTGTCAAGGGATCTTTTACGTGCACGCAAATGTGTACACGGGGCCTTATTTTTTGTACCATCAGAACGACTAGATAGCTGTCCTTGTCAGGCCCTCCGGCCTGCATAACTGACAAGGGGGAATCACACCTGAAAATCTGGGTGAACTTTTCGGCCAATGCAGGGATCAAACAGCCGATCTCCAGGCCAGCGAACGAGTGTCTTACTCACTTAGCCACCATCACTCCCCATTTTCAGAAAATCAATGTCACACATATGGTATTGGTCAAGTACTAGTATATAAATTATTTACTGATCCAATATTTTCTTAACAATCCTTGTCATGATGAATTAATTATAAACTTTTTGATGTATGTCTAAGGATTGGCCCAAGATCTACCATTTTTTCTCATACTTCCACAGATTCTACAAAATTATGACAAAGCACCATTTATTGTAAGATTTAGCATTATTAGGGAAAATAATTAAATTCTACACCTGTGTTCTTACCTATATGATGCAAATTCTGGTTCTTTCCCATCTAATGATTGGCCAATACATCGAGGCATAAAATCAACGTAAGTTAGGGGAGGTAATTCACTATTGTTTAATTCTAATCCAGCCGTATTAGATATATCAGTTAACTGTCCTTCAAAGCCCTGATTTACTGCTCCAGGTAGACTCTCGCCCGATTCTTCAAGTGGTGAGACTTTATTTGTACCTGTTAATTTCTCACGGTCAATGGCCATATCTTTCATTTCTTGCACCTCTGTTGCAGCCATTTTGTTTTATATGCCTACTTTTAATTTCTGGAAGGAACAAGTTAACATAATTAAAAATATGAAGCATTAAATTAGTTTTGCCAGACATGCACAATGACAGACTATCAATAATTAACCAAACTATAACAAATACTTATGGAAGAACAATTAATAACTGATTTTAGTGATGTTTCGAGTGTATTCTCTCAATATATACTCAAGCACATTAAAGTTACTGTACTTGAAAACTCAGCAAAATAAATTAGTAGACCTACCATAATTATTTTTCTATAATCAAGCATGTGTTATAGTTTATTGCTCTGTCTAGTAACTAAATGTCTCTAAAGGATTAATAAATCAATACTAAATGTAAACAATTTTTTTTATATATATGTTCAACTCCATAATTTCTTTAAAGGGGGCCCACCCTGCACCCCTCACTTGTAATGCTGTTGGTGGGCTTGTGTTTTAGTGACTGCAAGACATGTTTAAACTTATATATGTTGTCTGTAGGTCCTACTTGTTATGTTTGCGAAAAGCCAGAACAAAACAATATGAATCAATTACAGAAACTATGTGGCTAATTTGGAAGTATTTAACACCACAAAAACAAATTAATACCAATTTCAGAAGCCTAATTTAAAAATGTTGTACACTCTTTCAGAAATTCTGCATAGACTACTTCACTGTTAAGTATCTCTCTAAAATATTTCAGAGCTTACTGCATCTCTATTATTCAACAGATATATATATACAGCAACTCTACAGAATAAATAAGGGCGGTACTGCCCTCTTGACTATCCTTGAGTATACATGTATATAATGACTAATAGATCTATTATAATACTATTTAAGAGTAACGGTGTATTACAATTAAAATGTAGGCCTACCACTGATTGTTCAGTAATATTTAAAAAAAAAAACACATTTAGTAGGTAGGTTACCCAGTTATCGGTATTTTCTTGAACAGGTCTTAAAAAGATATTGCCAGATATTGAAACTTAAAGGAGCTAAATCGCTAATATTTGGGACCTAGAAATTGACACAAATGGGTCGCATCGCATATAATGATGTAACATGAATGTATATAAACTGATTTATAAAATCGTTTCCATTTTTATTTCAAATCAGTTATGTTTGGCAACATACACCAGAAATCACAATTGAATGACAATCTCTAGCGTCTGGTTATTCTTGTCTACACAACTAGTATTTATTGCACATCCTCTCCAGATAAGAATATTGCATCACCGTTCGACATGGCCTGTGGAATAGGTCTAGCCTCGTTCTTCGAGTCTCTTGTTATTGGATATCAGAAGCCCATCTTTTCCCGGTAAGATCACAACATCAATTAATGTTGATTTAAATTGACAAATAAATCGTGTTTTCAATGTCGAAGACTTTGCATGATATTGAGTTGTTAGACTTTAACTAGACCTTAAAACCAAGACAGAAACAAAATGACATAAATTTCAATGAACTCAATAATTGAGAAGTGGCATAAAGTTGTTTTAGAAAACATAAGCATACCCTGCCTCAAGACTGAACAGAAATATCCTCAACAATAAAAAGTGCTTGATATGTACAGCCTTATAAGATTTGATTCTGTAAACAAAATATTAAATTTTCACATTTTATCCAAGGATTAGCTAATAGATGTGGTTAGAAACACATATTTCAAATTACATGAAACATATTACTCACCTTATTTTATCACCAACATAAACAGGTAAAGTAAATGTAGAAAATCGCTCTATACAATATAGGCTACCTCTCCTTTCAACTCCAAATGAACTCTTACTATTATTGTTGACAAAAATAGCAATGACACGTGTTGGCTTAATCAGCCATGTTGTTATGATCACTTAGCAACGGTAAACTTATTCGATGTGCTTGATTGATTAGCCTATATCACCTGCTCTAATCAACTATTTAAAAATTAAAAGCAGTGAATGTATCTGATTATATCGGCTTCCCATTATTAGCTAGTAGTGTTTAAAGACCTAATCTCTCGGATGGCGCGTGTTCGACCGTTTAGCCGTGTCAGATATTATTAGATCCACCAGTTTTATGATAAGGTTCGACGTAGTTGGCTGTCTGTTGGTTTACTCCTTGCTAGTATAAAATAGGGGAGCTAGCTGACCGTTGTTCCTAAACTCGCGGACAAAATTGGCACTATGCCTATCAGAATGGGAATTCTTCAGTTGCACATCCGCTGGGGTTAGGGGCTGTAGCCTACGTCCCCGAAATCGCGGGAAAAGTCGATGTAATTCAAATTTTTGCGGACAAAGTTAATCTTTGCTACAATATGTTCACTTTCAAACTTGAAAAGTGCCCTTCAGAACAAAAAAATCCCCTGGCTTCTGGCTTCAGAACGCCCCCCAGTGACCCGAGTACGTAGGTTTATTTCAAAATAATATGACGGACAACTTTAAGATTCCTTTTTCAGCTAATAGGGTATGGTCCCAAAGTAAATAAAACACAACGTCAGAACAAATAATTCCCGGGGGGTTAGGATGGCCTAGTGGTCTAGAGTGTCACGCTTCGACCTCTAGCTGGCCGGTCACCTCTGGCTTGCGGTTGTGGTTTCGATCCCTGGTGTGAGCGTATGTGGCTTGGAGATAGGGGCGCCTTCTCAACCTCGTGGGTTTACTCCGGGTACTCCAGTTTCCTCCCACAGGAAAGACCCCTGCGCGTGCGCTAAGATAATGAAAATTAAAAAAAAAGACAACTTGTCTGCGATATCACCTTCGGTGGAAGCGGACGTTAAACACTTACAACAACACAACAAATAATTCCCTGACTCCAGAACAGGTTCCAAGCTGAACACATCACAAAATCCCGGTAGAACTAGTAGAAGATCGATTTGTTTCAAGTATGGCGGAAAAAATTCTTCTTTCGTGAGAATGGTGCCACAATTGACCTATATTTATATAAAGTAAATGCCCTCCAGAAGAGAATATCATCTGGTTTCTGTACTTCAAAACGCCCCCTAGTGACCCCAATAGACATGTTTATTTCAAATGTTTACAGACAACTTTGATTCCTGTTTCAGCTGATGGGTATGGCCCCAAAGTAAATAAAACACCACTTCAGAACCAAAAATCCCCTGGGTTCCTACACCAGAAACGGTTCCAAGCTGAACACATTACGAAATCCCGGTAGAAGACTGATTTGTTTCAAGTATGGCGGACAAAATTCTGTGTTCATGAGCATGGTGCCACAATTGACCTATAAAAAAGTACCCCTCAGAAGAGAATATCACCTGGTTTTTGCACTTCAGAACACCCCCTAGTGACCCTGATAGACATATGTTTATTTCAAATATGAGAGACAACTTTGATTCCTTTTTCATCTGATAGGGTATGGTCCCAAAGTAATTTTAACAGAGATCATTGCTACGATAGATGCATAACGAAGATTTCAAGAAATGGAAGTGAAAAAAGCTAAAGAAAAACACGAGTTATCCTTCTATAAAACTGACTGAAGTAACAAGCTATAACTTCAGTCAGGTTTATAGAAGAATAACTCGTGTTTTCCTTTTGCACTTCCATTTCTTTGACAGTGGTTGCACAGTAGGCTATACGATTATGAAGATCAGAATCTGACAACATTGTTGAAAACCGCTTTGAAATCATAATGGTTTTTTTTTCCAAAACATTACACAAAGCAAGCATGCCGTTAATTTTGTCACTGCACTGAACCCATGACTTGCATATACAGGCCTTATAATCTACAGTGAGAGTATTAGACCTAGAAGCAGCTCCTCTCGGGTCACACTCCTCTGGAAAAGTTTTTGAACACATCAGCTTGTTCTGCAACAAGCAAGAATCTGTTCAGGTATACGGTTTGAACACCTTCAGGGCTAAATTAATATTTTCTGTTGTAATTTGACAATGTGCATTAAGAGCGATTTTCAGACCAATCACAATAGAGCAATTAAGTTATAGCCCTAAATTTGAAGCTGACATGGTCAAACAGTTTGTCGTTTGATGCAAACTAGATCATGTGACCAGAGGCGTAGCCGTGAAATATATATTGGGGGGGGCCGCAAATGACAATTTTATGGAACACATGCAGTTACTTTTCACTTCACACATGTTTCCAGGATGATTATCTCTGTGTTTTATTTTAGCAGTATAAACCATATTGGGATATGTACAGGTTTTATACAGATAGAATCTTAACTAATCCTAATTATTGTTGTAAAAAATAAATAGGAGTTAGGGCCTACTATGTAAATTATTTTTTTTTGGGGGGGGGGGGGGGGTCCAAGTATATTCAGATCCCCCAGAAAAACAATTGGGGGGGGGGGGGTCGACCCCCCCATGTGTGACGCCCATGCATGTGACAAATATCCTTATATCAGGGTTTGTTAGCAGTTGGAAGATATCCGAGAATTTACCCCACCCCAGGTTACACCACAGGCTCATTTCAAATGAATTCACTGTCAACTAAATCATGTGACAAACATATGGTATATCCCCTTAGAATCTTATCAGGAGTTTTTAGCAGTGGGAAGAAATTGGAGAACATAGAATGCCCGCTAGGATACACAGGGGGGACTAATTCCTTCTCAGAGACTGAACTCACTAATTATAAAGATGAAAGATCTGTGATCAACAGGCTATATGGGTCATCACCCTCCCTCCCCACAAACAATAAATCAAAACACTATGTTTTATTATGTCAAGTGTGACAAAATACAAAAACAAAATTCTGGATATACTGTACAGTGTACACTATCTACTTAACAAAGTAAAATGTTTATATAATATGTTTGTGAAACAAGCAATCTGAGATTTCTGCTTTATGTCCCCTACCGGTCTCCATAAAATTTTTAAAACAAGGTACTATTAACAAGGTGCAAGACATAATACCTATTAAAGTAGGTCACACATTTCCACCAACAGGCCTACTATGAATTTAAATTGCAGCTAAAGATCCACCCAAACTTCATTTATGGATCAAATTTCAGCTCAAGATCTTTGCACAATTGGGAAAGATGTCCAGACAGTTTTAGACAGACATATATATTGAATACAAAGTTTCAAACCTTGATCACCATCTCACAATCACCTGGTAGGGGACTAATAATAATTATAATCTTGATATGGTACACAGCAATCAGAAATTTCTACAGTGCATATATTACAACTATAATTATACAATAATTAGAGTTTATTAACAATGAGCAAATGTAATCAAGAGATTTAAATCACTCAATCTTTTCATATTTAATGCAAAAGGATACAAATGACTTGTTGTCCCCCGTCACATTTATAATGCAATTGTATTTTGGGTTGTTTTATAACTGGTGAACAGCTAGATTAAAGACTATACAATTCACATAATTTAAATGCTTATTTTCAAATTGCGAAAGAAATTGCTTGGCAGCATGCCTTTCAGAAATGATTTTATCTATTTTAAATGCATGTAATAGATCTAGAAAAGGGAAACCCAGCGTAATTGAGTTTTAGCAACGTGTCGGTTTAACTGTTATTTGTAAACTAATGAAAGATCCCTTTAAGCCTATTCATTTATTGCTGTGCAAGAATTATGACTATCATTTTACCTTCAGAAATCAGCTTTCCCTGTATTAAACAAATGTTTTTTTTTCTCATGATTAAGTGTCCTGAATAAACTAAACTTCCATAAAGGACAATGTTGCCATCCACCAACTTTACATGGGTGATGATAGAATAGTTAAACAGTTTCAAAATATAATATTAAAGTAAATATCATTGCTGTATTATAATATCAATATATCTACAAACATCATTTAATTAAACATACATTATGCAAGAGCTAAATCTGCCTATTGCAGGTCTTTCTTTAGGCCTGAAATGTTATTTAAATTATTATTTAGACATTAATTAACTTATCCAGACCATAATCAACTCTCGATGTCATCGCTACCCTGCGATGTTTATTGGATTAGGTTCCGATTTGCTGTTCGACTTCCATTTATGATTTAATCATGAAGTGGATAATCGAGACTATGTTTTTTATCGTACCGACTTTAGTAATGATGATCGAGGCAAGGCCAAAAATTCAGTCGCTAAAATCTTGGTTAAGAGGAGATCAATTTGACTGAAATTTTCATCAAATTCCCTTAACGTTATCTAGTTTTTAACAATTATAGTGGGAACTGCCAGCACTTTATCTACTCTCCCATAATGTATCTTTAATAGTTATATTTAAGGATTTTAAATATTGAGAGACATGTATGCTTATTTCACGGAGATGTGATGAGTCAAATATCTTTTTATCCATCGCACATATTTTTTTACACTAGTCACAGAATTAATTTCACTTTAAGTTTAAGCCCACATCAATGTCTTAAAACTTTCATACATAATTAATTTAAATTTATGGCGAAATTCTAACCTGACTTCTGAGTTATTTTAAAGAATTATGCATAAATTTAATAAAAATCAATTTAACATCCATTAGTACCAGTAATAGATAATTCTGGAATCATTTTCAATCTAAATCCACTTTCTTTAAATGATGCACGAGTTATAAAAAGTAATGTAATTTTAACATCATTTCTAACCTTGTTCATACCAACCCTGAGCATTGCTCTATACATGTACTTTTCATTGGTACTGTGCTGCACTTAGGGTACAGAATGTATTGCGATGTTCTGAATTTCCCACAGGGACCAGTTCTGACACAGTCATACTTTAGATTTTTGTATACTATATTAACTGTAATATCCACTTGGTACTCAATTAAAATACAATTGTGTAGACTGGAATACAAATCAAGACATAGAGTGTCTTACTGCTGTGTCATTGTTGTCACCAAATATATGATTCATCAGGATATTGTGTGACCACATTGACAGGACGTGGGAGACAGACATCTTCTTTGATCCCAACATTTCTTTATTGAATAAATAAACTTGAATCCCTGATTTATCATTAAGTTTATCACAAATAGCCTTATTTTTAAATTTCAGATTATTTTTGTATCATATTAGTCCCATATCTTTTGAATGACATCATGATTTTGATGAATAACAATGAATAATCAGTCTTTCTTCAACACACATTCACATTATCTAGCCTACCTGGATATTACATAGCTTCAAAGCATTGAGGTAATTGTAGGTATAGTGAGGGGGTAGGGGATCTGTGTCCCCCCAAATAATTTTATCAAATTTTGGCTTACTCTTAAACAATTTGCATCACACAACTTCCCCAAAATTTAATAGCAATTTTCTGCCCCCTTCTATATATATATAGCACTCCTACGTAAGACTAATATTCTTTTGTCAGGGTAATATATTATTTTGGATTAAAATTGGACTTTTTCATGAATAAAGAAGTAAAATCATTTACACTTGGTTTAGGAGCTAGTCCAACCAGAAGAGCTAGTTTAGTAGCTAATGATTTCTTTTTCACTGCCAGTGGTTCTTCATCAACTTGTACCTGTAAAAGAAAATAGAGTGATGGGTTGTAACATTTAAATCAGATTAGCAGACTATAGGTCTGAGATCTTACAACAGGATGTCATTGCATTTAATTAAACAGAAAGTAGTAAAAACCTTTATGGCTAATAGAATGCAAGCATACACAAAAACTATGCCTTGATATGGCAATTAAGTGTGTAGGACTAGGGAGTAACATTCAGTACCGGTCAAAACCATACTTTAAGATTAACATACATTTATTTTTTCTATGGTCACATGTGCAATGCTAGTGAGAAGAATTTTGCCAGGACAGCAACATTTCTGCCTCTTCATCAAATTTGATCCGTCAAGGGTTAGTGTAGTGTTGTTTTAGAATAAAAGAATAGGAATGAGGTGATTTCACTGTTATCCTCACTATCAGCATGTAACATTTAGGAAACATGTCATAAATATATAATTTACACACCCTGTCAATTCTATGTTTATGAATCAAACCATCTGACTTCAGTGTAAATACCGAAATTCCATCATGCCACCTAAAAAAATAAAACATTGAAAGGAACTATTTTTCTGCTAGTTTATGATTCTTAAAAAATTGTATGTCAATTGATGTATGTGACTTGTGCAATAATTTTACAAACGGGCTGAGATATTTAGTTTTGAAGTTGAAATACATCATAATTACTGAAACAAAGCAAGATGCCATAGCAGCCACAATCAGCAAATACACTTTCAGCTTAAACCTATTAATTATTTGATATACGGTCAATATACTTACCTCATATCATTTTCAAGATTTTTACGATAAGTCCAAGGAGTATATCTCCAAAAATAGAAAATATATAACTGAGGCAAACCACGAACTCGCCATTTTAATGTAATGGTACCATTCTCACGATTAGAACTTATGCTTAAAACCTGCATAACTACTGTATTAAATACACAGTGGGAAATCCCCCTAAATTTTAACATCTGGATAGCATACCGATTGATTCCCCTGAAATTGAAAATGGGTAACACTATATTATTATTAAGTGCAGAGGGATTGCACCACTACAAAAACAATTACACAAGACAATGGATATGGGGGCTAGCCGTAAGCATCCACTCCACTGTACAGGTCTGTACTGTAGTGATACAGGCTTCACTTAAAATGAAAACAAACTATCTTATTCAATATTTTATTAAGTCGTTCCCCAATTAAGTTACTTTGGCAATAATAGGTGTCCAATGTCCATGTTAGTTAATTCATCCATCTTTTTGAGAAAAAAACATCAGGGAGAGTCAATGGGTTTCTTTGCTACACTCTAATATAAATAATGGGATAAGAAATGTGTATACATGACACAGCCTTACATCCCATTTTTAATTCATAAATCACATATTTCTATGTTTCACAAATATAAATTTGTAGATATAGTATTTCAAAACTCACTCAGAAATTTCTTCCTTTCCCCAAAAGTTGTTTTCCAGAATGACATTTGGATGTAATAGGCCATAGTCAAGTTTGTGCTTAAAAAAGTTTTGTACCTGAACAAGTAAAATCAAGAAATTAAAACTTGGGTACATGTATGTACATACAGTTATTTGGTATGGAGCAATAATATATTGAAGAGCTACATTTAAATGTATGGCTTAACTCATTAAAATGTAGGCAAAGTATGTTCTCAGCAGGGTTGTTTCTTGCAACCAGTTCATAATGTCCATACTTCATTTGAAACATCAAAATCTGAAGAAAAAAACCAACATTTTATTCAACAGGTCTACAGCTTACCTCTATAGTTAATGCTTCTTTCATTTTTTCTAATTGTTCAACACTTGGGAGAGATGTACCTTTTGTCGCATTCAAATTCTTCTCACCTTTTGTTTGACCAGCAGAACACAACAGTATATTATCATTTGAAAGAATCGAATTGTCTGATTTGATATCGTTCATAGCAAAATATTTAGAAAAATTGTCTTGATCCTTAAATGTTACCGATATATTTTCTTTGGTGATAATTGAATCACTCAACATGTTGTAATCTACTTTATGAACAGAAGAGTTTGTAGATGGAGATACAATATAAATATCATCTGTGGTGTAGCTGTAAGGTTTTATACAATCAAGAAGACGATGCTTACTATCTATTTTTTCAGAATTAGATAACACAGCACCACGCAATAACCTTTCTATATCCGATTTATTAAGTGGAACGAGACACTTCTCATTAGTATGGTCATTATAATGACCTGGTAAAGATTGGGTGGCAGTTAATGTTTGAATAGCCAAACTAGTTTGAGGCTTGGTAATCTGGATAACTGGCAGATTTTCAGCTAAATTTTCCTCTGGCCAAATCTTTCCTAGCTTACATGACAATCCATCCTGAAAAAGAATAAAATATTCATATCTTTGGATGATAAAATTTATGTTCATCTTCAGATTACAAAGAGACAGAAAAATGGGGTCCCTGGGTTTAATCATTCTCCACACAAGTCTCGCTATCCAGCATTTGACTCTGCTGTCGGCTTGTGCACTACACCGGTTGACTTAGGGGTCATTGGTCACGTGATTAATTACATGTGAAAATTGACATCTGGCAGAAAATTTCCTGGTGTTATAAACACTTTATGAATTTTAGGAGAATTACTACCCCTCCAAAATTCCAGGTTTATTCAGTCTAGCATTTCTAGAGATAGAGAGAGAGAGAAATGGAGTTTAGCGTCCATTTGACACACACTAGGTCATTTTGGGACTAACATGTTTCAATTTTATTTTAATAATTCGCTTGTGCGTAGCAGTCTTTAGCAGTGGGAGGAAACTGGAGCCCTGGAGAAAACCAACGAAGCTGGACAGGCGACCCTACTCTTTGTCATGTACAACTGGGGAATCAAAACCATGTCAGTTGACTCAATGACAGGCCTTATGATATTGTGCCTATGCGCTAACCATTCGGTCATCCCGCTTAGCGTTTCGGCGCAGTACGTTGATCCTGCTACTTAGGGTTAGGTATAGTAGTGGAAGTCAAAAGTGAATGCCAGTCAAGTCGTCCACAAGCAAAGTCCTCCACACGAAAAATCTGGTTAAGTCGTCCACACCCGTTGGTGGAGTCGTCCACACTCGTTGGTGGAGTCGTCCACACGACTTAGTATAATTTCTGGATATAGTAATACGTTGGTGGAGTCGTCCACACGACTTTCGGGACACATAATGTATTTTTAATTAGTATAGTTTTTCTGCGTGGTCACCCTTTCTCCATGCAAAACTATAATTTCTGGATATAGTAATACGTTGGTGGAGTCGTCCACACGACTTAGCATAATTTCTGGATATAGTAATACGTTGATGGAGTCGTCCACACGACTTAGTTTACTTTCGGGACACATAATGTATTTTCAATTAGTATAATTTTTCTGCGTGGTCACCCTTTCTCCCGGCAAATAAACAACAAAGTAAATCATTTTATTCAATAAATAACATATTCATAAATTTTTTTAACAAATTCAATAAATATTCATTAATATAACAAATTCAATAAATAACAAATTCAATAAATATTCATTAATATAACAAATTCAATAAATAACAAATTCATAAACAAGTTCATTAATATAACAATTTCATTAATATAACAAGCCCCATGCACAAATGACTTCCTATACTGCTACCAAACGACTCACGTCCTTTAAAAGCCCTGATATACTTTTTTCCCCTCAAATTTCTTCCTTTGTCGCCTCTTTAATTTATTCTCCAAAACCAGTCGTTGTTGTAGTTCTGCCGTTTTAGATTCATCGTGTAACAGTTTGATTAGAAGATAAAATTGAAGGTTATTTCTCGCGGCCTTGTGGTTGATTCTCCGATGCCATCCCTCGACGTCGTTGTTGGTTCTAATTGGTTATAAAAATACACACCAATTTTCGATGTCCCAGTGTGAAACCCTAATTATTTAATATCATTATTCAATATTTGACTATATGAAGTATTTGACTAGTAAGTAAGTAATTTACCTTTGTATAATCCTGTGTCCGACGTTTAGACATCAAGCAGTACAGCAGAGGTAACTGCTTGATGTCATCCCCTGACCGGACAAACCCGGTTTGTGACGGCCAAGCACATAGTTACCACCCCTTTCCGTGACTGTAGTATACTTCATTGCAAAAACATCGGTGAACAAAAAACTAACAAAACAAACAATAACATCAGCGTTTTGAGTACGAGTAAATTGTGTACGAGTCTTATTCTTAGTTGTGGACGACATCACCAATAGTTGTGGACGACATCACCAATGCCTTGTGGACGACATCACCAATGCCTTGTGGACGACTCCACCAATGGGTGTGGACGACTTCACTGTGGACGACTTTGCTTGTGGACGACTTCACTGGCACCCTCAAAAGTAGCCGGGTCAACGTACTACTAGTACTAGGCCAGCGTTTCTAATGTCACTCCCAAATCTGAATAGCTTACGTATGATATATCTGTCACAATAAAAATCATCAATTGTCATTCAGGGCAATGGCGATCTCCGAGGTGACAAGAAAGAAAAACATTTAATAAATGTCCAATGATATTATAAGACGGCACCAGCCAGGTTAAAAGGACAAAGTCAACTCAAAGTTGAAAATAAACTTTACCTGCGCCTCTGTTTCTTTCGAGACACTGTCTGATTTATTACCACCGCATTCTATACTGTATGCAACAGATCGTAATCGGCTAAATTTCCGAAAATTATGCTGGAAAACGCGTAAATGAAAGGACATTTTTCTGCTAGGTTAACCTTTAATTCATACTATGTTAATCGAAGCCAAAAATTACTTTTGACGAAAACAGGAAGTAGCTTTCTAGCATGCGGTTTCGTCAAGATCCACAAGCCTCACTGATTTAAAAATGTGCGACATTTTATACAATCAAAAATGACCTTTTGATCGAGAATACATATGCCACGTACTATCTCGCGAGAATACAGGTTTGACAACATGGCAGTATCTTAAAGAAAACAATCAGTTTCAAGAGAAAAGTTCAGGATTCAAGCCGTCTTCCATTATAATTCAGGGCTGAGGCATACATTTACGAAAACCTGATTAAGTTCTAAAATGGATTCTCACCGTGTATCAGAAATTGTTGTTGTGCTGGTGGTTGTTGTTGTCATTTTTGACAGCACTGTGGCGATGACAGCATACGAGAAAAGAGAACTGAAGTGAGTAGGCTAGGGTCTACAATATTTCTCTACAGGATCTATAGCATATGATCAGTTCTTTCATTATGGTCAGCTTTAGATCTGTATACACATTTTACCTCACCTAGTACATAGGCCTCAAATTAATAGACTGCGAACTATATTTTATTATGGTTAGTTTAGATTTAGTTAAAGTAGCGAGCAGAGTCGATACAATTTAGGTAACTAAAGTAACTAGTTTAGATCAGACCTATATTACATGTACATTAGACATTACTTAGTCCATTTAGATTATTTCACACTACAAGACAAGTACAAATGAGCCATTAAATTTAATCATTCTAATTGTTGAATATTTAGGAGTTTAAGCTCAGGATACTTACATACATTTTATAATATTATCGAATAATAATCTTGTTTATCTCTATAATAACGTCACTTATTGAAAACAATGATACATATTAATTGTCTACAAGAACAGTCTAGATAAGTCGTCCACAAATATCAAAATACGCTCGTTAAATCGTCCACACGACATTAGTATAGTATTCATATTAATTATAAATTATAATTAAGTGTACTGAGTGATGCTTTTTAGTCGTATCCACATGTTTTTCTTTCATCGTGCATCTTGTCAGGAATGAAGCTGAAAAATGCAAATGACTCATAGGGACTTTAAAAAATTGTATATGACCATAATATTTTTTAAGTGTATACAAGAAATGGGTAGTGTTGGTTTCTCTATGAATTAAAAACAATATTGCTACCAGTACTTTAATGTTTCATGATTTTATTATTTCAGAAATCAGGTTTTGGAAATGTTTGACCATGCATACAAATCATATATGGTAAGTGTAAACTTGTATATCATTCAAATGACTTTAGACATTAAAATAGATTCCGAGTCCTCAATTGAGTTGTTTCTTTTTGAACATCATTATTTAGGGTTAATGTGTTGACAGTTGATGAAATAGTTTAAATTCAAATATTTCTTCCCACAAAAATAACAAAACAATAGCTACAATAGATTCTAATTAAATAATAAATTTTTTCTTTCTTCAGAATTATGCATTTCCAGCTGATGAATTAATGCCCCTGAGTTGTAAAGGTCGATTCCGTGGCACACATCCAAACCGAGGAGATGTTGATGATAGCCTTGGAAAGTAAGTTGTACCATTTGATTTTATTCCAGATAAAAAGAGATCAATTCTTTAATCTTAAATGCCCTGACTAAATTCAGGCTTTCTGATTGTACAATAAAAATTGCCATTAACCCAGATTTATATTGATCTGCTAGTTGGCTTCAGGGAATAGATAGATACTGTTAAAGATATATTATGTATGATTTGGATGGATGAAGAGCTGGCCATTCTTGCTACAATAGTTCACAAATAGTTAATGAGTTATTAGTGTAGATTGTTTATTATTATAGCTATTGTACTTATGCATTTTATCATTAAATTTTTAAATCTCGCCATTCAATGGTCTAGAGGGTTGATTATAGGCTTGTCATGTGAATAAATGTCTAAATATTAAAATTTATATAACATTTGAATTTGAAGCCAAAATAAAGACCTGCAATAGGCAGAATTAGCTTTTACATAATACATCTTTAACAGATGAAATCATGATTACAGTTTTAATATATGATAGGTGTGTAATACTACATGTATAATTTATAACTGCATAATTTTATAATTGAGGTTAAAGTGTGAGCACAATGTTATTTCCTTGATATTAATTTGTTTTCATACGCCCACATTTTCATGTGAACGTATTATGCCGTCGCCCCCTGTCCATCCATCCATCCACAGGTCACAATTGCTATCCATTTGACAAAATTTGAAAAATGTTCGAATATATCACTATTACACTGTAAGGTTGATTGAGTCCGAATTTCGTGAAAATCGGACCAAAACTGCCAGACAAAATGGCCGCCCCTCGTACGTAAATAGTGTAAAAATATGGTATATCGAGGTTGTGGACCTTCTAGAATCCACAATTTTTATCCGATTTTGATGAATCTTTAAATTTATGTTTATATCACAATGATCCAAATGGAACTTCCTGGATTATGGCCCCTGATTGTTCAAAAAATCGCATTTTTAGCTTGTGGATTATCTAGAGGTGACAAATTATTATCTGATTTTAAAAAACGTTTAAATATATCACCATTTGAATTTCGGGAAAATTGAAATGAAACTGCCCATCAAAATGGCTGCTCTTTGTACGTAAATTGTGTAAAAGTATGTAATACGAAGGTTGTTGACTCTCTAGAGGTAAAAATTTTATCCGATTTTGACGAAACTTAAAATGTATCTTTATATTCCAAATATCCCAGTCCATTTCGATATTCGCGCCTTTCAGACCATAACTTGCTGGATTATGGCCCCTGGTTGTACAAAATCGCTTTTGTTTTTAGCTTGTTCTATATCCATCTCTTGCCTGGCAACCGCAGGTTAAAAATTTGCTCCACCACTGAAATTTTGAATGAAAGATTTTATGAATGAAAAAAAAGCAGCCTGATTGATAAATTAATTTTTATACAAATCTTTAAAATATATTTTTTCAGTTTTACCCTCTCTCTGATTGACAGCTTAGATTCCTTAGCAGTAAGTTACATGTATTTATACTTTAAATATACAATTGTTTGACATGAAAGATTGTACGTCATGCTTATTGAACTATTAAAAGTCAATAATTACTTCCTGTCTAGTTTTATTTTTCCTGGCAACTTTGCAGAACACTGTAGTATAAAGAACTGATTGAACAGACTTTAGATATTGGTATTCTTTAGTCAGAAATAGCATTGATTCAGACAAGAGTAAAATAATGACAAAAGTATAGAACTACTAGCAACCTATATTACATGTTGCCTTCATCAGGGAGTTACTTGGTGACATACATTCCATTTCAATACACCTGATCTCTGGAAACAACAAATACTTTAGAGTTCATTTATTTGTATCATGCAGAATATTTCTGTTGCATTAAATTTACCATGGGCTGTCCTCCTGAAACCTATTTACTCGTTGATACATGACATGTTGACTTGGAATACAGTGATGTAGACTGTAGTGTCTTATTCAAGGACACAATTATTCAACATCCAGCTAGAGGGAGGATTGGGCATATATGTAACTGTGTGGTTACTGATCTAGCTTGCTAACTGCTGTGTCATTTCCCTCCTTTCTGTGAAACAATATTGTATTAATATTTATTAAACCCTTCTATAAACAATATTGGATTAGTATTTATTGAAACACCTAATAAAAGAAGACAACTATTTATATTAAATAAACGAAAAATAATGATAATTGATTTGTCAGACTTAAATTTCTAAACTGCTTTCAAAATGTACAATTTCAGATATTAGGAAAATTGGAAGATTTTGAACAAGCTGTGCAGTTGGTGATTGCTAATACTAAATTTGATGCAGATGTTATTGTATCAGTATTTGAAACCAATATCAGAGTTTTGGGGTAGGTGATCAATAATTATGTCATTTCTAGAGAAAGATAGTTCTGAGAAAACTTGAAATATCATGATAAAGTGAGATTGCAAATAGGCCTATATGCCTTAGCGGTTTATGGAATAATAGACTGAGAAATAGGCAACCACTGAAATTTTCTCTGGATTTCAAGATATGATCTTATTCTTTGATAATCTAAATGAGGTTTTATATTATATTTGTATTTTTGCCAGGGGTTTATTAGGTGGCCATGTTGCTGCAACATCATTTAAACGACGTAAAAAAGCTGTAGAGTGGTATGATGGTGAATTATTAGAAATGGCAAGAGAAGTAGGATTGAGACTTCTTCCTGCATTTAACACAACTACGGGTATGCCATATCCTAGGGTATGTATATATACCATTGTTAGAATAACTTTTAATAGAATTACTATAGTAACCAGTAACAATGTATCTCAGTTAGAGGGAATAAGTTATATTTGAGTGTTTCTTGTAGTGTACAAAACTTTATCATTTCTAACTTTCCCTTGTCTTTTGTGTAAAATAAAGTATGGGACTTTTAGTATTAAAATAGGTTCGTCCGTCTGTCCCTTTAGGCCACAATAACTCTGATTCTAATTGAGCTAGAATGTACAAACTTGGCGAATGTTTTGACCGGGTTCAATGATCAGAATTTTCTTGGTTAGACCGAGCAGAGATAAACAATTTTATGTTGAGACTTTGGGACACAATAAGCCTGCTTCTATCTGGGACCATTTGATGAGCCATAGATAGTATATAGTCAAAGATATAAGAATACTGCTCATATTTTAGTTTTAGATTTCTCATAATTAAGGCAACATCTCCTGTAATTTGAATGTTTGTCCTAAAATAAAGATAACCGCTTGTTTAATTGACTTGTTTATATTTAGAGCATTAATAAAGATAACCACTTAATAAACTGAGCTGTTTTACATTCAGAACATTAATAAAGATAACAACTTGTTTAACTGAATGAACATTGAAAAGATAATCGCTTGTTTAAAGTTGCAATTTCATATTTTTACGTTATATTTTTAAAATTTATTAAAATAAAGCCTTAAAATAGATGGTATCTATAAACAGTCCTACCTTGTTAAAGAATAATCCTATTAATCCTATAATTCACTATTGCCAGTTGAGAAATTGGCAAAAATATCATTTTCCTCTTCAAATTCAAACGTTTGAGGATAGCTACTCCATGGTGGAGAATAGAAAACAAGGGAGGTAATTGGGAGGTAATTGTGTTATTATTTCTTGTGTAAATGAGTTTTAAGTGTGAGAATGACACCTATGATCGTATAATAGTGAGTTGACAACTTATTGAGCAAAAGACATAGAAATAATTATGTTTTGACTTTCTTAGAAAATATGAAATGGTAACTTTAACCGAATTGTTTACATTTAGAACATTAAAAAAGGTAACCACTTGTTTAACCAAGTTGTTTACATTTAGTTTAGAACATTAATAACATTAATAAAGATAACCACCAGTTATTAATTAACTGATGAGTTAATTACATTGAGAACTTTGTTTATTGCAGATCAATTTAAAACATGGTATTACTACATATTTATCAGCAAATGTCAAAGATACATGTACAGCATGTGCTGGTACTATGATATTAGAATTTGCTGCTTTAAGTCGTTTGACTGGGGATCCACAGTTTGAGGTAAATCTTCTTTTATTCTAGTGCTGAACCAAACCTGGTTTTTTTTTGTTTAACAAAGTTTTTTGAAAGAGAAAAAGCCAAGAGGACTGTTTTGATAATTTTCCTATGATTGTGTTGAAAATCTGTTCTAATCATGATCCTGGAAATTATATCTAACAATGATGTAGGTTAGGACAAATCTACTCTATTGTTTTCTATCAAAATCATTTTGTTAAATACAATTATGTAAATTTTTCAGGAGAAGGCACGAAAAGCTATGGATTATTTGTGGCATCAAAGACATAGAAGTACAGATTTAATGGGTACTGTTATCAATATTCACAATGGTGACTGGATCAGAAGAGGTAATCATCCATATTTTGACTGTTTTATCATGTAACAGTATTTTAAAATATATTTTTATAATCTATAGCTGTTCAGAAATGCAAACTGTTTTTTGTATACAATAGTCCATATTTGGTTGTCATAATGCACTTACGTTGTTTAAGCACAGAAATTACATAGTATATCAGGATGTAAATAATCCACATCAAAACTTACAATTAATTACAAATTAAGCTATGATTGTTCAGTTTTTTATACGCCCACATTGAAATGTGGACATATATTGCCGTCGCCCCCGTCCGTCCGTCGGTCCGTCGTCCACAATTTCTTGTGAACGCTCTAACGCCAAAAGTTATCATCCGATCTTTCTGAAATTTACATGCATTATTTAAATTAGTGAAACGAAGAAGCCTATTGAATTTCAGCAATTTCCGTTTATTACGTCTAGAGTTATGGCCCTTGTTTCACTTTATTGAACCTTGTGAACGCTCTAATGACAAAAGTTATCGTTCGATCTTTGTGAAATTTATATGCATCATTTAGATTACTGAAACGAAGAAGCCTATTGAATTTCGGCAATTTCCGTTTATTACGTCTAGAGTTATGGCCCTTGTTTCACTTTATTGATCCTTGTGAACGCTCTAATGTCAAAAGTTATCATCCGATCTTTCTGAAATTTATATGCATTATTTAGATTACTGAAACGAAGAAGCCTATTGTATTTCAGCAATTTCCGTTTATTACATCTAGAGTTATGGCCCTTGTTTCACTTTATTGATCCTTTAGAACGCTCTCACGTCAAAAGTTATCATCCGGTCTTTCTGAAATTTATATGCATTACTTAGATTGCTGAAACGAAGAAACCTATTGAATTTCAGCAATTCCCGTTTATTACGTCTAGAGTTATGGCCCTTGTTTCACTTTATTGATCCTCGTGAACGCTCCAACGCCAAAAGTTATCATTCGATCTTTGTGAAATTTATATGCATTATTTAGATTAGTGAAACGGAGAAGCCTATTGAATTTCAGCAATTCCTGTTTATTACTTCTAGAGTTATGGCCCTTGTTTCACTTTATTGATCCTTGTGAACGCTCTAACATCAAAAGTTGTCATCCGATCTTTCTGCATTATTAAGGTTACTGAAACGAAGAAGCCTATTGAATTTCAGCAATTTACAATAATTACTTCTAGTGTTATTGCTCTTGTTTCATTTTGTTAAACCTTGTTAATGCTCAATTGATGATAGTTATCATCCGATATGTATGAAATTCATATGCATCATTTAAATTTGTGAAACAGGTCTATTGAATTTCAGCAATTTCCGTCAATAATTTCTAGAGTTATGGCGATTGTGAACGTTTGAATGACAAATGTGATCTGTATGAAATTTATATTCATTATTTAATTAGTAAAACGAAAAAGCCTGTCAAATTTCAACAAGTTGAGACCCTTGTTTCAGTTTGTAGAACCTTGTAAACCCTCAAACGACAAAATTTATAATCTCATCTGTATGGAACTGTCTTGTAAAGGCCCTCAATTACCTACAAAGGAATAAATATGCGACAACCCTTGACGACCGCTTGGACGATTTAGCTGCTGTGGGCGTATGTTTTGTTGCCTGGCAACCTATCTTTATAAAAAGCTTGTTCTATTTTTAACAGAGAGTGGTGTTGGTGCAGGGATAGATTCCTACTATGAATATGTATTAAAAGCTTATATATTATTAGGAGATGAAAGTTATTTGGATAGATTTAATAAGGTGAGTCTTGAGTCCTTTGGCTGTAAACATACTCTTTCTTAAGTGGTAACAAAGTGACTAATTTTGTAAAAGGAAAAGTTGGTACATTTATAATAAATCTGCTGTGATCATGATGTAAAAATGTTCTGAATTGCAATTGAACGATATAGAATTGATTCCTGTCACAGTTCAGCCTGCCCCCAAAATAGATGTGGGGTGATCAGAAGTGTGAGACAATAAAATGGTTAAGCTGTAGTGATTGGATGAGATAGTATTCAATTTGCACAAGCTGTGGTGATTGAATGAGATAGTATTCAATTGGCACAAGCTGTGGTGATTGGATGGATGAGATAGTATTCAATTGGCACATGCGGCGCCGCAAGAAATTCAATTTCAGATTGTTTGATCAACTATCCGCCAGATTATCAAAATGTCTTTTGTGGTCTAAGGGGAGATAATAGGTAATGGAAGAGTTATCTTCCTTTAAACATTTATATACACATTAGCACAGTTTATTTGGGATTTTTGTTACAAAGAAATTCTTTGTAGTTAATTTATGTTTACTTTTAAGACATGGACAGGTCAAGCACTCCTGCTAACAAAATATACCTTGTATTGAAGTCAGTATTTAAAGATAATATTTAATTTGCCCACATATTATATTATAATTTTTTTATTATGCAATTTTTCAGCATTATACAGCTGTTATGAAATATATAAGTCAAGGTCCCTTACTAGTAGATGTTCACATGCATAAACCACAATCACCATCTAAAAACTTTATGGATGCTCTGTTAGCATTCTGGCCAGGTTTACAAGTCTTAAAAGGTGATTTGGATCCAGCTGTAGAAACACATGAAATGTTATACCAGATTGTACAAAGACATAATTTCTTACCAGAGGTATGTTATATTTGGGATTCTACATTCTAGAATGCTAGATAAAAATTATAATAGATAGACATTGTGTGATTACTGCCCTCAGTCTCTGCATTTGTTTGAATAATGATATACATGAAAATTACCAGGAATGTTACTGTTTTATTTTTGTAAATGTTTTCAAGAACAACTAATTGACTTACAAAAACCAAGTCATTTTATATCTTGTAACACATTTTTCAGGCTTTCACAACAGATTTTAGAATACATTGGGGTCATCATCCATTACGACCTGAATTTGTGGAATCAACATATTTTTTATATAAGGTAAGGCATTTCTGTATGCAAAACTATTTACCATGAATAATAATATGGACACCACTTTGTTTTAATCATCTGTAGTACTTTAATTTAAAGCAATTGATTTTGAAATTTTTCAATGTGCCTGGAGAACTGATTTAGTGAAATTGGAAGAAAGGTAGGTTGGAAAAGCTGCTGAACAGACCAAATAATGCTTCATCTTGACTACTAGATAGATTTAAGAGCTTCAATTTTTAACAATCTGACACAACAGATTGCAGTCCTTTATAAGAGTTCCAAGCTATCTGCTCATGCTTTAGGTATTGCCTTGTACATTGTAATATGTTCAATTGAAGAGAACTTTATTTAATATATCCATATTAATTATCTCTATAGGCTACAGGTGATCCATATTATTTAGAAGCTGGTAAAAAAGTTATAGAGAATTTAAATGAACATGCTAGAGTACCATGTGGTTTTGCTGCTTTAAAAGATGTTACCTCAGGCACACATGAAGATCAGTAAGTTTATTAAAATATGTCTGCCAGGTTTTTATTCGTACAAAAAAGTATCATCATTAGATATCAAATGTTTGCCTGTTTGAATTAGATAAAGTCATACATTACGGTATATGTAATTTGTTTCGTTTATTTTAAGTTTGTTTCAAAACTAAAAGGAAACATTTCTGATGCTCTTTTATACAGATATTTCTCCACATATAACATGAACACATTTGTTTTCAAAATAATGGCTAATTTGATTTATTTTGATGATGAAAAATGTGTTATTTTAAAATGATGTGTTAAATAAAATGTTGAGATGTATTTGATCTTTATTTCAGGATGGACTCATATGTTTTAGCTGAAACATTTAAATATTTATATTTACTATTCTCTGAGAAATCTGATCATGTATTAGAAGTTGATGATTATGTATTTACAACAGAAGCTCACATTCTACCATTAACATTATCAGTATTCAATTCTTCACAAGTACAATTAAAGGCAAGTTTATTATTACTATGAGAAATTCATTTATTTTATTGCGTTTGATCCGTTGAGTTGTTCAATCTTCACCAAGCTTCTGTGTTGGTGTCATCTCTCTGTACCATGTAAGATAATATCATAAAATATTGTATACAGATATACAACATACTCAAATGATGGGGGAAGGCGGATGTTTTTTCATGACTTACATGATGCAAAATTAAAACCTCAGTAGAAATCCATCTAGCTGTTCAGGAGAAAAAAGGATAACGGTTAACATAACGATGTCGGAAAAAGGTTATGGCACAAGTTTCTGAGGCCGCAACAAGCCAATGATGAAAATCCTCGGTCCAAGTAGTTGAACAGTTATAAAAACTCTGATTATTATTATGTTTTTTTCAACATCAATAGTGATACGAGTGCTGTATACAACCACATTTTAAAAAACAGAATAGACAGAAATGATTTCGACAATATTTGATTTCATTTTTATCTATACATGGTGTGCAGCATAGTGAAATCAACATCTAATTTTCTTGATTTGCTTAGGTTTAATTTTAAACACTTGACTTGTAAGTATCTGATGTTATTGTAATAAAATATTGTTTATTTTAGATTGATAGAGAAGCTTATAGTAAATTAAAAGATATACAGTCTAATCCTACAACAGACTGTTATAAATCTACACCATTTGATGAAGAAGCAGAGGATCACAATACTTGTCCTAATTTTCACATTACATCAGCCGGTGGTTCTAACTTTGCTCATGATTTACGTCATCCTATGAAAGATTTAGTCAATAGAGTCAGTCCCAAACCTAATAGGTAAATAGATTTACTTGTCACAAATTACATTTGTTTTTGTTTTTTCTTAAATTCATAACATTTTGGTTTGTGATTTTTAATGATTGTTTAAACATCTGATGGACATAAATCGACTTTAAAGAAATGTTTATTGTTTCTCTCAAATTGTTGTTTGCTCAAATGTTGTGTACACAAAGGTTTTGTAGCAATATCAGGGACTGATTCATTGGATTATCTTAATCTTTAGTTTTAAAAAGTCAATCTTTGGTCGAATAAAAAAAAATTGCCAAATGAGCACAAAACTTGAACATTAAGTTACTTCCTCTGTTGGAATTACCTTCTTTTGATGTTATAAATATCTGTATTTTCTGTTTCAAACAGAAATAACCAAAAATATGAATGACGTGGTTACATTTTACTGAGAAAAACTATATGCTAATTTGAACCTTGATATTCCTTGACTTCCATGCAGGATCGCAGGTTAAATACAGTAATATGAATTTATTTATTGATTATTTATGTTGTAGAAATTCTCAGCGTTTAAAAGCTATAGAGTTTATAGCTGGTAATAAAGAACAGTTGGAACAGTTAAATCAGATGGGTATTAGAATAGCTACTATGAGTGATGGTAGAGTTCAATTATTACATACAGCATCTGAGGTCTGATATTTTTATGTACCCTTATTTTAATATTTTTAGAAATTGTAGTCTTACCATGTCCTCAATCTGGGTTCCATTCACATTAGTGAGAAAAGTTAATAATGAATCTTTAAAATTAATTGCTGCATAGTAATCATCATCTTTATTGACAATCTTTATCTTTTAGTAATTCTAGTTTATTATCATTGTTCTTCGAATCTTTTTTTATTTATAAAAATTCCATATTATTTGCTCAATTCCGATGAAGAGAGAATATTTTATCCTCTGTGATGGACCACAACTGAGTGTATTTTGTGTCAGTAAACCACCCTTGTTACTTTCATTTGATATATAAGCTTTATTTCAATATTAGCTAAATGGTGAAAAGATTTTATCCTGGTATGCTTTTGATTTTATTATATTTTTAAAGGCTGCTACACCAGAGGATGCTGAAGATGGTATGAGATTTATGCAGGAAATGATAGAATTGTCTAAAAAACAGAAACCTGAAGCTCAACATGATCCTATGTATGTACAGATGGTTAGTCAACCGTATTATGGTAGTGTTTATTATAAAGCTGGACCAGCACAGTTTGGTTATGATCTGAAAGCATTACCTCCAGTAAGTAAATTTAGATCTATATAACTATACAAAGAGGCAAAGTGAAAGTAAAAGTTGAATAAAATGAAAGTAAACAGGACATAATTATCGTGTCAAATACTATTAATTATGAGACTGTCATATACTATTATTTTTATTGACAATGTAATGTATGATGTACGTCCTCTCCTAGGAATATTACACAGTCTCTTTTATTACACACTGGTAAATGTGAGTTCACATTTGAAAATCATGAAAATGGTTGGTCATGGTTTGATTTTTAAGTTAATTTTAAGTGATTTTTTTTTCTTTCATGTGTTTGTGCTATATCCAAATAAGTGACCACCATGTAAGGATCATTTATATTATGATTTATATTATATTGTAATACAACAGGTACAAGGTAAATTAGGTGTAGCTGATCCTATCAAAGCATGTACAGCATTTAATAATATAGATGATTTAGGTGGTAAAATTGTTATAATAGAGAGAGGAGATTGTATGTTTGTTGATAAAGCCAGGAATTTAATGCATGCTGGTGCAATTGGTGGAATAGTTTTAGGTAAGTAACACAATTATTATGAGTTAAATTATTGTATATTGATGAATACAGCAAAATTTTTAAATTACTTCAAAAAGTACTGTTTTCTTAAAATAGCTGTAGGGCGTAGGCCTACTTATTGTATTTAAAGTAATCATAAATTACAAAATGAAACTAAAATTTATAAGGCTTATTTGAATTTTGAATCCTATTTCTTAGGGGAAAAATTGAGAATTTAAAAAAATCAAAAATATCGGGAAATGGTAACTTAAACAATTGCACCTCTTTCTTTAGGCCTGAAATGTTATCTAAATTATTAATTAGACATTAATTAATTTATCCAGACCATAATCAACTCTCAATGTCATTGCTAGCCTGTGATAATTTCTGGATTAGAATCATATCTGCTGCTTAACGCTCATTGATAATTAAATCTAACAATGGATAATCAAGACTATATTTTTTATTGTACCGACTTTAGTAATGATGATCGAGGCTAGATCCAAAATTCAATCGCTAAGATCTTTGTTCAGAGTGGATCAATTTGACTGAAATTTTTAGCAAATAGCCTTTACATTATCTAGTTTTTAACTATATAGTGAGAACTGCCAGCTCTTTATCTAATCTCCCATAATGTTAAAGTACTGAGTAAGACATTTTATGCACTGTTTTTATTTTTATCACAAGTTGTTTCGTTTATTATAGATCATAATGAAGGTACAAGTGGTGAAGTACAAGCTTTATTTGCTATGTCTGGTGACGGCAGAGAAGATATAACTATACCAATGGTCTTCTTATTTCATAAAGAAGGTCATGATATCCTAACAGCGTTACAAACATTCCCTGATTTACAAGTTTTACTTACTAAATATCCAAAATCACAAGGTAACCTTTATAAATGATTAATTACATTATTTATTGTTATAGTCAGGTGGGACAATTAGGTTTCTTTAATCCTTTAGCACTAAGTACATGTAAATCTGGTTCCTTGAAAAAAATGTTCTTTAGAATAGTCTTGTTGGTCATGCACACATGTTTTGCGATCATATTTTCCCTTCATCTGGAAATATTTCATAAAGAAGATTATAATCTTATATGCATCTATACTAACATTTACATATGGATTGTTTTGAAATTAATAGTTACAATTTATTATAGATTCCTTTTTGCCTGGAGAAACAAATGTAAAAAGTCCTGAGGGACCAGGATCTATCACAGTTACTCCTAATGTTTATGATCCTACACATCAGTATGATGCTGACACTGGACAACCAGTACCATCTGATCCCAGTATTAAAACTGATGGTCTTGATTCTTCAGATGAACAACATATCTTCTCTATAAAGACAGGTAATAATACAATATGGTCAAATGTAATATAATCAGTTGTATTACTAAAGAAAATGAAGTATCTCTTACTTTATCTAGAAATGTAATTCGTTGATTGAATCCCAGAGATGAGTTTCATTTCTATTCACATAAAATAATCGATAAGCATTGTTAATCAAAGTCAAGTCTGGCTCTTTTATTGTTTGATATGGAATTAGTAGAGGATTAGACTATTTTATACCATGTTATTCATAATCATAAATTATCTGATCGGCCATTTTCATTTATTGTTATTTTACTCTTGTTATTAATTAAAGCTTCATCAGTCAAGGAGGCTGGGTTGGATGACCAAATGGTCTAGGGTGTGCACTTTGGTATCAATTCCACACTTGCATGTAACAATGACTCAAAGGAGGGTCACCTACCTAACCTTGTGGGTTTTCTCCAGTTTCCTCCCACTGCTTAAGACCGCTTCACAGAATTGAATTCTTGAATAAAATTGTACCATGACAAAGTTTGGACCTCCCTCTCACACTGCCATCTTTATTACTCTTTTTAGACATATAAATTATCCTCTGAAGGTGTAGTTATCAAAAATTAAATTGATTTTAATTTAATAAACTGGTTTCAGAAATGATTATATCTGAAATTGGTAATCAATTTAAATTATGGTAAACACAATGATCCATATATCAAGATGGCAGAGCAAAATAAAAAAATAAAAAAACAAGGATTAGGTGAATTGTGTGAAATATTATATTTATTTTTTGCAGGGTCCAAGAAAATTCATATGAAAGTACACGTTTCTACTAGTCCTAATGAGCCTACTATAGATTCTAAAGAACGAGATGATGGTGTCTTACAGTTAGATATTTTACCTGATGGTTCCAAACAACTCACTTTTAATCTGAACCAGAAGAAATCAAGTGATGAAAAGAAATCCAAACCACAATTAAATCAAATATATGTCGACCTTGTTCAAATCTTACAAGAAAGAACAAACTTTCCCAAATTAAGCGATCAACCTGAATACCTCATAGCCATTGCCAGATTCCTGGAATCAGCCTATTTTAATTTTGCTCATGTAGATTCAAAAGCAACTGAAATGATTGAGAAACTAGCCGCTGAATTGATTTTTCAAAAAACAGCCAGAGACATCGAAGCCATTAGGACAGGAAAATATGATCTAGATAAAAAGAATCTGGAAGATTCTGATTCACAGGCAAAAAGTGATAAAGGAGAAAAACCTTACGTGAAACTTGTTCCTCCAGATGAGGAGTCAGGCAAAAAACATGGAGCAATAGTGGATGAAAATGGTGTTTTAAAAATTTTAGATGACAATTTAGTCAGAAATGGGAAACTAATTAATGACCCACTGTTAAAGAAAACCATTGACGAATTTGTTGAAAGTGTGCTTGGTAAAGAGTTAAATCTTCAACCAGCCAATCAAGTATCTCAGGAAAATCCCAGTGAACAATTTCAATCTGAAGAAAAATCCGAAACGGCTCAAGTATTTAATCCTCTTAATGACAATTCTAATGATAATATTGTTGTAAATGAGTATTCAAATAAAGACAACTTAGAAAATAACAACTATGCAGACAATAAAGCCGATTCTTCACCAACAGAAAACTACACAAGAAATCCACCAAGCTCTCAAGAAGCAGAGAATAAAAAAGATGAGCTATAATATTTCAACTGTGATAATTTGTTATTGTTATTATTTTTTGTTGATTGATTCTAGAATGATTTTTTGCAATATTTTCTTATAAACTCCCAATTTTTGAAATTGTACCATGTTTGTATTTCTTGAATAATTTGTATCTTTAGTAATTGCAATGCAGTTGTAGCTAAAGCCAAAATTGAACACATGCCAAATAGAAACTACTGTAAAAGAAAACAATATTAATAATGACGAGGTACATTTATTTCATGATGTATTTTGATTTAATTGAGTGGTTTTAAACATTAATATTTTACTTTAATTTTTGGTTTCAAACAGAAGTTGTTCGTCTCAAAATTGCTCCAAAAGGAAGCGGAAACATATATTGTAGCCACATTTCTGTATCAAACATTAAATGTCAGGTTCATATGAATTACACTTTAAGTAATGTTTCGTAAATAAAACAATTAAAGAGTTCCAGGGATATGTTATTCCTAAATCTAGGGTTTAGAGGGTTAACTGTGTTTACTGTGTCAAAACAGACAACACTGCAGAAATGAAAACTGCCATTAGTCACCTGCAGGTTGTTTTCTTTGGAAAAAATGTCTTTCATATTAACTTCCTATTTTCTTAACCTTTATCTAGTATAAATCCAACATTTTCAAAATAGTTTGTCATTTGACAACCTAAATTTTCAACACTAGTCCAAATTTGAACTCTCGGTCATGTTTGTGTTTTAATTGATATTATGTTTGTGTGGTGGTAATATTCCTATTGTTTAAATGATTCTTTTAAATTCAAAATCGTGTATGAATATAATTTCTAAATTGAGATGGCAAAAATTATTTAACAAAGTTATTACATTAGTCTCATAAAAGTCTAATTTTTATACACCCACATTTTAATGTATTTGTATATTGTCATCAGCCCTGTCTATCTGTTTCTCAGTCACATGCTACAAAAATCCGTATGTCTTTTTCATCGCAGAGAGGAACCCTATTGATTTTCAACATATTTTTCATGATCACCTCCGAGTCTGGTCTAACTGTTCATCTTGCCTGTGTAGGAAAATATTGTGCATCTTCTTGTTGTGTAGGCCAACCAAATTGAAATATTATAAAGATTATAATTTAATTGAATTGAGGATACATATATTTTCATTTGACAGAAACCAAGTCAGCTGTTGACTGTGTAGTTTTGTTGTAAATATATGAATTTTTTTGTGAGAAGTAGAATTTAGAAACTAAAATATTGGACAATGACCATTGGTGCAGCTTTTGTCTTGACATAAAAATATTAGAAATAATATATTCAGTTACTCATAACCTTGTACATTTATAAAAACCTTTACAAATAAAGGTGTTGATATTTCTATATTAAAAAAAAGTACTATTATATTATGTAAATATATGTATTATAGACAATTTCCTAACATGTACTGATTGTAAATTATTTTATTTTTAACATTTCACTTGACCTATATACTTAAAAACTTAAGTGCCAGTATTTCTAGAAAAAATTATGGTTTGTAAAATGGTGTTTACCATTTTACTCTTCATGTTTGATAAACTGTTTCAGTGGCATTTAGTAATTGCCAGAAATACACAGGACTCAATTCTATGGCATTCAATTACTGTGCCACATTTCGCCTAGGATTTGTGGTCTTTATCAAGCAATTATAAAAAATGAATGAACATTATATACAACAACATTAATGATGACCACCAATTTTAAGTAGTTAAGAGAATTGTACACAGAGTCAAATTAAATTTATAGTCTCCCAGGACATTTGTGTTACGAATCTATATTTATACACATTGACCACCCCTGGCATAGTGTACAGTGTTTATTTTTGCCATAATATACTTGCTATCTATCTTGTAGATATATATATATATATAGATATATATATATATATATATATTAAATAGATAAATTAGAGTACTTATACTTTTATTCAACATTGACAAATGAAATAATTTTTTTTATTTTACTTCATCTCTGGAAGAAAAGCAGCTGATTGTGGACATAAAGCCTATGCCTTAATCTGGCCCTGATTATATTATAAATGCTGAAGATATAGATTAGCTTTGTATGGATATTATATCTTCACTCATGTGAGAATATATGTTTGTATGGCCAGTCTTGCAAGAAGTGTAGAGGACTGGACTCCTATCTGCACATGTAATAATATTGTAATGTTTAACCAAATTTAGGTGAATATGAAATTTAGTGGTATATTTATGTAAGTATAGTGCTACTTATAAATCAAAATATACCTCTGTACATAATAGTCACAGATATTGAACACTGTGTACTTCTTGTAGATATTGAACACTTGTAGATATATAAAAAGATTTTGTAGTAAACAATGTAATTATGTAAATAAACAAAGAATGATGTAAACATGTATATAGTAAATAGTAATAATAATTACCGTTCAATGTTGTTATTTATAATCATTGTTGAAAATATTCTGTGTGTCGTAAATGTTGATCAAAAAAATAATAGGATCTTGTAATATGTTTTATCATTGTTTGTTTGTATCTATGTCATGCTGTCATTGTAAATAATACAATAACCACTGGGAATGGACAATATTTTAAAAACACTGCAAAAAGATAATATGTGATCATTTTGAAGTATAATTTTAATTTAGCAGTGTATTGTAAACCAGCCTCCAATAAGTTGTGTTATTTTTCCATGCAAGTCTTGCTATCCAGCATTCCAACTGAAAGGTAAGACAACTTTGTTGGTGAATAACATACTCACAGAAATGATATCATTTTGTGGGGTGAATTCTAACAATGCAGATTCAATTTGTTTGTAATATGAACTTCTGACAATCATATTTGTTGACATCTGTTGTTGTGACACATTCAGTTCACTTGTCATATTTGCTAAATAAATGTTATAAGTTGACACAGACATAAAATTACCCTAATGATATTATCTTTTCGGGAGATATCCTTTTTTGACTTATGGTCATAATCATGATATAAATATATTTTGTTGCACTTTTTATACTTATTCTTCTAAAATATTGTCCAGTCCAAGTGAGGAGTGTCATGTCTCATTTTATTCACTGGTGAAAGATTTTTTTTAAAGAATAAAATTTTTATCATAATTGTATAGATTGTACAATTCACGTCAGAAGCAATTTCAAATAAACTGGTCAAACAATGCTGGTCATCCTTCTTTGTATTTTTTGTTTGAAATCTTGTTACGTACAACAGGGGAATTGAAACCACACCCCTTGAATCAATCATCAGGGTTTTCCGGGGTGGTTATGCTTGTCAGTGGTGAAGGAAGGCCTGGTAAGAGACAAAATTTCTCTCATATTCGACTGAGCAGACTTTGTCCGAAAAATGCAAATGACGATCATTGACTTCAGGTTTTGCTTTTATTCTATTAAAGAAAGATCAGTTTATAATTTATGAGCTTTTCATTGTCAAAACTAGAAATATTTACTGCAGATAACCAGTAGGTAAAGTTGTTGATCCTCATCATGCATTTTTCAAACAATATCTAACTTATCATGGCTTAATTCACCCTAAAATGTACTCAACTTCATTATTTCACAATTAATAATTCAAAGTCTGGTCCCAAGTTCACAAAGCATTTTCAGACTTGAGAATTTACTCAACTTCCAATCACTGTTTATGAGAAATATGTTTGATCCAGAAACACAAAACTTTGCACATAGTTTCTTATTGCTGTATTTGATACATTAAAAGAACAAGGGTTTTATAAAGGGCTATATTTTAGATAAAATAAGGTGAACAATTTTGAGTAAATTATTAATTTAAGTCTGAGAATGTTTTGTGAACTCTGGGGCCAGGTTGCACAATTAGCATTTTTCGGAAAATATTAATATTTCTCACAGCTTAATCCACATTAATATGTACTCAGATTATTTTAACAGTAACTCCGACAGTAATTGTCGGAAAAATTATAAAAAATCAACTGTTGACTATTCTGAGGGGTTTTAATCATGTCACCTGGGGCCTGTTTCATGAAATTTTAACAAAGATAAAATCTAAATTTTAGCAATTTGTTTGGATAATATTAGATTGATTTTAGTGCTTAGCCAATCAAAATTGAAGTATTTACTAAAATTGGATTTTATCTTTAGTTAAGATTTCGAGAAACAGGGCCCTGGTGTTTATTATATGAGAAGTTCACACAGTAATTAGTTTTGTCTTATCTTTATTTATCTTTATATTAAAGCACTAGCAACCAAATTGTTCATACATCACTTATACTTCACGGCAGGTCCTCTTGACATTTTTCAACAATAACAATAACAAGTTTGACTTAACTAGTCAACATTAGCTCAGTCAGTGCAGAAAAGTAGGATATTAAACCAAATTTCATTTCATTAATATTAATGTCTATATAATGATAACATATTCTTTTCTAGCATTGTCCTTCACGCATGCAGCAGGAACAGTTTACGTTTACATCATATTAGAGCAGGCATACCTCTGTATTATTGTTGAATAACATAGTTATCTTTAAACTTTACTCTGGCTCAACTTTCAAGATGGCTTCATATGTCAAGCATACACAAACTGTAACATGGACACAGCTCACCAAATATTCCTAAGCCGTCAACCTCACCCACGTCAACCTCACCCACGAAGGAAGGGCAAAAGTTATTTTTAGTTTTTCTCTCTCTTTCACTTTTTCCCCCTTTTGCATGGCGAAGTTTGTTGACTTTTTGGTGTGGAATCGAAGAAATGGGTTGGAAAATACATTTTCTGCCAGATTTTGGTAAATATTCATGATTTTGAGGCGGAAGGATACGAGAGTCGAGAGGTTGGTTAGTTTGAAATGTAGGAAGGAAAATTGCATGTTTAATGGTCTTTACTTCCAGTTTGTGTATCTTAAGTTTTCATGATTAACCTCACATGTGCTTCATCTGTGGTAGAAAGCGTTCTACCCAATGAAAATAAGGAAAAAACTCAGAGCCGGTCTAAGAGCCAGAATTTTAATAAACATTAAAGTCAATGGGGAAATCATTAGTGATCTGTGGCCATATACATGTACCAAACATCCTGTTTGTGTTGATGTATTAAACTGCTAGAGTTACCCATCCATGGTAACATTTTGTACTTGTGTGTACAATATGAACACAATTCTATCCTACAGAGTTAAGGTCTTTAAATGGTGCAGAATATCTCCGATCACAAATCAACTAATAATTGTATTAAAATGCATTAACTGAGGTCTGATTTAATGTAGGATGTTGTTGATCTAATTGTTTAAACTCGTGAGCACATTTATTACGTTCAGCTGTATAACCTAAATCATTATATAATCTAGCTTGATAATATACACCATCCTTCACTCGATGATGAGCCTCCACTTTTTTAAATAGTTCTATAACTAGATTCATCACAGAAACGGCTGATAGAAGAGCTGAAATTATCAAATATAAACAAGGATTTTCTAAATGTTATTAAACCAGTTGTAATATTTTAAAAGTTTTGATTTGTTATTGATGAATTAATAAATGAAATGCATGGGGTTAAATAACTTGTCAAAATGACTTGGTTATTTTTGAGAAATATAATTTTATATAATACTGTTTTTTTTATTGATTCCTTGCATGGTGTAAACTGGACCTAAATTTTGTTTTCCATCCTAATGACGGGCTCAATAATCATTGGTCTGGTCAAGTGGTAACAAAGTAATTTTAACATCTTAACTTTGCTGTTTGTCATTTTAGGTGCAAGAATACAAATCAACACTATAAATTGCAGGCAAATAAAAATATACATTTAATTCAAAATTTGGGGTTCTAATAAAAATCCCAGATTAAATAAAAATAGTAATTACCTGATTTCTTGTCTTGTTGTGATTGTCTAGCACAGGCTACCTGTACTCTTGCATAACAATATAATGTTCTAGCTTGATCATATATACTACCATTAGTTAATACAGGTAACATATTCCTCTCTAATAAACCTAATGCTTGTTCTGGTAACTTCATATGATACTGAAATACAAATTGTTCATATGATAATGAAATACAGATTGTTATAATGAAATACAAATTGTTCATATGATACTGAAATATAAATTGTTCATATGATACTGAAATACACATTGTTCATATGATACTGCAATACAGATTGCTATGATACTGAAATATAAATTGGTCATATGATATCGAACTATAAATTGATACTAAAATATAAATTGTTCATGATACTGAAATATAAACTGTTGTATGACAGATATAAACAATATATCATTAAGGACATCGAATCACATTGTCTATTAATGGTCATTTATATATAACTGTATTGATTACTAATAAACAAAAGAACAAACCTGTATAAAAGCTAACTGTACTGATGCTATAGCTATAAAATAATTCATGTGATGACTTCTAGCTTTACTAATACAATCTAATACATGTGTTATAGCTGTTGTATGATTACCAGTATTAATATATAATCTAGACATAGCTAATAACACCCTGAAACACATTCAACACAAATTAAATAAAAGATTAATAAGATTTAATAAAATATCCTATTGTCATTATACATGTATTGGTATATTGAATATCACTGTAGTCTCCCTAATGTTGTAGTTTTTCTAGCATTTTGAGTAATAAAGATAGAGAGTTTCCTTTCACACACATGTGACAGTATAAAACACATGGATCTGAATAAAACACTATTTAAAATTAATATCTGTGAAAAATTCTAATCCTTAAGCATGACAGTCACAATAATAGTTGCATACTTATGACAAGACCACATTATTTTTGTGTTTAAATGGATACAAGCATCTGACTAAAGTTATTTTACACTCTTAATATGTTGAAGGATTAGAAACGACTGATGGTGACCGCTATAAAAACACACATACTGACCTACACTGGAAATCTAATTCCTTTCCATCAGTTGTATCTTTCATATTCTCTAGTAATTTTTGTAGTTGGTTAAAAGCTGGGGTTGCTTCTCCTTTCTCACATAAATATATAGCATTCCTAAAAATAATATATTTCTGGGACTATAATTAAAGGCATAAATTTTATCTTTGAACATCTCTGAATGTGTTATTTTGCAAGCTTTATTTGGTATTAAAAGTTTTTAACAGAACATTTATCATATGTTTATTACACCGGTAATGGATTCAAATATAGATAACATAAATAAAGAATTTCTAATTTAAAGTTTAAAATAAGTCAGAAAATTCTCATAACTTGTAAATATTATGGCTGATACAGTAAAGTCTACCTTACCTAAGGTTAGACTCATCTTCTGCAACTACTCTAAGATTAATGACCGCTTGCTCCACCAAGTTCCATTTCCTATTATTCAACATTCTATCAAAATTAATTTGTTGTTCACTCTTCATCCAATGATGACTGTCCACACAATCCACGGGAAAACGAAGTTTAGCATGATTCAATAAATCTGTAGCAATTTGATACTGGCCCTAAAATTAAGGTATCAAATTGTGATAGAATGTTTTTTTTTTTAAATAAGCCGACCCCCAGAAATATTATTATCTGACAACTTCTCGTATAAACATTTAAGAGCTAAACAACTGTAAAAATTTCAAAAAGATTAGATCACAATTTAAGCCGCTAAGGTGAAACCAAAATTTTGTAACAAAGGGGAATAACTTTTGAGGTTAAAATAAAAAATTGTTGATAATTAAAAAGATATGTGACTATAATGAGCTAGGTTGATGATTTATAGACCTATACATACCCTTTCAGCATGTTTTTCTGCTAGATTACATAAAGCTATACAACTAAGTTCTGTATTATCAGATACACCACTTTCTATTGTGTCTAAATTTAACACCAATAAACTTGACATTGATGATAATTCACTATAATATAAAACATTATACAAGTATTACACATGATCTACAACATTAGGCAAAATCCACATTAAAAAATATTTTTAAAGCCTTACGCATCACTCTTGCAGTCATTCAATGACTTAAATTTCATCACCCTAGTCACAGAACAGACTGTGTTTTTCTTGCTACATTAAATTTACATATCAGTATCCATTTACTGCTGGGTGGACAGGACTACATAAAGCATCTTATTAAAGGAAACACGGATTAGGCACACAGTTAAAATGAGGATTGACCATGGGACTGTGTAGTTACAGACCTAGCTTGCTAACAGTTATGCAACATACATTGTGTAATTTCAATACATATGATCATTATCTTTTGATAGATAGTCACAAAATTCATCATGAATTATACATGTATTTACCTTTTTCCAAATAAATGCCATAAAGCTGATTTCTGTGTATAACTAACTTGTATCATACCAGTTAAAAAATTCTGACAGTTGAGTATATCACTATATTCTAAATATTCAAATACACTGAAATATATAAGTGTAAAAAGCAGGTAGGGTTTAACAACTACTCAATATAATACTTTGGTTGTCTTGACACTAACATATGGTCATTTGTATTTGCTAAATTTATACATGCAGTATGTGCTAGGGAGAGAATACTGAAGGCCATCCTCGGTTTCCCAAGTGGTCTCATTCTGTTCTACTCCACTATACCTTGGTGTTAATCCATGGGGGGTAGGGGGTGGGGAACACATTCAAGTTATCTGCCCTTGATGATTGTGATACTTCTTTTTACCAATCACATAAATCGTTAATTGCAAAGGAATTTGGCGAAGGGAAGTAAATCTCATGTGGTTGTGAAAGTAAATAATGAGGCTAAATAGTCGTTGTAAGACTGGTTTGTAAACTGTTTTTTAATTGGTTCACAGACTCAAGCTACGATCAAGGCCAGAGCAGATAATTTGAGTACATGAATAACCTACGGATTAGTCCAGGGTATATTGGAGTGGAACAGACTGAGACTTTTGGGGATACTGAGGATGACTGAAGGGCAGCAACATTTCCGGTTATTCCTCTTTGAAGAAGGGATTTTACATGTATTACAGAATTCATACATAGGACCTAATTATAAGCTAGGATCAAATTCTTGAAAGTCTTGTTGTAATATAAACGGCAACATAAAGAAACAAACTAGGTGTCTTTTATGACTTTTATTATTTAACACATCAATAATATTCAATAAAATAAACACTTTACCTTGCTGGTTTTTCAAAGACAAATGCATTATGTCTTGCTAATACTTGAACACCCAGTGATGTTAAATACTGCAAATAAATAATTCTATTATACAACTATACAGTAAGATTTGCTTGATTGTGAGAATGGAATATTTGGATTTCACAGAAAGACAATCAAGTGACATGGAATCAGTTGAACTGCGATGAAATCAAACCCTGCTATGTACTTGAAAATGATAAGAGAATACTTGTCGAAACATTGTGCTATATTGTTATAAACCAGTGATTGTTTTCCATATAAATTGTGTTGTGTTTTTCAATGTACTCAATCGCTAAATGCCACTCAAGGATTACAGCTATGGCAGTTAGTGAAAATATTCCCTTTTTAAGTTTGGGCATGTTTAATTATCCAATCTATATACTAATATTTGTGACTGTCGTTTGTCTGTCTGTCTGTCTGTTCGGGGTTGGCGGCTACACTAGGTCTGCCCCGAGTCTGAAATTTGTGGTATACGGGTAGCTCGGACCGGGGAGTAACATAGGCCAGGTGGCGTTAGTCTACCACTTCCGGTTTCGGAGTTATGACCCCTGAGCGAAGCCGGATCTGTTCGGGGTTGGCGGCTACACACTAGGACTGCCCCGAGTCTGAAATTTGGGGTATAGGGGTAGCTCGGACCGGGCGGTAACATAGGCCAGGTGGTGTTAGTCTTCCACTTCCGGTTTCGGAGTTATGACCCCCGAGCGAAGCCGGGTATCCTGCTAGTATTTCAATATTTACTCCATTGTCACTGTTCCAGGAAAAATCCACAAGGATAGGCATAAGAAGCTGCCTATTGCCAGGTATACAATTAGGGGAGGGAACTCACAACTTGCATGGTATAGGATTAAGACTAATAATTATTTCCTCTGATTTTGTGACATAGAATTTTGGTAGACTGTTTGGTCTAGAACAATCTGGTTAAAACACAGATCCTATTTCGTTTCGTTTTTATAGTTCAAAGTTTCGTTTTACAAGATTTTCAAAGACTTTATGTAGTACTTTCGTATAATACCCTAAAATACTCATTAATTAGTAAGTTGCCTAACTATTTAAACTTCGAAGAATACAAAACATATAATGAATAGTTATTAAAACCGGCGGTTGCCAGGAAAGATACGGCCACATTTTACAAGAGATGGATAGAGAACAAGGTAAAAAAAAAAAGAGATTTTTTCATACAATCAGGGGCCATAATCCAGGAAGTTATGGTCTGAAATGCGTGAATATCGAAATGGACTGGGATATTTGGAATATAAAGATACATTGTAAGTTTCATCAAAATCGGATAAAAATTGTGACATCTAGAGGATCCACAACCTTGGTTTTACATACTTTTACACTATTTTCACGAAATCCGAATTCAACCGTCATTAGGGTGTAACAGTGATATATTTAAACGTTTTTTAAAATCGGATAAAAATTGTGACCTCTAGAGGGACCACAAGTTAAAAATGCGATTTTTCGGACAATCAAGGGCCATAATTCAGTGAGTTACGATCTGATATGCACAAATATCGAAAGGAACCAAGATCTTTGGGTTATAAACATGCATTTCAAGTTTCATCAAAATCAGATGAAAATTGTGACTTTTAGAGTGTCAACAAGTTAAAAACCTGATTTTTCGTAAAATCAGGGGCAATAATCCATAAAATTTTGATCTGATGCATGCCAGTATCGAAAGGAACAACAGAGATCTTTTGGAGATAAACTATATTTCAAGTTTCGTCAAAATTGGATAAGAATTGTGACCTGTAGAGTGTCCACAAACAAATTGTGGACGACCGAACGGACAGGGGCGACAACAATATAAAAAAAATGATTAGTTCTAATCAGTGTTTGCGATCAAAGTCCTAAAATTCAATATCAATTCGGTTACCATTCAGTTATTCAGTTTTTATCATATGATTTCCACAATTTTTACCTGTTTCACTATTTACTCCAGGTAGAATGTTCTACAACCAAGTGAATTTGAATAAATGATTGATATTTACCGGTAGAGACAAGTCTTCACTTCTGGTGATAGATTTTTCTATTAAATGTGCCATGGCAGCTACACCCTGTTGTCCAAAACGTTGTAACCATGCCTGTTATATAAATAAACATTCAATACAAATGATTACTTTATTGGCTAGTTGCTTAGTCATAATTTATTTCTTAAAGAAACAATAGTCAATTTATTTTGCTAATATGGGTAACATTCAGTAAATCATTATGCAGTGATATCCCACCATTATGCTGGATGACCTGGCGCCTGGTACGTTCGGGCATTTTTATGCGCGAACTCTTAGTTTTTTTTTTACTGGCATGCGCACAGGTACTATTTCTTTTTCTTTTAACAAGTACCCAAATCGGGGATTTCGTGCGGAGGTAGTTCGGAGGTAAACAGTCTGTTAAGTACAACACTTGCCACTGTACCTGTGTATCGCTAATTATAAACCGAATGTGTGAAGACAGTTCATACATATCACTCAAAAATTTTTCAGTACAAACTCAGTTGATTCACGCTCGATTTGCTACTAAACAAACCCATCGGTTTATTTTCTCAACAGTGTGACCCGAAGTGACCGCGGATTTATTGACCTTGTATGAAGTTATCCATAGCTATATCCTTACACCGAGAGAAATTATCTAGTCTCGGTGAAAAGAACCATGGTCATCTGGTAGAAAATTACTTTTGTATTTTTGGGAACGGAAAACAGTGTTTTTAGAAGCAAACTAACCTGCCGCACATGAGGAAGTCATTATACTAATAATAAAAGGCGAGACCTCTTTTTGCGGCGCAGGCTTATCACTGAGTAGTAAACCGTCCACAAACAATAATATAGGAAGCCTAGTGACGAGTGTAGTAAGTAGGCTATAGACTATAGGTTTGAGTCGAGATTACTCGCTTTCAGTTTACTCTGGTTTTGCGATAACCAATTATGTGAGAAATACCATACGGACATTCGGTTTTTAAAAGTTGTACGCGAACTAAATGCGTTTGTTAGATACTGACAGAGCAGCCCCGAGTCGAACAATCGCCGCCCGAGCTGTCTTCGTCAGCTAGTTTCACAATATCGTGCAATAGGTGTATTAATGTGATTTTTAGGTTTAACCCCGCAAACAATGCCAAAATAGTGTTTTCACTGCTTACAGAAAACTGAAATTTAAAAAAAAAAAATTTTATGAGGGTGACCCTCCCACACACTCCCTATCGAGCTGCCGCTCGGTCTGCGCAGCCTCATGCCTGGCACATACTGTCAACATTGTATATTTTTCCGTTTCCGCCCTTCCCCCCCACAATATATATTTCACGGCTACGTTGCGACGGTACCAGCATACCCAGTTGTTGACACCCATTACATCACTCCTGTCTAACAAATCATAAAGCTGTGGTGTTACGGTGGCGGCATAGTATTTCACCGTAACACCACAGTTACTCTAACCATTCATAATACATCTAACTATCCCTTTACAGCACTTCACTCCCTACACATTTCCCCTCGTCCTACTTTCCCAAACGTCAACAACACATCTCATACATCCAGTTCGCTGATTAACCCTTGTACCACGTCTACTGGATATATGGTAGAAGGAGGTGTTAGACCTTTAAAGTTATTATGTCACCCAGTTATTAAGCATTCGCTCTATTTGTTAATTCATATGACAGACACACATTTATTTTCCTGGCTTAGGGCTTTGAAATGGTATCAGTATTGACATATCTATTAGGAGGTGAAAATCCAAGATTTGGCATGACACACCTTTAACTATAGGTCTTTTTTTGTGAGGATATTTTGTATTTTCTAGAAGTTACCTGAATACATTTTGTTAACAGCATACAAACTCTTTAACTAAAATTAATTACTCAGCCTGTGAAATATTTTTGTATCTTAAATTTCACATATCCTAAATATGTTCACTCTATATGCTTCACTAATGGCTAACACATGGTCTAGAGCAGTGATTAGCAACAGTTTGATTGTATTAAGTTTTTATTTCATTGTACCCATTATAAACTAATATATATTCAGAGTATAGACAAACATGTGGTCATGTCTAAATCCACATATATAAATGAACATATAAGAAAATAAATTCAATCTTTACCAGAGCATGTTGTAAGCAGACGTGGTCATTAACTTCTTGAGCTTTATGTATCGATTCTATTAAAGATGCCATGGCTTCCCCACTGTAATAATAGACAATGGGGGAAAAAAATGATAAAACAACAACACTATTAGATACATATTCCCAAAGACTTTATACTAAAAGAATTAATATTCCTAATCGATCTGCTGTATAGATAACCCCGTCAACCATAAACAAGCGGTTGCCATGCAAGATGTGCCCACCTCTTGCCAGAGATGGACGAGAACAGGAAGTTATAGTTCGATATGTGTGCATATTTACAGGAATATAAACATATTTTAAGTCTTATCAAAATCAGATAAAAATTGTGACCTCTTAGAGGTCCACACCACAACTTGGTATTACATACTTCTGTCGGGCAGTTTCAATCCGATTTTTACGGAATTATGGTGTAACAGTGATATAAAAATTGTGACTTCTAGAGGGTCTACAAGCTAAAAATATGATTTTTCGAACAATCAGGGGCCATAATCCAGGAAGTTACAATCTGTTATGCCCAAATATTGAAAAGAACCAAGATCTTTGGGTTATAAACATGCATATCAAGTTCCATCAAAATCGGATAAAAATTGTGACCTCTATAGTGTCAATCAGGGGCCATAATCCATGATGAAGTTATGGTCTGATACATGCCAATATCGAAAGGATCCGAGATCTTTGGGATATAAACCTATATTTCAAGTTTCATCAAAATTGTGACCTGTGTAGTGTCCACAAACAAATTGTGGACGGACGGACTGATAGACAAATGGACGGACAAGGGCAATGACAATATATGTCCACATTTTCATGTCTAAAAAAATCTGTTTGAATAGTGTAAGCACTATTATTTAACAAAGAATATATATTCATTTGCATATAAATCAAAATTAACATACCATGTTCTTACATTGGAGTGACCGTGATAGATGAGTAAGATTCATGGCTGTACCAATTAGGAAACAAGTCAACAGTGAGGCTGATGTCCACCACCGAAATCCATAAATAAATAGATGACACATATTGAATAATTGCACAGTATTGAACAATCAAACAGATTATCTATACTAAGTCTAAGCATAAAATGCTCACAATAAAAGTACCTGGTAGTGAAACTATACACAAGTTTCATCCCTCTCCATCAGTTAGAATCAAAGTTATCTTATCCCAAAGCATCAACCAATGAAATTTCTTAGCTCTGCTTAGCTTTAGGTGGAAATGTTAATCATTGAACTCAGTCAAAACATTCACCTAATGAACATATACATCAAGTTTAAACATTGTAACTCAATTAAAAGCAGAGTTGTTATGTTCCAAAGTCTTGACCAATCAAACTGGTTATCGCTATGCTTACCCTGATCATAAAATGCTCATTATCAAACTTAGTCAAGGTATTGATGTAATGAAACTATACACCAAGTTTCATCACTCTCACTTAATTAGAACTTAAGTTATCGTGTCCCAAAGGTTCAACCAATCAAATTGCTTATCTCTGCTTACCATAAGCAGAAAATGTTCATCTTCAAACTCCATTAAGGCATTTACTTATTAATAAACACCTACACCAAGTTTGAAGGAGTGTGACGGACAGACAGACAGACCCATTTTAATAGTTCCCTGCTTTCTTTGAAAGGCGGGGACAAAAATAGGGTCTTGACTTATAGAACCCTGATTCTTGATTTATAGAACTACAGGTCTTGATTGTAATATACAGGTCGAATTCTATGGAATACAATTACCTACTGCTTATCACTGAGTGATGTTTTGACTAGGTTTTCTTTAGTCATTATCAAGCATACCTCAGTAATAAGCAGTAATTGTGACCTGTATATTCCAGTTCAATTACTAAATGCCATTGAAACAATTTAGAACTACCTATGTGTTTTTTTATTTATATAACTATAGATTAATTATAGAACTATAGGTTATTCATAGAACTACAGGTTTTGCACACTGATCCGCAGTGAATATTCGCTTGGCCGCTACAATCACTGATAAGGATGACATCGATGCGACTTAATGACTACAAAATATTAACTTTTTTCTTTCGACATATTAAATTCTGAAACATTTTTTTTTTAGTATTAGAAAAATAAATAAAGTTGTTTGATTTATATCTTGATAAAAAATATTCCATATTTAGTGTAAATAGGTACAGAAAATAGTACGCGGAGGCGTAAAATGGGTAAAACGATATAATTCTGCCCGTACCAGTTCATATTACTACGTTTGATGTAAACAACGCACGTGTGACCATCAATTTGACGTTTTTTTCTGTTTGTTTACTCTGAATTCTTTCAGTAGTACATTTTTTACCGTCTAATATGATTGACCTGCTCGTGTTTGTTTTAAAACAACAAAACAAGCCACAGAAGTAATCTTTTTTGGCGTTATCGATGCCACCTTGTTTTGTTGGTAAACATTGTGATGTGACGTCACCCTTAGAACTACAGCGGTCTGACCTTTTAAAGGTCAGTCATCTTGGACAGAGATAAAAGACGGATGTCGCATTAGGTCTGTAAAACAGATTGCAGGTTTTGATTTACAGAACTAGAGCATAGAAAAGTAAATACAAATAAGTAGAAAAACTTGGACTTACTGATGACCAAATCTAAAATGTAAAGCAGCCACATTAAGAGCTGCATAACGTATACTTAAATCTTCTTTATCTTTAGCTGTAGTACTTGTTGATGATATTTTAGCATTACGATCATAATAATGGTATAAATTATGTATAGCTGTACAATATTCTTTTACTCTTAAACTGTTCAGATAACTCAGGAAGTGCTGAAAAAAAGTATTGTTACATTGTACACTATAATACTACACCACTTTCCTCGCAATATATCAGTAATTTGAAAACAGACCTTCAGCCCACACTACTGCCAAAATGTGACATTAAAGTCTATTTACCATGTCCAAAAATTTCAAATGAAAACAGTGAGTCGATCAAAAATGATGCTAGATCTGAATAACAGGGCTATGTAATTCATTTCAGAAATTTCATCCTTCAGTTGTATGAGTGACTTCACAATTTTATTGAAATAAGAACACTATTTCAGTAATTAGACAGATAACCAGGCACTCACACATCGTGGAATATGGGGACTTATGACCAATTCTACATTGAAAATAACAATATGTATGTCCATAAAAAAGTATCAGATCTTCAGAATACAGTTTTACAAGTGTCTTTCACTCTCAATTAACCAGTTTTATTTGCTAATATATATCTGGAACGGCTCCTTTAATGAATATTTTTTTTCAATAATGAAATATAGATTTATTTTGTTTACTATTTAATTAAATAAAATATTTTTAATATAGAACACGTATAACTTACTGCTTCTGCCAGATCTTTATTCGCTTTTAATATAACTGTTATTTTATCTTGTAATTTTCTTGGGGATAAAGCTTTACTCTCATTATGATGAAGCAAGGATGCCTGAATATAAATCAAAATATATAAACACAATTTTATAACAAAAGAAATGAAATGAAAAGGGTTTTAAAGTCCTACTGTTCTGCTCTGACTGGGCTAATGAAGATGGGCATACGCCATGCAGTGTGCTGAGGGAAATTTTGTCTGGACAGCGGCGCTACGGCTTTCTTGAATATCGAATTCAAACTGCCAAGGGATCTTTAACGTGCACACCCATGTGTACACAGGATCTCGGTTTTCCGTGCCATCCGAATGACTAGACAGCTGTCCTTGTCAGGCCCTCCGTCCTGCACCACTGACAAGGGTAAACCACCAATTTTGTAACAGATTATGCACTGTTTAAGTGGTATTTAGTATGAACATGGGACCTTAAAATGGAAAACAATTTATTTTGCTTTCTTCATAATTTTTATACCGATAATCATTTCCTTGTTTGTATCAAAAATGAGAAATTTATCAGTTTGTCAGTTCTAAATGCCACACCCTTATAGGAAAATAAGACTCAGTAATAATAATTTATTAGCTGCCTAAGCTACTTATCGGAAGTTTCAATACACAAAAGTTGCTTAAGATTTAAACTTTAATGTGCTATTTATTTTGTTTGCCCTAGTATTACTGATACAGGTATTTACTGGTATAAAAATCATTTTGTATTTTTGTAGTTTCATGTTCTTTTAAAGCAGCCTGCTAGTTGATGGATTTAAAACTGGCAACCACTGATAATCTGTGTAAGATCAATAAAAACATGTACCTGTTGAGCTATAAAATATTCAGCTTGTTTCTGGGAGTAGAATCCACCTACTGTATTCCTATTTAAATAAAAAATTAAACTCAAAATTTAATTCACACTAGGGATCATAAGTTTATAAAAGTATACCATAAATCTGTATGTTTTACATGGATTGTTTAAATCTAATGAAGAATGGCATGCTAGGTATATTTAAATTTTGCCAGGACATCTGAGATTCCCTTCCAACTGCCAAGGGTTATTTTTTATGTGCACAGAAACAACTGGATCTTGTTCCTTGCCAGGCCCCCGGAGGGATTTTCTTAGTCAATTGGGGAGGGGGGGGGCAATTTACCCAATACTAATTAAATACTACCACATACTACCTCAATATTGTGAAAAACTAACATAAAACTTACAATTTTATAAAAAAAAAAATTGAGTTGATTCATGGCAAAAAATGTAGATAATATACAACAAATTAATGTGATTGTCATTGTCTTGCTATTCCAATTATCTCCACTGATCCCCCCCCCCCCCATACTTACAAATATTAACCCATACTATCAAATATCAATCCATTTCTGTAAAATAATGAGCTAATATCAAAAACAAATGAGATAAAAATATGTCTGTTTGCGGAAATAAATTATCCATTCAATGTTCAGCTGTTCCATTTATCACTGATACTATAAATAGATATTTCAAATGTTTACACTTTTAAAATGAATTAACTCATTGATATTGAAGAATTCTATCAGTTTTGGTTAACAGTAAGGTAATTTGCGGTTGGATTTTGTATTACTGGGATAGAATTAGGAGATTTTTGGTAATATTTGTCTAGTCTTTCAGACACTTGAGCTACAAGGTACTGATACTATAGACTCTTCCAGTTTATCGTAAAATTTTGAGTGATTTCACAGATTAACATCATATTTGTTTGGTATAATTCAACAATAATCAGGTAGTATGTGGTGGTATTTGATAATATTTAATTAGTACTTGGTGGTATGAGGTATAATTGGATAAATCGTCCTGTGGAAATCGGGGTACACCACTTTACACATGTCCATAAATCAAAATAAACCAACCAAAACTTGTGACAAGTACCTTTCAAAGCTTTAAATATCTAGGTGATTCTTAAGACTAACATAAAGCTATTTACTATTGTTACAGGTTAAATGTGAGGAAAGAATTTTGTCCTGACAAATAAATCTTCTTTATAAATGTACTCACTCACTAATCTGTAGTCCTTCAAATGATTGAGCTAAACAACTTTTAGTTAATGGACCACCTGTTCCTGATAAACTCATTACAGAATCTGTTAAAGATTTTCCTAAATCAGCTTCTGGTTCATTATTAGGAAAACACAGTTCATAATAATATTTAATCTTTGCCCACAATTCTGTCACTTGACTGAATGAAAGTTTATTGAAAGCCAATATCATTCGTCGAAAGAAAAAACCTGTCAAATAGGAATAACAATATTAGATAAGAGAACTATATAAGTTTTAAATTTTTAAATGTTCAAGTCTTAAATAGTCATGGCAGGAGGACCACACCATACATAAAAACATCCACACGACAAACACGGGTACAAGACAAAAGCACAGACAATGTAAGCCCTAAGAGAGACTATTAAATCTAGAACGGTGTATAGTGTATACATATACTAAAACTACACATATTATCATTAGTTATACCACAAATAAATATTTTCTAATATTGACTAAAAATTTGCTCAAATTTAAGCAAGTAATTTTCATTCACACTATATCAAACATCTTAGTAAAACCTACCTAAAACACTATATTTACTAATAAAGGGTTTGCTCTCTGAGTCTTGATATACTAAACCATTTATATCATGAAAAAATTTCATTATGGGTTGTAAGCCATCATCATGTATCTCTTTTAATCTGAAAAAATAACCAATCAGGAAAAATGGTGGATAAATAAAACTTATGAACTGCAGAGAGTCTCAGTTTACAAGGTTTATGTGACAGGGGAAATAACTTTGCATAAAACAAATGTGCTATTGTATGTAAGAGTTCATCATTATGACTACTGGCAGCTGAACAATCAAAACAGGTTTTAAAAAACAAATCTCAAAAACATGAAGCTTTAGAGTTATCTTTTATTCTGACCTCTAAAAGATGGAATGTAATATTTGATTATTACTAAAAAAAAAATAGTATGTTACTGTATATCTACATAACATGACAATAAAATACTTACTTATCAAAGAAAAAATCTAAAACAACCGGCTTTACTACACCATGTAACTTTGCTCGAAGTTCTTTTAACTCAATATCTGAACTCTGAAAATAACATGATATATTGTGCAAATACTACAGGAGAAAAATGAAATGAAATGGAGTTTAACGTCCTACTGTTCTGCTTCTAAACTGGGCTAATGTAGACGGGCATACGCCATACAGTGTGCTATGACAGAAATTTTGCCCGGGCAGCGGCCCAACGGCCTACTCTTATATCGAATTCCAACTGCCAAGGGATCTTTAACGTGCACGCCAATATGTACACCGGACCTCAGACAGGAGAAAAAGGTTACAGTTAACTTACAGTCAAACTGATATGAAATGAAAGAAAATGGGGTTTAACATCTTAATGTTCTGCTTCGACTGAGCTAATGAAGATGGGCATTCACCCTATAGTGTGCTATGAGGGAAATTTTGTCCCTTACCAAGCCCTCTGTCTTGTTCTGCTTCAACTGGGCTAATGAGGACGCTGCCTATGCCATGCAGTGTACTATGAGGAAAATTTTGCCCGGACAGCAGCCCTACGGCCAACTCGTATTTTCTGTCCCATCTGAATGACTATACACTTCCCTTGCCAGCCCAGGCCTTCCGTCCTGCACTACTGACAAGGGGGAAACCAAGCAGGAAAATCCCAATGAACTTTCTCAGTCAACACAGCGATTGAACACGGGACCTACAGGTTAGAGAGCCAATGTCTTGAGCACTGAGCCACCATGGCTCCCGTCAAACTAATTTACATAAATTATTCGATTTTAAGAGAGAATTGTTACTAATTTTTCCAATCAATCAATCTGGGTTAAATTGACACCACTGGTTTCTTCTTAAATATTTCAATTTGTTTCACTTTTTTCTTAATCCAAAAAGTTTGTCAATTTCAATATGGTAGTCTTCTCAAGACAAACTTGTATAGTATCTTGATCAGAGCTCAGTGGCACAAAGTAATATAATGTACATGTAGAAGTCTTATATATGGTTACTCTGATTCATCTTAATGGTAAATAGTCAATTTTAATTTTGTATACACAGAAGAAATTGAAAAGTAATTGAAATATAATAATATAACATTTTATTACATGATATGTGAAATTAATGCTACTCACTACTTCTGAAATGTTCAATTACTCATACAGGGGAATTACAGTAAACCTCGCCTAAGTCCGATTTGTATAAGTCAGATCTCTTCGCTCAACTCGGATAAAATCGTTTGGACCCTTTGATCCTGAACGTTTTTCTTATTACATTTCTGCGCGTAAGTCGGATCTTTGCTGAACTTGGATCAAAATGTTCGGTCCATTTGATCTGATTCTGGCTTTTTTCCTTCGCTTAAGTTGAACCAGCAGTATTTTCAGATTTTGACTTGTCTAAAACGCGATTAGGTATTCCATGCACAGAGCCCTAAAACACTTTCCTCTATCATGTTGACTGAAATCAGCCTATTTGACGCGACGCCATAATAGAATTTTCACGAAAAATTCGAAACTCACGGTTGTCTACTCGCACCAAAACGGAACTTATCTACTCGCACCAAAATGGAAATTATCTACTCGCACATACGCACAAAAGCTTGAAATGTGCCTTTGAATCAATTATTATCCGGCTCTTGCAGTTCATTTCCAATCGAGCTAAGATAGAATTTGGGTCTTTCGCTAACTTGGATCTTCACTTAACTCAGATAAAATTGGTCAGTCTACTTAGATCCGACTTATGCAAAGTTTAACATGTCACATTATCAATAGACTAAAAGTAATTGTGTAAACCATTTTCTTTCTTACATTACCTGTAATAAATCTAAAATGGTGGTCATAAAGTCTCTCTTTTCATTTTCAGTGAATACTATCTCTTCTAAAGAATCATCCATTAAACCCTCATGTAAAATTGTAGGTAATCTTAGTGTTTGATACTTATGCACTAAAATTAATACCGATAATTTGTGAGGTGTTACTTGCTCTTTCATTGGCCGTTTTCCAAAAGTGTTGAATGTGAACAGATCAGTGCCACTCATTTTTCTATAAAAGAAACATTGATAATAACATGGGTATCTAAATAAAGATGAACTAACAACATTCAAATCACGATTTAAATCATTTATAAAAATTGTGATCTCTTTATGAAACATGGTTGCCAAGCAATTAAACATGCACCCACAGCAGCTAATGGTCATGTTGCATTTAATACGTTATAACCATTTAAAGTGCAACAAGCGGTTGCCATGGATGAAAAACAGGCCAAAAAAACGATTGGAGGGCATAATCCACACGCAAGTAGTGAAAGTAACCCAGATCTTTGGGATATAAACATATTTTAAGTTTCATAAAAATCTGATAAAAATTGTAACCTCTAGAGGGAACACAACTTTGGTATTACATACTTTTACACTATTTGCGTATGTGGAACATCCATTCTGTCGGGCAGCTTCGATCAGATTTTCACGAAATTATGGTATAACGGTGATATAGATATATAAGCGTTTTTTTTAAATCGGATACAAATTGTGATCTCTAGAGGGCTCACAAGCTAAAACCCAATTTTTTCGTACGCTCGAATAATGAAAGGAACCAAGATCCTTGGGATATGAACACATATTTTAAGTTTCATCAAAGAGAGAGAGAGAGAGAGAGAGAGAGAGAGAGAGAGAGAGAGAGAAATGGGGTTTAAGTCCACTCGACACAAACTAGGTCATTTCGGGACTAACATGGTTTTTAATTTTATTTCAATAATTCGCTTGCACGTAGGGGTCTTTAGCAGTGGGAGGAAACCGGAGGGAGAGAGAGAGAGAGAGAGAGAGAGAGAGAGAGAGAGAGAGAGAGAGAGAGGTTTAACATCCACTCAACAGAAACTAAGTCATTTTGGGACTAATACATGGTTTAATTTTATTTCAATAATTCGCTTGCACGGAGAAAACACACGAGGTTGGACAGGCGACCCTATCCTTTGTCACTTACAACCAAGGACAGACCTTATGATACAGCGTGCACGTGCTAAGCATTCAGCCATCCACCCCACCCCACCCCACCCACATCATTAGGGTGTAATGGGGATATATTTGATTTGTTTTTATAATCGCATCAAAATTTTGACCACTGGAGGGACCATAAGCTAAAAACGTGATTTTTCGTACAATCGGGGACCATAATGAGGAAATTACAGTCTAATATGCACGAATATAGAAAGGAACGAAGATCTTTGGGATGTAAACATATATCTTAAGTTTTATCAAAATGGGTAAAAACTTTAAAGTTTAATCAAAACAGTTCAAAATTGTGGACTCTAGAGGGTCCACAACCTTGCTATACTATATACTTGCACTACTACCTGTGTCCCTAACATAAACAATGTGATGTGGACGACTCAACCAACGTATATCTGTATCCCTAACATAAGCGAGTCAACCAATGTTGTGTGGATGACTCAACCAACGAGTGCATTCGTAGACGTAGTGAGTCAGCGTTTGTAGTGAGTTGGACGTAGAAATGTCATTAAAGTCAGTTGGGCATGAATGATATGTCTTTGTGTGACTACAATATTTCTGAAGCTGGACTGACTTCTCTGATACTTGAGATTTTGATGAGGTGTATCGGTGTGTCTATTCTTCCCGTTCAATCAAATCTCTCATAAGTACAGCAACATGATATGAAAGTCCTTCGTTTAATCTGGAGTCTTCCCTAAAACGGTGAATGTATCGTCCGTCTCCAAGCAGTATTCTTTACATTGTTTGCTGTTTTGATAGCCTCGTTTGTCACGCAATTAGTTTTTCTGCAATATTCTGCTATGGTACCCGGACCACTAGGACCAAAGACCACAAAAAAGACCAGTCGGACCAAAACAGAGACCACTCGAACCAACCTAAAAGACCACTCGGACCAATCAATTTATGTTGGAAGACCACTTGGACCAATCAATTTATGTTGGAAAACCACTCGAACCAATATTTATATTTGCTACTTGGATCAACCCAAAGGACCGCTTCATGGTTCATTATATAGCTTCACTTATTCATTTAAGAAATAAAATACATAAGTACATAACACTTAAAATTTTCATATTAAAACAAACACAATTTATTAAAACAACAATTTATTATTGGTCCGAGTAGTCATATTAAAACAAACACAATTTATTAAAAAACAACAATTTATTATTGGTCTGAGTAGTCATATTAAAACAAACACAATTTATTAAAACAAACACAATTATTTATCTATTAAAACACTTGGTCCGAGTAGTCTTTCTGTTTGGTCCGAGTGCTCTTTTTGTTTGGTCCGAGTGGTCTATCAATTCGTCTGAGCATTCTTGATCCGAGTGGTATTTTTGGTCTGAGTGGTCATGGATTCATATCTGGAGCTCAGTTTTAACTCGAATGATACTGTTAAGCAGTTAGATATTGGATGTTAATCGGACTACTGATCATGACCAGTCATAATTTGGAACAGAAATTTGCTTTCGTTACAGCAGTGTTTGAGTGGGATAAGGTCTAATCAAACGAAACACTTGCGGAGTAGGCCCCTATGTGTGTCTACCGACTGTAATATAGAGCGAAGCTCTAAAGCACCGCGCAAGGCGCGGTGCTTGAGCAAAGCTCTTTTCCGGTAACACAGGAGCGTAATTGAAAATGTCACCCACAAACTGTTGATTAAAAAAAAATTCAGCCGGAACCGGATACACTGGGCAAAACAGGCAATGCGCATGTCAACTTACCAAATCTCGCCCAAGCGAGATCACGTAACTAACAAAAATAATTCTATCCACCAAATCTCCCCCAAGCGAGATTACGTGCCTCATAGAACTATTTCTATGACGCGTCTAATCAATGACGTCACATATTTATTACGTCAATGAAAATAATTCTCACACTTTTTTGTTCTTTTTTTAAAAACAAAATTAATCATTTAATGTATAAAATTTAGATCTCAATAAAAACTAAATCATTTAATATTTTTTGTATCACTTGAGAAAATTAATTATGAATGAAGGTTTTAAATTTACCAATAATCAGGCAATGCCTGTTACATATTAAAACTATTGTCAGTATATATACCTGGTACAAGAATGTAATTCAGTTTATAACTAAAAAATCAGTATTCAGTTTGTTTACAACCCCCGCCATTTAACGAGCCGTACTTGATTAGGTTATGCTATATATGCTACATTCAATTAATGATCTTGCCTTAAAGTTAAAATTTGGTTTCTTGTGTTTTTAGAAATAAAATGCATTCATATGAAATCAATGATAATCACTACTGTTTTATAACATGTTTTGTTTTCAAGTTACTTTTATGTGTCTTTGATCCGAATATATGGTTAATCCCCATTTATTTGTGGGCACTTGTTTTAATGTTTAAGGCGAGTTACATGCGTCGATGGCGCGCTGGTTTGTTTTTTCTTCGTCCGAATCAAGTAGAAACAATTTGTCTAGATCTATCCAGTCTTTAGAAGATAAGCGATAAAAACGCAATCTGATAAACCTGCCCCAATTAAGTTCGGGGTGTATTACTGAATATTAAGGCAAGTATCGCTCAAGTTTTAAGTTGAAACTGTATCTGCACCATTTTATGTCAGAATATCAGATCCGTGCAACTTTTTTTAATATTTTTATCCAATCAGATACAGCTAGATGATTTGTACCGATTCTGTTAGCTTGCGTGTCATGTTGCGTGCGCATGTCATGGGTCGAAAATGGCAGACAGCACGAAGAAGGAGAAAATAGCCGCAGCTAAGAAGAAGGTTGAGGCTTTATGCACATTCGTATTATAAAACTAACAAAACATTCATTATGGAATCATCCTAAGCTCTGATCTCACATTATAAACATGCCATTTGCGGCTTTTAAGCATGAGTTATGTTCGTGCACCTGGTCGGTTTTCACATTTTTTTTTAATGTTTTTTTTCACATTTTAACATTTTTGACATATTTTCAACGTTTCACATTTTAAGATAGTTTCACAATTTTTCATGGTTCATTGTAAGATAAGGCATGACATAGAAGTTTGCTCTCATTCGTACAGTTGAATAGTTAACTCGTCCATATGCAAACACGTCCTCAGACACAGTTAAGTCGTCCAAAACCATTGGTGAAGTCAGCCACAAGGTTTTCGTTCTGTAGTCCACACCTACTGGTTTTGTTGTCTGCGACTAATTGACTTGTACACACGTTAATTGTATGGATTAAATAAGTTTTACTCATCGCCAATCGGTTGTTTAAAAAAATGGCTGCCCCTGGTACGCAAATAGTGTGAAAATATGGTTACCGTCCTCTTGTCGGTGGTGCAGGACGGAGGAACTGGCAAGGACAGTTGTCTAGTTGTTCAGGTGGGACGAAAAACCGAGGCCCCGTGTATACATTGGCATGCACGTAAAAGATCCCTTGGCAGTTGGAATTCGATTTAAGAGTAGGCCATAGTGCCGCTGCCCGGGCAAAATTTCTCTCCTAGTACACTGTATGGCATATGCCCATCTTCATTAGCCCAGTCGGAGCAGAACAGTAGGACGTTAAACCCCATTTCATTTTATAGTATTATTATAATGACTGCATGTGCTTGAGTTTAAGTTTGATTTCACTTCCTTTAGTCACTAAAAGTTAGGTTTAAAAGCCATTGTACATTGTTCATTAATACAAAAACTAAATGACAGATTTTGTGACAAGATTATAAAAGTGATTAACATTTTTGATTGGTTTATATCGATTAGAATTTGGCTATGTTCAAACAGAACAAGTTCAAATTACCATTTGAAGGTAACTTGTATTATATTTGTTCCAGTTAAAACAATTCCAACAGAAGAGCAGTTCTGAAAAAAAAACAAATAAAGAAAACAGAACATCAAATACCAAAGCCGATCTAGTGAACGCGCAGTCTGAGGAGGTAGGTTTACGTTTTATTTGTAAACTTTAAACAGACCTTTTAAAAGTGTTGGGTTCTTCTGTAGGCTGGTTTCAGATTGTATGAATATTGACAAATATTCCTAAATAATTATTCTGAATACTTTTGCCAAAGATTAATGATTATTGAGCAAAAAAGCTGTACATTCTTGCACTAAAAAGTGGCGTAATATAGTTGAATTGTTAATAGCAGGTTAAGGTATATTGTCACTGATAAATTCATTGCTTTTCATCTTCTAAACAATTCTATATTTTGATTTTCAAACAATCAGACATGGTAAATAGAATCAATGATGATCGTTTAATTAAATCAAATGTTTTTATTTTTGTTAAAGAAAAATAGGAGTCAGACAGCTGCCCAATCTAAACTTCCTGATTCAAGTGGAATAAAGATAAATCAATCCACAACTAGCGTTAAAGATCTATCAAGGTAAAGTATTTTAGTCATCCAATTGACAAATTACAATAGCATCAATTCGAGAGCTAGAACTTTACCTCAAGACTAATACATTTCTTTAAATTCAGGTGGCAAGGGATCTTGTTATATATATTAACTAGCAGGATACCCGGCTTCGCTCGGGGGTCATAACTCCGAAACCAGAAGTTGTAGACTAACGCCACCTGGCCTATGTTACTCCCGGTCCGAGCTACCCCTATACCCCAAATTTCAGACTCGGGGCAGACCTAGTGTAGCCGCCAACCCCGAACGGACAGACAGACAGACAAACGACAGTCACAAATATATATATAGATAGATAATATTATCAATTTGTACACTTTTTCACGTTTTACAATCCAGTCTTGAATATCCTCAGTACTCTATCTGACCCAAATCAGGGTTTAGACTCATGGTATTTTAGGTTGACTCTAACATCCTCACTGTTGATTATTACAGACCTATTATTAAGCAAACGCATTCCCATTGTAAAATTGCCGTGCAACTGTTTTTGAATTGTTCAGAAATGCTAGTTTGTTTCAGATTAAAACTTGCTTACAATAAAGCTATCAGTGTGTTGAATGTAATTATTTTGCTATTCTCAGTTCATAGATTTATTTGTTTTGCTTATAGTGTATCCACAGACTCCAATCAGTTTGATTGGTTCGATCCAACCAGGTACACACTATTGACACACGTTTTATTGTCAAAATGAAAAATATTGTGCATAGAAATATTTGTGAAGAGTTGCTTAAATATTTAATGGAAAATGCGAACATCACAAAGTAATATTGAATATTTTGATCAGATAATTTGTAGAAATTAAGTGTTAAAAGATCTAATGTTTCCAAAATATAAATCTTTATTTTGAGCACAATAATTTTCTGTTTGATAGTATAGGTTTATTATATTTAGTTGAGTATTAAATGCTAGTTGATTACTAATCAGTTGTAGTTGCTATTTTTCTTTTTATTGTTTTTCTTCATGTTACTCCATTCATGATCGATCTTCTATTTGCTAATTATGTTGACTTTTCAACAGAATTAATCTTTGCCTATAATTCAGTATTTTGGCTCTTTGTTATACTTTATAGAAAACTTCACTTGATTATGATTAGGTTGCCTATTACTCACAAATTGTATATTTATGTGAAAGTCGGCTTGTATTTCTATTGAGTAGACAAATAGAACTCAATAGATAAATTGATTCTTATATATTCGACCACTATTTTGCAATTTGTATGTCAGTGCATACTGTCCCCCCCCCCCCCCTTTGAGATATGATGAGATATGCACTCTTGCTTGCATGTTCATGCACTCATTGCCTTACAGATAGAGTAAAGCGTTGTTCACAATGTGTTATCAACAGTGTTTTAGTCACCGGATTGCTAGTCTAAATTGATATCATTTTCATCTGTAGAACTCTTGAATTTTTATGTGGATGTATATTGTCGTCACCCCTGTCCGTCCGCCCGTCCACAATTTGTTTGTGGACACCCTACAGGTCACAATTTTTATCTGATTTTGACTAAACTTGAAATATAGGTCTATCTCCCAAAGATCTCCGATCCTTTCAATATTTGCATGTATCGGACCATAACTTCATGGATTATGGCCCCCTGATTATATGAAAAATCACATTTTTAGCTTGTGGACACTCTAGATGTCACAATTTTCATCCGATTTTGATGAAACTTGATATGCATGTTAATAACCCGAAGATCATGGATCCTTTCGATATTTGCTCATATCGGATTGTAACCTCCTGACTTATGGCCCCTGATTGTACGAAAAATCGCGGTTTTAGCTTGTGGTCCTTCTAGAGGTCATAATTATTATCCTATTTATAAAAACGTTTGATTATATCACCATAATATATGGTGAAAATCGGACCAAAACTGTCGGACAGTAAAAATTTAGTATATCAAGGTTGTGGACCCTCTAGAGGTCACAATTTTGATATAATTTTGATGAAACTTGGTTTCTTTTGATATTCGAGCATATCAGATTGTAACACCCTTAATTATGTCCCTTGATTGTAGGAAAAATCGCATTTTTAACTTGTGGACCCTCTAGAGGTCACAATGTTTATCTGATTTAAAAAAACGTTTCAACTTATCACCATTACACCCTATTGATGGGTTGAGTTTGAATTTTGTGAAAATCGGACCAAAACTGCCAGACAAAATGTATGTTTACATCCCAAAGATCTTGGTTCCTTTCGATATTCGCGCATAGCAGACTGTAACTGCCTGGATTATGGATCCTGATTGTATGAAAAATCATGTTATTGATGGTTGAGTTCGAATTTTGTGAAAATCGGACCAAAACTGCCTGACAAAATGTATGTTTATATCCCAAAGATCTTGGTTCCTTTCGATATTTGCATATATCAGACGAAAACTGCCTGGATTATGGCCCCTGATTGTACGAAAAATCATGTTATTTAGCTTGTGGATTCTCTAGAGGTCACAATTTTTTTCCGATTTTAAAAAACGTTTATATACACACCATAATGAAGGTTGAATTCAAATTTCAGAAAAATTGAAACTCAACTGCCTGACAAAATGGCCGCTTGTATGCAAATTGTGTAAAAGTATGTAAACACAAAGGTGGACACTCTAGAGGTCACAATTTTTATCCAATTTTGATGAAACTTACTACTTAGTATATCTTTATATCCCAAAGATCTCAGTCGCTTTCAATATTTGCACACTTCAGACCATAACTTTCTGGATTATGGCCCCTGATTGTACGAAAAAACACTTTTGTTTTAAGCTTGGAAAATTGTGGGCGTATCTCGCCTGGCAACCGCTGGTTAGCTATTATAGTGAGAACTGTCAGCTCTTTATCTAATCTTCCATAATGCCCCTTTAAGGTTAGTGCACGCACACAAAGGATTATTTTGCAGTCAGATTGTTAGGTCATCGTGAATATCCAAAGACCTGATATTGACAAAGTTATACTTCTTTAAAGTGGGAATAAGCTTGTGTCTATCAGAGTAACTTGTTGTCAATAATCATCACTTAATCATACTAAATCAGGATATATATTAAGCTTTGTTACATTAAATACTTTGAAATAATATCCTTTGTTTAACCTTTGTTAAATGTAAACAAACACTGTTTTAGTAGACAAAATATTTAAGAAGTGGGGTTCTTAAATGTTTTATCTGATGCGAACATATGTTGGGTTTTTTTTTGGATACAATTAACTGTAAATGGGAATAATATATTTTGTTTACAATATGTGAAGATTAGACATGATTTACTTTCTAAACTTGGTGGCCTATGACAAATGTAGCCCAAAACAAACATCTCTGTTATAAAAGTGTGCATTCTGAAATAACTTTGATTGCTATACAGTGAAAATGCATTTTTGTCCAGCTGGCAAACAATCATGGTGTATGCTTATTTATAGCTAAGTATTAAACAACTGCTAGTTTTGTGTATGGAATTTGTCGTGTACACTGTAATTACTTTTCACACAAGTCCAAAGGTGAATCGGAACAAACGAAAATAGAATAAATTGTAAAACATTATCATAATCCAATAACAGAAGAATATATAACAATTTGTGCTGTGTAGATATAGAGATGTGTGCAGTAATATTTATTTTAGGTTGATTTTTGTTTAGTTATTAAAAGAATTTAATATTTATGAAAATAAGAACAAGAAACCTTGTAGAACTTCAAACTCTAATAATTGACCAAATTCAGTTTCAGACGATAAAATTATCCTTTTAAATTGTATATACGTGTACATGATTAATTATGCATGAATTATGAAGTAGTATGCATGAATTATTCATCAGATATACTTTCATTATACTTTTATTGATTATTATGTCAAATTTGATAACAGAATATAAACATGTGCAGTACCAAATAAATTCATATTTATTGTTATTTCATTTGTGTAATAAGTGTAGAATTTATAGATATATTATTATGGTATTATTTTATTTTAGAACAACTGCTTCAACAGAGAGTCTACATCAGCTCTCTCAACAAATTAATGGCTTGTTAACGGAGGTAGGTCTTATACATTTTTATGCCACTGCAAGGTTTTGTATCCGTTACAAACTGCAATAATGTGAATGTTGATTCTTTAAATTAATTATCAGTGGAATAATGGTTTGATTCTGTTCACCATTTACAAAGTTATGGCGAAAATTTCACAGTATTTTGCAGAGGATACAAACAGGATATGGTCAATCCAACAAACAAAAATGTACAAAATTGACTTTCTTCAAATTGTGTAAAAGATTTTGTAAATATATTGGATTCATAAAAAATATTTAGGGAAGTTTTAACCAAAGCTATTTTCTGTTTTGACCATTTTGGGCCGTTTTGGTTTAAGGTTGTTTCTTCAACCAGTATAAACAAGCAATTTTACCTGTGAGCTAAAAAAGAATTCATATGCTTCTTTTAATATTATTCAATCTAAGCCAGGAGATTATCTACCATGGATATTTTAATTGTTTTCTTGTTAATTGAGTACATTATTTCCTAACTAAATCTTTGAATGGGGGTGGGGGATTGAGTGATCTTAAAGCGGAAATTGCAAATTTTCTAAGAAAGTCAAAATGTAATTATTTCTATGTCTTTTCCTCAATAGGTTGTCAACTCACAATTATACGATCATAGGTGTCATTCTCACACTTAAAACCCATTTACACAGGAAATAATAACACAATTACCTCCCTTGTTTTCTATTCTCCACCATGGAGTAGCTTTTTTCAAACGTTTGAAAATGAAGAGGAAAATGATATTTTTGCCAATTTCTCAGCTGGCAATAGTGAATTATAGAATTAATAGGATTATTCTTTAACAAGGTAGGACTGTTTATGGAAACCATTTATTTTCAGGCCTTATTTTAATAAATTTTAAAAATATAACTTAAAAATTTGCAATTTCCGCTTTAAGCTCTATCATTAAGTCAAGTGGCATTGTTTCGATACCACACTTGTACATGCCGAGAAGTAGGATTGTCTGTCTACCATCATGGGATTTCTCTGGGTTTCTCGGTTTCCTCCTGCTGCTAAAGACCTAGTTTGTGTAGAGTGGATGTTAAACCCCATTTCTCACACATTTTTCATGGATTAGGTATTGAAAAATTAGGTGTTGTTGATGATCAACAGCTGTAATTAATGATCCAAGTGATCATTCAATACTGGAGATAAATGGAAAAAATTTTGAAGTTGAAATTTTTACAGCATGAAATTGTTTGGAGTAATTTATGTCACTCATTAAAAATAGAACTGTGAAAGACATACATTGATTTTTAAATATAAAAAGAGAACATCAAATCTATGAGCTGCTCCTATTGTATTAATTTCATCATTATGATTAAAGCCATGTTTTATAGCATTGAATAAATAGAATTATGAATATTTTTATTAGTCACAGGTTTATATGAATGGTGATGATGTAAATAATACCAGTATAGCTGAACTGGAGGTAATTCTTTTACTTTAGTTTATAAATATATCTCTGTAGATATAAATTGTTAACGAATGTGTTATTCATGTTGAAGGATGAGTTATGAAAACTGAGCAAAACCAGTGTATATTTTTCACTAGCAAGATACCTGGTTTCGAATGGGGCCCAAATTCAATGGCCTAAACATTCACAGGGTCATGGTTGTTAATTTGATACCACATATGTGGAAATCGAGCACGGCGACGAAACATGATTCGTCTGAGCCAAACTTCAATGGCCTAAAACCCTGGTGCGCGGGAAAAAAGTCACAGGAAAAAAAGTCACAGTAAAAAAGTCACAAATTTGCCTAGGTAAAAAAAACACCGGAAAAAAAGTCATAGTTTTTTTTATTACATCTCAAATTCAAATTCAATAACAATATAAACAATAACACATATTTAACCTTTCATTACACATATGTTCATTACACAGATGTAACCAGACTGTTTTAGTCTTTAGAAATCAGCATATTTTGATATCATAGCACATTTGACATATTAGCACATATGGCATATCAGCACATCTGACATTTTAATACATTATAGCACATTTGTCTGCATCTTTACAAACTTCTTCTTGACCTTCCTGACAGGTGGATTTCCGATGGCATCCTGGGCGACGACAGCCTCGACTGTCAAAGACAAATAACTTAAAAGATCAAAGATATACTCACCCTACAATACAATATATATAAGTTGTGACTTTTTTACCTGTGTTTTTTTTACTGTGTTTTTTTTACTGTGACTTTTTTACCTGTGACTTTTTTTCCTAGATTCAAAACGTTCACAGGATCATGCTGGTTAATTTGATACCACATATGTGGAAGTGGAGCATGGCGACGAAGTGTGATTCGCCTGGGACAAAATTTGATTGTCTAAAACATTCACAGGGTCATGCTAGTTAATTTAATACCACATACATGTATGTGGGGATGGAGTGCGGCAACGAAGTGTGATGGGCGAACATACATATATACATATACATACACACATACATTAAAGCTGATGATCATCATTTAAGATATTTTGAATCGCTTGCAAAATACAATATTGTTCAATGAATATCGATGTAGTAATTGTTTCGTTCGGTTAAGTATCTTCAAAGATATGACAAATTGAAAGTCTTGCTATGTTCAGCATATTCTGCAGATGATATAAATAAGCCAGCACAACCTGAGTGTTGGATAAGATCTTTTTGTGTGTCATCGAAGTCTGGAGATTATCTATAGTTGATATAAGATATTGTTTGAAAGGTTGATCAACAACTTGAAGTATTATCTAGATAGTGTTTAATTAACAACTTTTTTTTTCAGAAAAGAAATCAAGAATTAGCAGCTTTATTAGAAAAACATTCCCAAGCTAATGAACAATTAAACACACAATTACAACAAACCGTAAGCACAGCCTTTCAAGACTTCGAATTTTGCTCGGTCAATGTTATTGTGTAAACAAAATATCAAGATCCATGCCCATTCATATTATTAAAATAGTCCTGGTTAATATTGATAGATTCTGATGTTTTATGTTGTTTAAAAACTAAAACTGCTCTATAATTTTAAATGCTTGAGACTTTGATTACTTTATTTATGATTTAAAAAAAAATTTTCTTCCAATACAGAAATTATATGCGCAGAATATACAAAATCAACTAGATCAGGAGAGAAATGGTTTTGATGAAAAACATAAAAAAGATGTGGGTTCACTTAGAGAACAGTTACAGGTAGGTTTTGATTCAAAAGTGACTTGATTTGAAGTAACATTAAGTGAAAGATAATTTTTACAATTTTATTAGGCTCCCATCAGCCGTTTCTTATGGCGGTATATTAGATTCAAAATTCTAACGTGCTATCGTCTAATTTTTAAATTCTGTTCATTTAATTTTTAACGTCAAACAAATTTAGAATTTTGATACTTTACCTAGCAACCATCATTATGACGTCATTTAGTGTCACCACCATGTGCTCAATTTGGCAATTAAGCACATGATCGGGACAATTAAGTTAATACAAACGACCCGCTCTTCGTCAGGTTGAATGGTTTGGCGACACTAAACAACGTCATAATGATGGTTGCTGGGTAGAAATACCAAAATTCTAAATTTGTTCGACGTTGTTGATTAACATGTAAAGCTACATGTACAATGAAGAAGATGTTTTACGGCTAAATAATAGAAATAAGATGAAATAGAATTAAAGTTTACAATGGACAAATAAAGAAGTTGGATTATACATTGTCTTGTTTTAGAAATTACATGAAAAAAAGTTAGAAATTACATGAATAGAAGTTAGCATTTTGAATCTAATATACCGCCATAGTTTCTGGACATATTCTTACCTCTGAAGTGATGAACTTTCTGTTGCTACCTAATGCTTAAAAGCCAGAAGAGACAAACTTGACTTGTCTGTGTCAGTGCAGGGTTGTTTTTTTCCAAACAGATAAACATACATGTATGATTCTGTATGTTTGCACAAATTTTGAGAAGTTTTTTTTTTAAAATCTATTACAGATCATGATATTTAGGCACACATACCACATAATTTTCTTTCATTGAATTAAATTAAACATGTTTATTTTTACTTGTAGGTTCATATACAAACAATAGGTATACTTGTAGCTGAAAAAACTGAACTACAATCTCAGCTTGGTCAATCTCATCGTATCTCGGAACAAAGATTACGTAAGTACTCTGATGATCAGAAAATAACAGATCTATTTAACATCTTGGCCTTAGTTAATATTGTAGCTTTTAGGGGTTGGTCTTAGTTCTGTTGTCAGTTCATTAGTTTTTCTGGAAATGACTATGTTGAGTTACTTGAGTGGATATTAATTGCCATTTCCTATCTTCTCTCACCTTTCTCATCTCTCTCTCACCTTTGCCCACAGTGTCCTAAAACTCCATTTCATTCATCTCTCACCTTCCTTCTTTCTCTCTCATCTTTGCCCACTGTGTCTTAAAACTCCATTTCATTCATCTCACCTTTTTTCTCTCACCTTTGCCAACAGACCCATAGAACTCAATTTCATTCATCCATTTATTCAACTCTCACCTTTCTTCTCTCAACTATCTTATATTATTGGAGTCATCACTTGTTGATATTGAAATATTTTATCTTTAGAGGAACTAGAAGAGATAAGTGGAAGATTAAAAGCCTCTAGACAAAGAGTATCTGATTTAGAGAAAAATGTCAACTCGTCAACACAGTCTAGTCAACAGCATGAAAAGGTTGGTTAATATGTTTAAACAGAGTAAATATTTGACTGGACAGTTTGATCAGCAATGCTAGGTCATGTCCAGTTGTTGGATTGTATTCAATATTTATATTATTCCCACTAGGACAAATTTATCTTTTATTTCAGAACAAAAATTGTACAAATAGTTTTTCTTCAAATGGGTTTCTTTATTCTCTCAAAACTCTTTATTTGTGTCATTGTTCTAATAAAATAAGATTTGAAAAGTGTCTATCAAAATGACAGCCTATGGAGATAATAATAACTCTACTTATACCTTACAAAGGAGCCACGGTGGCTCAGTGGGTAAGACACTGGCTCGCTAGCCTGGAAATCGTGTTTTCGATCCCTTCTTTTGCTGAGGAAGTTCATCAGGATTTTAGAGTGTGGTTTCCCCTTGTCAGTGGTGCAGGACGGAGGGCCTGATAAGGACAGCTGTATACATTGGTGTGCACGTAAAACATCCCTTTCCAGTTGGAATTCGATATAAGAGTAGGCCATAGTGCCGCGGCCCAGGCAAGATTTCTCTCATAGCCCACTGTATGGTGTATGCCCGTCTTCATTAGCCCAGTATAGGAGCAGAACAGTAGGATGTTAAACCCCATTTCATTTAATTTCATTTATACCCTACAAAGACAGTTTGATACATATGTTCCAGTGGTATTTACATGTCAAACAATATAATATTTATTGATTTATTTTATAGTTAAGTAGAGAAACAGCTAAAGAAGTAGACCGATTAAAATTGGAACTTTACAAAGCTAAGTAAGTACATTACAATAAGTCCATGTGATTGTGTATTTTAATTGGCTGATGTCTGTTGTTTCAAAAATTTGACATGCTACTTGCAATAACATAAAACATAGGATGGCATAACAAATTGTTTACAAATGGATGTAAATTGTATTTCCATAAACATTTTCCTTTTTAATTAAATTATGGCTATCATATACACACAAAATAGTAAAGTGTCTATCTATATTATTTTACCTTACAGTAAATCAAAGGAAGAATATCAAGAGCAACTCTCAGAATTAAAGGAAAAATTAACAGCCAAGGTAATGATTCTCTGTTAATTTTATATTATGTTATAAATTGTTATCATTTGATAAAAGATTGTATAGGCCAAAACATTAGGAATAAACCACTGTTCTATTTCACTTAAAATCAGTTTTGTACTACTATTGAACTGGTATTTTTGATTTATCTATTCTAGTCTACTCTCTCAATCTGCATCAGCTCTGATCCAGCAGCTATACTCTTGTTATTTTTTTAGTTATATCTCTAATTGATAGTTCACAGTGATATTATAAATCACTGAAGACCTTTGTGTTTTGAATATTGAGGTGTTAATATATGATGGATGAAAATGTTTTTTTGGTGTGATCATTGTATCTCTGTGAATGTTTTGATGTAATAGCCGAGATTACCATAGTAAGTACCTACTTGCTTTATATATTCCAGGTGTCCGAGTGTTCCGGGTTAGATCAGTCTGTATCCAATCTGAAGAAAAAGTTAGAAATGGCTGAATTATATGCTAAACAGGTACGACAGCTACACATAGAAATATTTTGAAAATAATTTTTTATGATGAGATTTATCAACTGTTAATTGTTTATATGAAATACTGAAAGTTTAATGTTAACATTTATTTCAGCTTTCCAATGAAAATGAAAATTCAGAAGAAACTGTACAGATTTTAGCCGAGTTACAACAGGAAAAAGGAGATCTATTAATGAAAATACAACAAGTATGTTTAATATAAACACCAGTTGTTCAGTATGTCACAGCTGGTTAGATCTGTATTTTTTAAAGTCAAACCTAGAGATGAATTTGTATTTATAGACTTTGACTTATAATAAATTGTCCTTCAAAGTTGATTATTCTATATTTTATTATTGGCATATATTGATTTAGTTTTATAAAAATGTTTTTTTATCTATGATTTCAGTATGATGAAACATTCCAGAAAATGAGTGAAGAAAAAGAACAGATATCTTATCAATATCAACAATATGTTAGTCAAATTCAAAGACAAGCTGAAGATCAGCATAAACAGGTAACTTGCAAAAAACTACTTTTAACTAGTCTATTCATGGTCACTGGTCCACGTAAAGATACCCACATTCTTGTTCTTCCATTGTAATGAAGTTAGTTGTGAATTGTTAGCTGCTGTGACCTTTTGAATTGGTCTTTGGGAAATCTTTTGAATAGCAAAGTGTGAATGCATTCCCTGCATGTTGTCTTAACTTTGTATTGATATGTCAAAAAAAAAAAAAGAAACCCAAAAAATTTTACCCTTTTTAGTTTGATACAATTTTCTGTTGTTAATTTCATTATTTCATAAAAATAGATTTATTTATTGTTGTAGGTTACAAGTCTATCAGAAGAAAGAAATAAGTTATTAGCCAGACAACATGAATTAGAATGTGCTGTACATGAATTACAACAAAAATTAGGTAAATAATTGAAATCCACACTGTTTTCAAAACAGAACAGCAGTCTTCACTGTAACCTGGGTATTACTTAATTTTGCATATTTAGCCCCTAATTTATTCCACATCCATTCAATATCAACTCTTTGTTTGATAATTTGTAAAATTGTCTAAAATCATCTAATTTTAAAAAATAAACAACCCAATTGATTATTGATGTATAATGATTAATCAGGACATTATTTTCAAACAGTGTGCGGGGAAATAAAATGTTCAAATTAAACGGTCAGCTTTAAGCAAGCACAAATTAGACGATTTGGGGCGATATTAGATGATTTTTAAGAGTCTTATTTGATATTGAAAGAAATAACGGCTAAATATACCAGATTTAATGATACCTGGGTCACTGTTCTACAAAACCATTGTTTATAAAATAATACCCATCATATATCAAAATAAAGTATTCAGTTAGTTTGATCAGATGTGATACATCAATTAGTGACAGATTTTTTTACTAGTTTTAGTTGAATTTTTGGTTTACTTGTGTCGACTATAAATTCAACAATTTCATTTTTAGCACAAATGAAAGTGGTCTCTAGTTATTTTAAGAAATTAAAACCCATTTAATTTAAATTCATATAAGCTTATCCCATTTAATAACTCTTCATTTTCATGTTGAAATAATAGATGCTTTGATGAGTTCTGTAAATTTGAAACAGAAATTAATCCTGTATAAAGTTTGTTTGATGTTTATTTTTATAGAAAATATTGATGTTCCACCCACCCATACAGAAGTAGATAATACAGAATATAAAGACGAAATATCTAGATTAAAAACTGAATACCAGGAATTGATATCTAGACATGAAGCACAGATACGTGATAATGCTCAGCTTAGTCGGTAAGTGCCTAGAACTCTATCAATGACTTATTATATATTTTACTAACTAAAATGAAATGGTTAATTTGAAATAAGGGTTATTGTACTACAGTCAGGCTAATGAAGGCAGGCATGTCCCATAATGACAATTTGGTCTAAACACCACGTATGGCCTACTTGTTTCGATTTTCAACTGTTAGTGAATTATTAAAGTGCTAAGTATATACACTGCACCTCCTTTGTGTATTTTTGGATCCCATCAAAATGACCAGACTCTTTTCCTTACCAGGCCCGCCATCGTTCACCGCTGACGGGGGAGAAACCAGGCAACTTTCTTTGCCAACACCGGATTCAAATCATGACCCTGTCACATAGTTGTAGAGCTACCGTAACTCCCAGCACTAATGGGTGTCATGTGTGTGTCAGGGGTAGGATATGATACCATTTCTGAATTAGAATTGTTTACATAACTTTGTTGTAGTTTTTTGGTTATGTGTATGCTATACATGGAGTAGTGGTCAGATGGTTTTCTCAATATTTTTGTAGTGGTTATTGAAGTTTTTCATTGATTTTAATTGTAGGTTTTTAGAAGAGAAAGAAGAAAGAATAAATGAATTAGAGACAACAGTTAATACATTAGGTGAAGAAGCTGGAGATAAAGCTCAATTATTGGAAAGTATACAAAGTGATAAAACTGCATTAAGTCGAGCTTTAACCCAGAATAAAGACCTTAAAAATCAACTGGCAGAATTACAGAGCTGTTTTGTTAAAATGGTATGTTATTACTATTCCACTGTGCTGTCATCCAGTTACAAAGTACTGCAGAAGAGCTTTACTGTAATTGAATAAGTGAGTTAAAAAGGATTATGGTTTGTCCCCTAAAATCCTGCTTGTGGATTAATTTTCTCTAAATTATCAAATTTCTTGATATTTGTTTTTCTAGACAAATGATAATATGGAATTATTAACCAAACTACAGTCTGGAGAACATCAACATCAAGATGTAATGGCTAAATTAGGTCGACAAGAAGATGAACTTACAGAAATAAAACAACAGGTAAGCAATATTCAGTCATTTTGTCTGACAACTAGCAGTGTATATACATAACCGTTAAAAAAAATGTGACTGGAGTATACTGTAAGCTGTAGTCATTCATGGACATTGTTCTACTATAAAATAGAGCTTTCATTCAATTTGAAATTGAGAAAATTCCAATACGTAATTTAATCATCACACTAATATTAGTTTAGATATCCACTTGTCAATTTGATAATAATGATACATTCTGTATATTGCAATGCCAAGCAAGCTTTTCTTGTTTCTTGTATCATTATTTTACTTTCCTTTCATAATTTGATTTTGTACATAATTAATGTTTATACTGATAACTTATTCATATATAAGTATGATTTATTTAATGTGTACAGGTTGCACGTAAAGATAGTGAATTGAATGAATTACGTAATATGTCGAAAACAAATCGTATAGATGAATATCAACAAGAACAGATAAATGACAGGTTACAACATTATGAAGCTCAGGCACAGTTAGTTGATACATTACAGAATGAATTACGAGCTTCACAGGTAGGAAAAAGTTAAATATTTAACTTGATAAAAAAAAGATTTCCTCAAATTTTAATTAGTTCTGGATCCTGATCAGAAGTCACAAGAAAATGACATTAAAGACCCTGATGACCTCTTATAACATTGCAACATAGAAATCGAGCTCATTTATAAATTATTAGTACAGTTATAGCTTAAGGATGCTATCATGGTCCTGTGTTTACCACTGGCAGTATGTTAACAGTCCCACAACAGTTAGTGATCTATCCAGACAGTATTTATCTCATACATATTGATCCAACGAAATTTGATGGAAGATTTATTAAAATGTAACTTTGTTAAAGAATTAAAATTATGTAACGAAAAAAATTGGCTTTGTTATAAATACTAAATGCTTATGATTACATGATATTTTGTAGGATATGGTTGATGCTTTAACAACACAGAGTAGTGAATTACGTGCTATGTTAATTAAAGCTGCTGAAATACCTAACAATGATAATAATGAAGGGGAATCAGAGAATAAAAGAGATCAAGTGGTATGTATAAGAATTCCAGAGAGTAGTGTGCAGATTTTAGGAGATGAAAAAAATTTCCTGTGAGCTTTGCAGAATGAAATGTTTACTTTAAGTTTAGATCACCAACCATTTTAATGCCAATCTTAACAATTGATTCAGAATCTTTAAACATTTATTTACTGCACATGCAATGCAGGTATTATATTTGGTTGGGAGATTCTTGTATCTATTACTGACCATTATTCCATTATTACCAGATTAAAACATTGGTATGACTTTATGATGGTAGTGAATACACTGATTTTTGTACTGTTTTTTTTTCTACAGTTGGAATCTCTATCAACTACAATAAAACAGCTAGAAGATGAGAGAGGTATATTGGTATCAAATCTTAAAGAACAGAGAGAATTATCTGATAAACTTAGTGTTAGAGTAGCTGATTTACAAGAACAAGTTCTATCCAACAGTAATTATAACTTTTATATAATATCCTATGTTGAGTGTTACTGATCATAGTTCTATCATCTATGTAAGCTACAGGTGAAATTTACCTTTCGTTATTAAGTACGCACATAGGTCATGCATTGTATAGATCTCTAAAAGAATGGCAGTCGATTATCTGGACACCCAATGAAAAATTAACCCGAAATCTTAAAAGGGTTACGGGTCTGGATAAGCGGTTTTGACGTTCACATCCAAACGACTTGATATTTTGAGCTGAAATTTTGAGACAAGGTAAATACACCATTCCTCTATATTTTGGCATTTCATTTCATTTCATATGTACACAGATTTTTATTATTGAGACTCTGTTCAAATTGGGATAGTCCCTTTCCCCCCCCCCCCCCCCACACACACACACACACACACACACACCCCTCCCCCTCTTCCAACGAGTTTAACAAAGAAATGGAGACATTTTAACGTTTGTGTATTATTTTTTTTAGATCAAGACGATGCTGATAATAATCGAGTTGGTAGAGTCGAGTTTGAACAGTTAAAAACTGCCATGACCATGATTCAAGTAAGTTTCTGTTTACAAGTGTTGTGTAATGCTAACAACCAATGAAAATGCCACTGCTCCAATGATGCCAATACATTTATTGTCAACTGATTATGTCATAAGCTTAAGGCAGTTGACCGAACAGTAGCTATTCTGAATATGTTAAATCTTATGCTGAGTAAAATGACAGTAATGACTAAATGAAATAAGGATATAATTCTGAATATTAGTCAATTACAACTATTGTTGTTTTACTGTAAAATGGAACTTAATGTATGTACTATATTATCTTTTGCTATTACAGGATAAGTATACTAGAGTAATGAAAGATAAAGCTGATTTATCTGATAAAGCTGATCAGTTAGAACATTTAGTAACACAATTACAAGGTGAATCTGATACTATAGGTGAATATATATCATTATATCATCATCAACGAGCTTTATTACAACAGAGAGAAAGTCAGAAGAATGATTATATTGGACATTTAGCTAGAGATAGAGAAGAATTACAGGTATACTATATTTTATTATCTATATATGTTGTAAATAACACTTAGCTTTTTATACCCACCCTTATATAAATCAAACTCAGCTGTTATTAGATCTGTAGTCATTACCAAATGTTACTTTTGATGGTCACCACAAACAGTAATTATTTCTTATAATAAATTAGCAGCAGTTATCCTATCCTTGTGGTCTATAGTTGAGACATGAAAATAGTTTTTCTCAATGAATTTTGATTATTGATTTATAACATTACGGTTGTATATTCAATATTGTTGTATTACTGTATGGGAGCCACGGTGGCTCTGTGGGTAGGGTGTTGGCTCGCTAACCTGGAGGTCCCGTGTTCGATCCATGCATCGACCACGGAAGTTTATCAGGATTTTCTGGCGTAGTTTCCCCCCTTGTCAGTGGTGTAGGATGAAGGGTCTGGCATGGGATAACGTATAGTCGTTCGGATGCGACGAAAAATCTGAGGACCTGTGTACACATTGGCGTGCATCTAAAAGAATCCTCGACAGTTGGAATTCGATATTAGAGTAGACCATAGCTCTGCTGTCTGGGCAAATTTTCCCTCATAGCACATTGCATGACATATACTCATCTTCATTAGCCCAGTAGGAGCAGAACATTAGGACATTAAACCCCATTTCAATATGTATTACCGTACCTATAGCCAGCCATTTTGTTTTATTTACAGGGTAAACTGGGTCAACTACAAGCGTTAGTAATGCAACTATTAGGTGAACGTAACATGTTACACAGTTATAATGAAGAATCTATATTACAAAAATCTACTGAAAATGATATACAGCCACATTTAGCTCATAAACATCATCATCACCATCATCATCATCATCAAAATGGAGTACCTAATGGTGATGGAGGAGGTCAGTTCATTTTAGTTTTGTTTCTTACTTAGCAGTTCTATATTCTATTGTCTTAAAACAGAGATGTAATGATTAAATAATAGAAATAAAATATTTATGATTTTGATTATAAAAAACAACTTTACTCTAAGTTTATGGGCAGTGATGCTCTGTCAGATAATTTTTCCAGGATAACTATCATGATGCTCTGTCAGATAATTTTTCCAGGCTAACTATCATGACAAATATAAGCACATCTTAATAAAAATAGGATAGCTTTAAATAGAAACAAGACATGCTTAGAATTATATTTATATTTATAAAAACTGATCCTTGACTTTTCCTATACACATCTATATGAAATTTTTTTCAGTTGATTGGCCTGATTATACAAGTTCTGAAGATGATAGTGATAGCGAGGTAGAACAAATAGTGGGAGGAGCTGAGAACGGTGATGTCACTCCCACCCAACAACCTAGCCCCGCCCCTTCAACTCCTACATCTGACAGTCAATCTAATAAATCTAACAACAAAGCACAAGAAGAAGATCAGACAGCACATAGAATTCTACATTTATTGTCAGAAATTGGACATTCAAACTTAGTTGAAAAAGCATCATTTATGGAACGGAACTTTTTACCATGTAAATATTGCAAGGGACGGTTAATGGTCGTTTAATGGTAACCAAATTTAAACTTATAAAATGTGATAATCTTTTGTGTAGCAGATATCTTTTGGGTTATTTCATAGCACATAGAAATTTGTCACAGGAATGTGATAGTGTTTTACTCAGCTGTGAAAAAAAACCCAATATCTACCCTGTGTTAAGAAACAACAGACCTTATATGTGGGATCAACTGTGTATAAATTGTACATTATGTACCTACGTGGGAACTTATCCAGTGGATAATATTGTATATAAGATAGATCTATTTTTCTATACTCAAAACATATGCATTAACATACTCTAGTGAGTGGATTATTGTGGTGATTTTTATATTGGACCTGTAAAAAAACCTATTTATTAACCTGTACATATGTGTATAGGTGGAACTGACAATATTTTATGTATGGTATTCGTACTGGGATTGTTTACAGTGATAAGTATACCAATATATATATATACATTGTATTTATAAATGTATAAACACTGTGTAATATATGGAAATGGTATATAACTCTTATTGTAAAAATAACCACTTCTTAAACAATGCCTAAAAGGGAATTTGTGTTTTATGAATGATTGTTTTTTGTTTGTAATCATGTTGGTGCTCTATCTTTGTATTGAATGGAGAAAGAAGCTGGTGCCTTCAGTATAAATAGATGGGATTCAATTCTATTACTCTGTGGTTTTCATTTCTTGCATCTTCACATTGAGGAATTTATCTTGCATATTTGTTAATGGGTGTTCAATTCAAACGGTTGTACATAGATATCATGATATCTAGTATGAACAATTCTAATTTTAATTGAAATAAATTTCTTTGGTAATAAAAAAACCCAGTGGATATTAATGAATATGATGTACATACATATATATTTGTGGGAGGAAGTGATTTATATTTATAACCACCACTCAGCACTTGTAGGCAGGGGTCTTTAGATGAAATCTGAGTACTGGGAGAAAGGCCATAACATGTACCAAATACTGACAAGTGGGTGGTTGTATTCACGTTATTTGTATGTACACACTTTTTGATCTTCAGTACATCTGTTGAACCACTCAGCCACCCAACCCCTTACATGCAGAGGAGAAGAAAACACACAAAATATTTGTATCTTTATTTAAATAACAATTTTAAACAAGAATTTATAGATATAAATGAAAATTTTACTGTTACATATTCTTAATGATATTGTTTTGAATAATATTAAGTAATCCAATATTATGATTTTAATTGACTTTAAGGAACATATTCTTTGATTAACTATTTTACCAATACCTACAGAATAATCTCTACCTTTTTACCTCAGATGAAACTACATGGTATTAATTAATGAATTTATCAAGGTTAAAGATACATTATGTAAGATTTACATGTAGATAAAGAGCTGGCCATTCTTGCTATAATAGCTCAAAAATAGATAATATAAAATGAAAATATTGAACTTTTCATTCAAATTACTTCATTCTGAGCCAAGTTATCACTGTTTGTAGTTTTGACAAGATGTGCACATTATGGTAACCAGGGCACTGGTATGTTATATTTGTATAACATTTCAGGCCTAAGAAAAGACCTGCAATATGCAGATGTAGCTCTTGTATAATGTATGTTTAATGTATATTTTTTGTTTCCACCAGTCAATTGTAAAGATATGATATGAACATGTACATGTTTATTATAAAATAATCTCATTTAAAACATATCCTATTTTTCACTTCTCATTCATATGGCACATTTAAACATTTTAGGAATATGTATTATTTTTCTAATAAAGTTTAATATTTAAACACTACAAACAGGAGATTACTTGGATGATAAGTTTGATAATTGTAAACTGATTAATATATACACCTAAAGTTGCATAGGTGTACTGTATAATAAGTCTATATATAAACCTCTAATATGTCAAGATGTAGAAACTGATTTCTTAATCCTGTTAATAAATCTAAATATTTATAGATATAACCAAAATACATAATTAATCTGCAGGCATTTAAAAAAAAGAAAAAAATTCATATAATAATAATTTATTGTTTGATATAGTATCCATAGTGATACCTGACACTATTTATAAACATGTACATGTTATAAAGAATTCCAACAAAATATAAAAATTGCTTTAGACATTATGCAGTTGTTTTGTGTTTGAACATTTTAAAATTGCATTGGACACAAGTTCAGTTGTTAAAAGGACATGAATTGTGACAGAGCCACTGCAGCCACTGCCAGATATAATTCTTGGATTCCATCGATGACTAAATTGGAACTGGGCATTAAAAATGAGTGTGTTGGTTATTTTTAAATGCCCTTATTTAATGTGGATGCATGTTGCCGTAACCTTCACTCATGGCCTCATTCATGGTGTCGCGAAGATTGTACATTATCAATGGATTCAAAGCAGATACAAGTATTCATCAGGTTATTAGAACCATACATGTAGGTCTGAATTTATGAAATGCTGTGAACAGGTCAAAGTTCTGGATAGAATTATTTTGAGATTGTTCCATAGACTAATATTGACTTACTGATTAGACCTATATTGTAGAGTGGACAGTAGTACACTCTAGCACTTAATGAACTTGGTGTGGAATGTTTATTGATATAATCTGAAGATTTAAAGGGCCATTTGTAAACAATATTTCTTTACATTGATATACAGATACATCAGGCATCCCGCATGTGCAATTAGATTGTATATGTTTATATACATGTATTCACTTTACTTTGCAACCATTTCTGTTCATAATCTTTTATTAGTGCCTTATTTAAGGGAAATAGTTTGGGTTTACTCTCAAGAAACCAACAAAAATCCAAGTGTTTGCCATGCAAAATATGCCCACATTTTGCAAGAGATGGACAGAGAACAGGGAAAATCAACAGGGCTCATCTCACTTGTCCAAAAACAAGTCGGTTAAAACTGATTCAAGATTTAACGTTATAATTTAGTCTGTCATACAAGTACACATGCTGAAAAAGGTTCAGTTTTTAGTGTCCTAATTGTTCAAGACTATTATGTAGTTTTAGGGAACTAGCCCAAAGTGGGACCAATGATCAAAATATACATGTTGATTATAAAACCTTAATATTCTCCAGTCTACTGTGGAATTCCTAAATAATTCAAAGTTAAACAAGAAGTTGAGTTTTGATGCAAAATCGAACACATTCAAGATATTATTTTGATCCTTAAAATATTTGTTAAGTTTCATCTGAATCAGACAATTATGGCCTCCGGAGGATTTCCAAAATATATATTTCACATTTTGCGTAATAAAAGCCGGGACTATAACTCTAGAATTGAAGTTCTTATGCGTACCAAAATCGAACTTTGATCCTTAACACATTTTAAGTTACATCTAAATCGGACTAAAATTGTGGACGTATAAATAGTCTCAACGGCCCTTTAAAAAACTTGAAGGAGTAACGAGATGAGTAAATTGTATTATCTTATCTACTGAACGACGGTTTATAACTGTACTTATAAACCTATAACGGTAAATCTCTTTAATGTTTGGGGTATATTCTATGCCCGGAATAACCTGCTGTCTGAGAGGAATTTGGGGTTATTCTTCTGAAAGTTTTTCTTTAAACCTGTATCGGGTTATTCTTCCAGAGTAGGGTTTTTTTTCCATAAGAAAACATGATATAAGGTTTTTCTTACGGGAATTCTGGGATATTCTCATTTTACGTACATCTAAACATAAACATAGACGGTTTATAAGCAAGATAAAGTCCTCGATTTCGGTTATGCTGGGGAAGAAAGACTGAAGAAAAAAACCTCGGCCTACCGACCTCGGTTTTCTGTTTCTCGGGTTATTTTCTTGAGTCTTTCTTTCCCCGGTATAACCTCAGTCTCGTGCTTTATCCTACATATAGTACAGGCACTTGTGGACTCTTTAATATTGTTAACAAAGTTTTACTGAAGATTATGTATTCCTTGTAGCGTCAATGAGGCCTGGTCCAACAAAAATCAATGTGTTTTTAGTGTAATGGTACTCTGGAAATTATCTTATTCCAACCACAGTCTTCGTAAGCCCGGTTGAGTTTATAAATCGACATTTTTTCAGAGTTATTCTTATACAAACCAGACGTTCTTTTTATATGTATCAAAAAAATTTCTGATATTTTGTGACAATTGACCATAAAATCGACCCTTTCTATAGATGCCTTATTAAGACAGAGCCAGAATAGGACCACCGCCAAATAGTTCTGAATCATGCTTCAAGCGTATTGTCTAGAATTATTGTAACAATAAGTATTAATTATGTATCTTTTGACAACACGAAAGTTAACCAACGTGTTACAAAATGTATAAAATTATAAGCTCCCTGTTGGTTACTATAGAAATCAACCGCGTCATCCAATTTCATAATTCAACATAGAAACACTATCATCTCCGATTCGAATTATATTTTTAAAACTCCAAGAATAAAACTGAAAGAAAAGGGCCCCCGAAAGGCACATAAAATAGTAAACCGTACGCCGCCTCATCATTCATCAGTGTCATTATGCTTCTACCAAGTTCTCATTTTTTTTCTTATCTGCACTTTGTATTATCTATCACAGTGACGTAGCCAAACTCACTTATTTTGATTTTCAACCGCCAATCGCTAGTTTATGTGCACGCCAACATATACACGGGACATTGAGTGTTCGTCTCATCCGAACGACTCGATGCTGTTTTTTGCCGGGCCCTCCTTCCTGCACCATTGACAATGGGATACCAAGTCGGAAAACTTTCTCAGCCAACACCGGGAACGACCAGAGGTATCGAGGGGAATAGGCGAAAACAACGCTATTCGGGCAAATTTTTGCTCATGGGCGTATGCCACCTATCTTCATTAGTCTAGTTGGTGCAGAAAAGCAGGTCGTTAAACCCAGTTTCATTTGTTTTACGTCAGTTTGTATCTAAACCAACCGAAAAGTGCCCTAAATCTCAACTACGGCGATGTAATTTCTATACGCCCACGTTGAAATGTGGTCGTATATTGTTGTCGCCCCAGTCCGTCCGCCCGTCGGTCCCGCGTCCACAATTGCTCGTGGACGCTCTAGAGGCTAAAGTGAATATCCGATTGACTTTAAATTTATACACAATGTTTAAAGGAGCTAAATCGCTAATATCTGGGACCTAGACATGGACACAAATGGGTCGCAATGCATATAATAATTTAATATGAATGTATATAAACTGATTTTCATTCAATCGTTTCCGTTTTTACTCTAATTTCAAATCAGTTATGTTCGGCTAAATACGTCAGAAGTCTCAATCGATAGCGTCTGGGTACTCCAGTCTACACCGGTATTATTTATGATGCATGCTCTCCGGATAAGAATATGACGTCACCGTTTGACATGACTTGTGGAATGTGTCTAGCCTCGTTCTTCAAGTCCCTTGTTACAAATGGCACTGAAATGCATTATGGTACACGAATCGTGTACCAATGGTTAAATGTTTATTTTGTCTTTTCCCTGTAAGACTACAACATCAATGTTGATTTAAATTGACAAATAATTCGTCTTTTCAATATGGAAGACTTTGGATGATACTGATTTAGAAACTTAGCTACTTTAAATAAACAGATGTAATTATCAAACATGGAATAAAATGAGCGTTAACGGCCTTTTTTCTGCATCAACTAGGATAATGAAGACGGGACATAATCCACTATTTAAATTAAAGTTGTGCTATTTGCATTTTTTCAGAAAATATAAAAAAAATCTTGTGGACGCTCTAGAGGCTAAAGTTAATATCCAATTGACTTTAAATTTATACGCAGTGTTTAAGGTGATGAGACGAAGAAGCCTATTCATTTTCACGGATTTCCGATAATTTCTGCGAGAGTTATGGCCCGTTATCACATTGTTTGAGGTCATGAGACGACACGACCTAGAGGCTAATGTCCGACCGATTGACTTTAAATTTATACACAGTGTTTAATGTCATAAGACGAAGAATCCTATTTATTTTCAACAATTTCTGATAATTACTGACAGAGTTATGGCCTTTGATCACTCCCTCGGGTTAGCATGGGGTCCGCCCCCCCCCCCCCCACAAAAACCAATCATGTCCCCGCACATTGATTATTTTAACTTCACTAGGAGGGAGGGGGGGGGGGCAGTACGAGGGCAGTTGGCCTTAGAAATACTCAAATTATACAACTAGCTATCACTTGCTTTTTTTTAACCTGATAAATCTCGGTAGATAACAATCCAGAAAACAGAATCCAACACTTTTATTGGACCCAAAAGTAACATGTCACATTACTGATAAATATACATTGATCAGGGGTCGAAAACTGTGTGCCGGTATATTGTGGGGCGTCATGACCCATTTTTTAATTACTTCAAAAAAAAAAAAACAACCCTAGTATAATTCAATATCACGGGTGGTTGAATGGCCGAATGGTTAGCACGTGTGCGCTGTATCATAAGGTCTGTCATTGAGTCATCTGACATGGTTTCGATTCCTCGGTTGTACGTGACAAGGAGTAGGGTCGCCTGTCCAGCCACGTGGGTTTTCTCCGGGTCTTCGGGTTTCCTCCCACTGCTAAAGACCCCTACGCGCAAGCGAATTATTGAAATAAAATTGAACCATGTTGTTATCTTGCCGTATAGAATCCCAATATCCAAATATCCAATATTTAAGACACGTAATGAACAAATAAAAACATGCCCTACAACACAATGTGGAAGTAATTGGTAAAGGCTGATTCAAAACGACAAAATAATATTTTTTTTTTTAAAAAGCTGTAGAATGCACTAACCAGGCGTAAACGACTACCGTTCAATTTGAACTGTTCACGGATTTCACCGAACATAATTGATTAGAAATTACAATATTTTTTTTCTCAAAAATTGAATATAAATCCCTTTACATATATTCACATTACATTAATGTGCTTTTAGAACCAAGATAGAGCCATACGCCCTTTAAAGGTAATAAAATAAAACAATAGTTATCTTATAACTTCCAAAACAACAAGGAAGGGTACTTAAAGATATTTCAAATACTACAAAAAAGTAAACTGTGTAAAGAATATTGCGATTTAATTTGCATCCACACCCCCTTCATCCATTCATTGCTTTATGTCTATGCTCATTTAAAACTAGCTAAGCCAAGAAATAACAAGATGTTTATCAACAGTTAATTATATTTTTACCATACCGTTTTTGAGAAGAAGAGTAAGCAAGACACCCCACCCCTCCTCTCCTAAAAAGACAAGATAAGTGATGCCTAGTCTACCCTTGTACATATTGGCGTGCACGTAAAAGAAACCCCCACAGATAGAATTTAGAGAATGGGCGCACTACGTTCTCAGTTCTAGAATGGGATTCATCTTGACATTGAGGTTAAGCATTTTGTATTTTCTTGGCAACCATATCAAAAATAAAAATGTTTATGACCATATGTGAAGCAATACTATAGAGATAAGATAGCAACAATATCAGGTCTTCTGAGATATTCACATGATTCATTATAACATGGTAATGTATCAAACTGATATGATTTTAAAAACCTATATATACTTAAATCAATTCTCTTGAATCCTTAGATTGCAGTCTTGCATTCATACAAAATGGACAGCATGTAAGTATATATGCTTAAAAATTATAGTTTTCATGTTTTGTGTTATCTTAAAGTATCAGTTGCTTCGGCTTCTGAAATCTCGATCCAAAACATTGTTCCCATGAGCGATAATTAGTAATGGTGCCGTGCACACTTGATATCACTTCTCAATGGAATGGACTTTTGATTATCATTCAGCAGAACAATCATAGAATTCGCCTGCAGTATAGATAGTATGGTTTTATCATCACACATTTTTACGAATAGGAGAGATGAGATAAGATCAGTTTTAATTGCATATAAACGTTCGCATAGAGCAGCATATAGATAATACCCGATCTAGCTGCTTTTTGTATGTGTGCGGTAATAAAAGTGTGCAGTACGTTGGTGAGGTAACGTCAAGTATCCCTCGAGAGCATCTTTATTCAATGAAGTGGGCAAATCCTTTATAACGAACTCTTAGTGTCTGTCATTTTGGGCAAATCCCTGTATAACGAATTATTTTATAGTGTCTGTCATTTTGTTTGTGGACAAAGGTATTTATAACGAACTATAGAGTTTTCTTTTCTGTCTTTGTTTATACTTGTGTTTGTATTATTTTTGTTGTTTGTTTTAGTTATAGCTTATTGTATTATGTGGTGTTTGTATCGTTATAGATTATTTGTATTATGTGGTGTTTGTATCGTTATAGATTATTTGTATTATGTGGTGTTTGTATCGTTATAGATTATTTGTATTATGTGGTGTTTATATCATTATAGATTATTTGTATTATGTGGTGTTTGTTTTGTTATAGATTATTTGTATTGTGTGGTGTTTGTCTTTTGACAACATCAGCCTTACCGCCGCCATCACATGATGTGCTTCACGCCACATCTACACCATCTGAACAGTTTTCCAATCATGAAATTTTGGATGATAATGGTATCTTTGAGCTGTTCTGGAAATACAATGAAACCCACATCACCTTCGAGGCCCATGTTCAAACTCTGGGATATGTTGGATTAGGACTATCTGCCCATGGTAAGATGTTTCCAGCAGACGTGGTTGTAGGCTGGGTTAAAGATGGCAAAACATATTTTACTGTAAGTATTTTCGTACTCTCACAAAATGGTAGACGTAGAATTTCCAGCTAAAAAGGTCATTTATATTAAAATTGCATACTCTCTACCACGGCGCTATAAACTTGATTTTTATTTTCTCTCCTCTAAACTCTTTTCAGGGTCTCATTTCACAAAGCACACGTAAGACTTATAGAGCTGAACATTCAATTTCAAGTTGTTCGGGGCTAATCCATGGGTCTAAGACGCATCATTTTGTATTCTCAACTCTTCGGATTACATGTAGCTACACACAAATTATTTAAAATATTTCAAAGTTAAGCTCGAGTTTGTTTTCTTTATTTGAATAATGTTATATCATTGTGTTACTGTTATCATTTAGGATCGTCACACTATTGGACATTACGAACCCATCATTGACCAATCTCAAGACTGGTTCCTTATATTTGGAAAAGAAGAAAATGGTAAAACTATATTGAAGTTTGTAAGGAAGATTCTGTTGTGTGACTCCGAAGATATCTCCATTGAGGTTTGTATGGCAATAACCGTTGCTTTAAGAAAATCAGAGAAAAGTTATTTAAAGCGAGAATTTCAAATTTTCTAAGAAAGTCAAAACATAATTATTTCTATGTCTTTTGCTCAATAGGTTATCAAATCACTATTATACGATCATGGGCATTAATTCCCACCATCAAAAAACTATGACACAGGGAATAACAACACAATTACCTCCCCTGTTTTGCTATTGACAACATGGGGCAGCCATTTTCCAAAGTTGGAATTTGAAGTTAAAAATGATATTTTTGCCAATTTCTCAGCTGGCAATAGCGAATTATAGGATTAATAGGATTATTCTTTAACAAGGTAGGACTGTTTATGGATACCATCTATTTTAAGGCTTTATTTTAATACATTTTAAAAATATAACTTATATAACTTGAAAATTTGCAATTGCAACTTTAAATGAACATAACTGATCAGTAACCGCTGGTGCCAAATACTTTATATTTGATGTATATAAAGAGCCAAACAAAGCTATCACGAAACTGCGCAGCAATTCGTTCATTTAGTGGAATTAAGTAAATGAAACGTATGTGTGTATTTGTAATTTTAGGATGGTACAACTAAAGTTATTTATGCCTGGAATTCTGAAGATCCTATACATGAAACTGGTTTATCTTACCATGGTACCAATAGAGGTGCTAGAAATCTTCTGTTACTGAGTCCTACACAGCATAGACATCTCCCTGCCGATGCCAAACATTTTGACTTTCTTAACAAACAGGTAAATAAACTAAAAGGTTTTTTTCGCAACTTTTGAAGATTTACATATTTCAAATTTTAATTTATCTACATTCGATAGGACCTATAATATTTTAAATATAAACTTCTTAAGTTTTAAAGATTGAAATTTGTTAAAACTTGCAAACTTTAATGATCTATAAGGGGAAGTTATCATCAAATATGTTTTAAAATATTTCTTGAATGAACTATTTTCCGCCTATTTAAAACACTGTTACATTCCGGTTTCCAGTTTCATTTACCAGCACGTTTGACCTATTACCATTGTACATCATTTAAATTACCAGATATTGGTGGTAAAAATCACATGGTGATGGTAAGTCCAATGAATAATATTTCGATACAAACTGTTGAAAAATGTACCCTATTTTCATTACATTAAAGGCATCACTGCTTACATAAGTGAAATAAGTTTTCATTTAGATCATATTTTAATACATGCCTGTAATGCTTACTAAGCAGGCACTAATTATATGATCGTAAATGAATAAATTTTCTTTTTTTTATATACATGTAGAGAATATAATCTCAAGGGTAAGGATAAAGTAATATATATGATCTCAAATCAACAATTCTCCAATACGAAGATATTGATACCAATATGTGATCCAAACAAAATTTAATGAACAAATATTTCCCTATGTAATAGCTACATCTTGATAATAACGAAAAACATTTCTTGTGTGTATTATAAACACTTTAGTTATTAAAATTTGTGAACGTTTAATAATCTTATATTTCTTTTTACAATTTTGAATAGTTTGAACCAATTCTACAGAAAGGTAACGAAGGGGTAGTACACCATATATTAGTTTACCATTGTCCACCATCGAAACAATATGCTGATAAATTTATTAATATGGAATATGAGTGCTATGAAGATGCACCTCGCGAATTAAATGAATGTCGAGCTATTATGTTGGCCTGGGCTGTTGGTGGCGGAGTGAGTTTTTATAAATTTTCTATGAAAAGAACCGATCACTATTAATGTGACACAGAAACGAAATGAAATGAAATGAAATGGGGTTTAACGCCCTATTGTTCTGTTCCGACTGGGCTAATGAAGACGGGCCTACGCCATAAAGTGTGCTATGACGGAAAATTTGCCCGGACTGCGGCGCTACGGCCTTCTCTGCCAAGGGATCTTTTACGTTGTCAGACCCTCCACTCTGCACCACTGACACGAGGAAACCAGGTCGGAAAAACGTGATACAGACGCAACTGAACGGTCTTTTGGGGATAGCACACATAATATTGGATTTTGGGTTAGGAACTGGGCCACAAGCGCTCACACCAAACCTGCTTGGGGGCGACGCTCTTCGAAGTACAATCGACACAAAGCTTGGCCTGCTTATTCCTTGGATAATTGTGAATCGTTTGACGGATTTAGATTTTTAACATGGCGTCAAAATTCCAACACATCATGCTCGGTTCTTGGTTCATAATATGGTGGTACTTGTTATTATTGTTTATTTAAGGTATAAATGTTATTTTTTTGTGTGTGGTGGGGGTAGTTGGTGTGACAGTTCATCTTAGCATTACCTTGAGATTTATTTCCATCCGTTCCGCTATATTATGCAGCAGTTCGCTCAAATTTTGATTCTTCTCAATATTATTATTATGATTATGAATGTTTTGTCTATTACAGCCATTCTATTTCCCTGATGATGTTGGTATGCCTATAGGTGAAAGTACAGACAGTGGTGTATTTGTACTAGAGACACATTATAATAATCCTACATATTTATCAGGTAGACTACATAGTACTATTATAAAACAATTATAAAACACGCTGTTGACTGATGACGTATTTAGGTGTTTATAGTTTAATTTTTAATGGATATGCTTAGGTTAAAATTATTTAGATTTGTTTATAGTTATTTAGATTTGTTTATAGTTGTGCTGTAGATTAAAGTTTAGATTTGTTTATAGTTATGCTGTAGACTAAAATTTAGAGATGTTAATAGTTATGCTGTAGACTAAAATTTAGATTTGTTAATAGTTATGCTGTAGACTAAAATTTAGATTTGTTAATAGTTATGCTAAATTTATTTAGATTTGTTAATAATTAATTAAAATTTAGATTTGTTAATAGTTATGCTGTAGATTAAAATTTAGATTTGTTAATAATTATGCTATAATAAACACAAAAACATATAAAGGAACACAATTACTATTTCAATTAAAGCGACGTTTCGATGGATAGTTATAGATTAAAGTTTATTGTCCCCCGCCTTTCGAAGAAAGCAGGGGACTATTAAAATGGGTTCGTCCGTCTGTCTGTCTGTCCGTCTGTCTGTCCGTCTGTCTGTCCGTCACACTTTTTGGAACACAATAACTCTCTTCCTAATTGAGCTAGAATGTTCAAACTTGGTGTATGTGTTTATTAGGTCAATGCCTTGATGGAGTTCGAAGATGAGCATTTTCCGCTTAGGGTAAGCAGAGATAAGCAATTTGATTGGTTGATGCTTTGGGACACGATAACTCTCTTCCTAATTGGGCTAGAATGTTCAAACTTGGTGTATGTGTTTATTAGGTCAATGCCTTGATGGAGTTCGAAGATGAGCATTTTCCGCTTAGGGTAAGCAGAGATAAGCAATTTGATTGGTTGATGCTTTGGGACACGATAACTTTTAATTGAGCTAGAATGTTCAAACTTGGTGTATGTGTTGATTAGGTCAATGCCTTGATGGAGTTCGAAGATGAGCATTTGCTGCTTAGGGTAAGCAGAGATAAGCAATTTGATTGGTTGATACTTTGGGGCACGATAACTCTCTTCCTAATTGAGCTAGAATGTTCAAACTTGGTGTATGTGTTGATTAGGTCAATGCCTTGATGGAGTTCGAAGATGAGCATTTTCCGCTTAGGGTAAGCAGAGATAAGCAATTTGATTGGTTGATGCTTTGGGACCTGATAACTTTAGTTCTAATTAAAAGGGAGAGTGAGGACACTTGGTGTATAGCTTTATTATATCAATACCTTGACTAAGTCTCGATAATGAGCATTTTCTGCTTAGGGTAAGCAGAGCGATAAGCAATTTGATTGGCCGAGACTTTGGAACACATTAACTCCTTTTCTAATTGAGCTAGAATGTTCAAACTTGGTGTAGGTGTTTATTAGGTTAATGTCTTGATGGAGTTCGAAGATGAGCATTTTGTGCTTAGGTTAAGCAGAGATAAGCAATTTGATTGGTCGAGACTTTAGAACACAATAACTCTCATTCTAGTTGAGTTAGAATGTTCACACTTGGCATAGGTGGCTATTAGGTGAATGCCTTGATGGAGTGTGAAGATGAGAATTTTTTGCTTAGAGTAAGCAGGGATAAGCAATTTGATTGGTTGATGCTTTGGGACACGATAACTTTAGATCTAATTAAGTGAGAGTGAGGACACTTGGTGTATAGCTTTATTATATCATTACCTTGACTAAGTTTGATAATGAGTATTTTCTGCTGTCATGTCATGGCTGAGTTCAATTATTAACATTGGTCGATGCTTTGGGACAAGATAACTTTGATTCTATCTGATAGAGAGTGCTGAAACTTAGTGTATAATTTGATTGCTCGATACTTTTGAAAAAAATAAATGTGCGATTAATTAACGTGTCATCTATTTATTTTGGGATTTCGGCGGGGGACATCAGCCTCACTGTTGGCTTGTTATATTTGAATTGTTTAGATGTTGTTGATAGTTCTGGATTAAGGATGTACTTTACACCTACACTAAGAAAATTTGATGGCGATATAATGCAGACCGGAGTTGCTGTAGACTCCTTGCAAATGATACCACCAGGTTATGCCAGCTTCTTATCTACTGGTTACTGTGGCGTTGATTGTACTAACAGGGTATGTTTGTATTCTGTGTCCTAGTTGGTGCCAAAAAAAAAACAATTTCATTTCATGTATTTGTATGAAACAATCACAAGTCCCAACATTTACAGTAGTAACAATAGCAACACCCAAATTTTATCAATTTAGAAAAAAATATTTTAATTGCAACCGATTATCATTTTTAATATACACAGAGACTGGAGGATGGGACGTAAAATTATATTTTCTGGTATTATGTACGAAAACAAAATATCATAGTCTCGTATAAATATACAGGTCACAATTCTATGGAATACAATTACTGCTTTTTACTTTTCGAGAAGCCTAGTCGAAACGTCGCTCAGTAAAAAGCAGTAATTGTATTCCATAGAATTGTGACCTGTGTACCCTAGTTTAATTACTAAATGCCATTGAAACAGTTTCTCGTATAAATAATATTATGTTTTGAATTGCACGAATACCAAAGGCATATTAATTATAGATTGATCAGAGTCACTTTGGATCAGTGATTCTTAACCAGTGTGCCGCGAGATCTTCCTATGTGTGCCGCAGAATTTTGAACGGCACACTAAGAAAATGCGAAAAACCACATGATAATATTGAGTATTCACTGGTGTCTACTGATAAGTTCATAGCTGTGTTTTTCTTTATTTAGTTCGAGTCATTATACGTGTCTAACTTGTCCCTGTCTACAGTTGTATGTCGTATGACTTGCCATGTTTTTATTTTGCAAAATTCAAATATTTTTCATATATATTTAGCCAGGTGTACCTCTATGTTTTCACGTGTTCCAAGGTGTGCCGTTGGCAAAAGAGGGTTGAGAACCACTGCTTTAGATAGTAGTTACAGACGATGCATTTATTTGAAAATGCTCTTTACCATTACTTCTGGAATATACAAGCCTAGACTATCTTTGAAAAATCATAGTGGCATATTACTAACCGTACTGTATGGATGTCAATATTTTAACTTGAAATAGATATCCTCAAATCTTCCAAGCTACCAATGTACACTGACTTTTAAAGATACACTGTGTAAAATTCAGATAATGAGCTGACCTTTCTTGCTATAATAGTTTATAGATATTGAAATCAATATTGAAAATTTCATTCAAATTACTTCAGTCTGAGCGAAGTTAGCAATGTTTAAAGTTTTGACAAGAACGAGATAGAGAGCGAGAAATGGGGTTTAACGTCCACTCGACACAAACTAGGTTATTTCGGGACTAACACATGGTTCAATTTTTTATTTAAACAATTCGCTTGAGCGTAGGGGTCTTTAGCAGTGGGAGGAAACCGGAGAAAACCCACGAGGTTGGACAGGCGACCCTACTCCTTGTCACGTACAACCGGGGAATCGAAACCCCGCCAGTTAACTCAATGACAGACCGTGTGTTTTGACAAGATGTAGCGTCCGTAGATTGTTCATTATCGTAGTCACGGTACTTATCCATTATATCGTTAAATTTTCAAATTCTGCGGGAGTTCTAATCCATTTAAATCTTGGTCATTCGATTGTCCGGTGTGTTGGTTATAGACTTGTCAGGTGAATAAATCTGTAAAGAATAGTTTATATAACATTTGAAGCAAAATAAAGTCCAGCAATAGACAGATTTAGCTCTTAAATAATGTATATTTAATTGTATTAAAACAAATTAATATTTAAATGTGTTATTCAGGCTTTTAAAGATCATCCTGAGGGTGTCAAGGTATTTGGTATATTTCCACACTCACACCTGTTGGGTGAAGCTGTTAGATCACGTATTATCAGAAATGGTGTAGAAACTGTTATTGCAGATGATGAAAATTATGATTTTGATTATCAAGAATCACGTCTGTTGAGTAAGGAGGTCGTTATCAAACCAGTGAGTAAATGAAATGTTATAATTTATATTTTAGAAATATTAAAATGCCAGATACAATAATTTTACCCACACAATAAAGTACACTTATCCATAACTGTATTAGGCAGAGGCTTTTAAGGGTGGAGATGGCCAAAAATCTGGAAATCCATTATTTTCAGTATAAGGTTTTTACGAGGCACTATCTGTCGAATTTAATCAAATAATTACTAATAAATCAAAATACATTTTGCAGGAGCGAGTGTTGAAAACCACTATGTCTATGATTTGTATAGTATTTTATTTTTTTTAATGGCAGGCTGCAGTCCTTGTCAAACTACTGGTAAACTGTAAATGTTTTATATTGTGAATATTTTATTGATTATTATAATTACAGGGTGACATTATAGAAACTGAATGTAGATATAAATCTGATGATAAATCTACTGTTACACTCGTAAGTATTATCTAAGTTTATACCCTTAAAGATACATTCCTACCAAAGTATTTATGGTGTACATGTACATGTTTATATATGGAAAATACAAACACCCAGTCTGAACCAGAGCTTGCCAGGCAAGATACGCCCACATTTTGCAAGAGATGGATAGAGAAGCTAAAAACAAAAGCGATTTTTCGTAAAATCAGGGCCCATAATCCAGAAAGTTGTGGTCTGAAGTGTGCCAATATCTAAAGAGGCTGAGATCTTTGGGACATAAAGATATATTTTCAGTTTCATCAAAATCGGATAAAAATTGTGACCTCTAGAGGGTCCACAACCTTTGTATTACATACTTTTACACAATTCGCCTACAAAGAGGGGCCATTTTGTCGTAATGGTGATATATTAAAACGGTTTTCAAAATCGGATAAAAAATTGTGGCCTAGAGAATCCGCAAGCTAAAAAACACGATTCTTCGTACAACCAGCGGCCATAATCCAGGAAGTTACGGTCTGATATGCGCAAATAACGACAGAAACCTAGATTGTTTGAACATAAGCATATATTTTAAGTTTCATCAAAATCTGATAACAATTGTGACTTCTAGAGGGTCCACAACCTTGGTATAACATACTTTTACACTATTTGCGTACAAGGAGCCGCCATTTTGTCAGGCAGTTTTGGTCCGATTTTCACGAAATTGGAACTTAATCGTCATTAGTTGTAACGGTGATAAATTGAAACGTTTTTTAAAATTGGATAAAAAAAATTGTGACCTCTAGAGGGTTCACAAGCCAAAAACGTGATTTTCGTACAAACAGGGGTCATAATCCAGGAAGTTACGACCCGATATACGCAAATATCAACAGGAACCATGATCTTTGGATTATAAACATATTTCAAGTTTCATCAAAATAGGATAAAAAGTGTGACTTTTAGAGTGTCCACTCCACAATCTTGGTCTTAAATACTTTTACACTATTTTCGTAAAATCAGGGGCCATAATCCATGAAGTTATGGTCCGATACATGCCAATATCGAAAGGAACCGAGATCATTGGGAGACAGACCTATATCTCAAGTTTCGTCAAAATCGGATATAAATTGTGACTTGTAGAGTGTCGACAAACAAATTGTGGACAGGGGCGGCGGCATAATACGTCCACATGAAAACGTGGGCGTATAAAAACACCCATGGGACGTCCGCCGGGGAAAATGTAAGGGTATTACTGACAGCCCATTGGCTTGCCTGTTCGAATGATGTAGATACCCTTTCATGGTGTCGATAGAATAGATATCTATTATGAGACAGCGAGGGACTTGAAGTCACGTGACAGACACAGATGTTTATAATAGATTTCTACGGCTTGGTGCAGTTTCCTAATTAAAATGTTTTGAGACGGATTTGAGCAAACTTTTGATAAATATATTAGTTTAATATGTTTTATCTCAAAAATATCATCAAATCACAGTTTTTGCTGTGGGAAGGCATGTTTTTGTTAAACCCTTTGTAATTTTAATGGTGAGTTGAGTGGTCTGACATATACACTTTAGATTATAAGGTCTGTAATTGAGTCAAGTGACACGGTTTCGATCTAGAACTGACCTGGTGTGTGTCAAGTGGATATCAAAGCCTTCTCTCTAGTTATTTTGGGCAAGAGATTGTCACATGGCAAGTGTACACTGAAATCACAACCAGAATGTCCTGAGTTTTATTCCTGGTAATTCTGAGAGTTAAAATTTTAGTACCATTTTCTGGTTGTCATTTTTTTTCAGATCGATTCAGTTATAGTACCTTTTTTTTCTGGTTGCCAATTTTGCTGATGGAATCAGTTACAACTATTCTGTTAACTAATTCTTAAATATTTTTTTTTTTACATTGTTTCCCACAGGGAGGTTTGTCAACCAATGAAGAGATGTGTTTAGTATTTTTGATGTACTATCCACGTGTTGATATAGGACAGTGTTCGAGCTTACCTATATACGACATGTATCTGAAAAATGGACCAAATAATGAAAACGTTCGTAAGATGATTAAAGATCTTGGAACTATGGACTGGACCAATAAAACAATCCAAGATCAATTTTCACAATCCACTCAACAATCACGTCACTATTACACATGTATAGGCAAAGAAGGCTATTCCTCGGTAAGTATTGGCTTAAAAAGTCCACTCACACTTTAATGATTTTTCATTGTCAATTTCTTGCTGTGACATTCCATTGGCGATTAGTGCTGGATTTAGATGAAAAGAAGCCCCAGACTATTCCATTTGTGAGACCCCTTTCAATCCCCAACCCTTACATCTAGAAGATGATGAAAGTGTATTTTAACACATTTTCCAGCAAATCCGAGGATAATGACGGATGTTTACGGTGTGTATAAGAAAGACTTATGGCAGATCTTGAGCCCTATACTTGAGCCTAGCAAGCTTATAGATAAATCTGGTACTGTCAACGATTGGCTCACATTGTGGCTTATATTAAAGTGTGCATTCAAAAAAGCTTTAACAATGCTGACAGTTTTTCAGAGATGATAAAAAGGCTGTATTTCATTCTCTATTTTCTAACAATTACACTAAAAACGATCAGCTATTTATTTAAAGGCTCAATACCAGTCTTCTTGTAACAGAATAATATGTCCCAATCTTTATTCTGGTCAACAAATTGTACTATTACAGTATTCCAATTAATTGATGATACAAATTTCATCTTAACACACCTAATTTAAAAAATTGGAAAAATTCAACTAAATGATTTGAAAAGCCTAATGTAAACCTTTTCAAATGTGACTTGGATTTAAAAATATTTTCGAACCCTCTGGACAAGTAAAATAGGATGTAATGGATAATTTACACAACAGGTAGGACACTTAAACATCTAATACTTAGAATAAGGTTAATATTTATTTACTGGAGCTGTCAAGCCAGCAAAGGTGTTATTGTCCCTTTAAATCTTACATAATGCATCTTCAAATTTTAAAATATCAAGAAACATCCGTAGTTATTTCATTATTTCCTTTCCTTGTTCAGTATCAGAGAACAGAGGGTGCTCCACCTACCATATCAAAGAAATATGTTCCCAAAGATGTTTGTTCCGAGAAGGTCTTAATTGGTTAATCTCTGGAGAATAAAGGATGGAATTGATGTACATGGAAACGGACTTTGAACTTAAACCTTGCATTGTGTGATCTACAACTGAACTAAACAACTGAATTAATTAATTGTTAATAACTGTTGAAGTTAAAAGATGACCAATTTTTTAAATGCATCACATGCCTCGTGATCTTAAATAATCTCAAAAAATATGTGTTGATGTTTTTTGCAATATAAATAGTGCACTGAAATTTTTATATTAATATATATTTTTCATATGTTTAATTGAAATGTTACAATTATTTCTCTATTAAAAATGAATAAAGTGCTTTCACAATATTTAAGTTTGCAAGTGATTCAAAATACTGTAAATGACAATCAACAGCATGAACACAACTATCACAAAGACATTAGTGGATGTGGCAGCACTTGATTCAATGATCCCAAACATTACTTCTTTTATGTATGTACAAAGAAATAAACGAAAAACCTACAAAATATATTTTATTCCAGTAAGAAAACAGATGAGATCTTTAGCCTACTTTTAACTTTTCCATGGCATCCAACAAGTTTATTTCAGATTTTTTGGTAGCATTACGTTTAATAAACCTATTCAAAGTCCCAACATTTTCTTGAACTGTTTTAATAAACTTATCTGAAGGACACACAGCATCACTTTCTAGATTAAGTCCGAAGACAATATCGTTAACTTCGTCGTCAATATTCACATGATATACAGAAGTAAAAACTGTTTTAATACGCGTCATTAACTCTTTCTTTAATTCTTCATCTCTACAAACCAGATTTAACACAAAAATACCTAAAAATAAATCAAAGAAACTATCAACACAAAATGAAATGGCGTTAAAAATTCTACTTTTCCGCTCCATTTAGTCTAATGAAGATGGGTGTATGCCATGCTGTGTGCTATGATGAAATTTTGTCCAGACGGCGGTACTACTGCTTATTTTGAATTCCAACTCTCAAGGTTTATTTTACATGCACGCCAATGTGTACACAGCCTCTTTATTTGTCCTGAAGAATGACTAGACATTGTTCCTTGCCAGGCGCTCCGTCATACACCACTGATAAATACACCATGCCAGAAATTATGAAAGAAACCTTCTTTGTCAACACAGGGATTATACCTGCAACACCCAGAGACATCTCAGCCCCAAACAACTTTATAATAACCTATGGACTGTAGTCTATGAATCTAATTTTTATAATGAATTAACCACAACTACAGATGTTTTCTTTAATTATTTTATGAGTTTTATCTTCTCTAGGAATGTGTATCTATTTTTACTGTCTCTGCTGTATGTTTTCTCCTGTCTGTGTTTTGTTGTGCAGTTATCCTCATCTTTTAAAGGGAAGAAGAAGCACTTCTAGTCACAGATAACAGTCACTTGGGAGAGTGTGTATCAGTTCAAAGAAAGGATTCTTCATCCCAATTATTGTTTTTAAATTGTACATTAGACAAGCCTGGAAATATGTCACCTGTCACAGACAATGTCGGACACAATCCCTCTGGTCCTACACAGATTTGTCTATATTAAGATATTACAGAATGAATATAACATACCTAATGTTGAAAGAAGAGCTGAGACTTTCAGTAAGAAATCTTTTTCTAAAAACACTGCTGGTGGACAGGTCAATCCTACAGTTGCGTCTTTACTATCAATATCAAACATTATTACATCATATTTCTTACCTATATAATATACATAAATATAGATATACTATAAATAAACTTTTTCGATATTCCTTATCTATATAATATACACACATATAGATAGTATACTATAAACAAACATTATTACATCATATTTCTTACCTGTATAATATACATAAATATAGATATACTATAATAAATAAACTTTGTTATCGATATTCCTTATCTATATAATATACACACATATAGATAGTATACTATAAACAAATATTATTATGTTAATGAAATGAATAACTGAAGCTATAAAAGATTTATTTATAAAATATCGAATTGTATGGCTACCTCAATAAACTCTATACAAGTTATGACATATACAAGGCAGTATGTGCTGAATCTTACTGGATCACTATGGGTCATAAAAATGAAATTATAATGGCTATCAACCTACCCTCATCACAAGCTGTCTTAATAAAGTCTATACCATTATCTACATGTACTTTAAGATTATCGCCATCTTTAAAACCAAACCATTGTCTAGCAATATCGACAATAGTAGGATCTATATCTACTACATCTATATTAGTCTGTAAATATAAATACTTATATAAATATATACTCCATGACTCACATTTCACAATGTTTACAGTCAAGCATCTTTTGGTTGCGAATTTCTTACATAAGTTATACATAAACCCCATCATAATCTGAACAGGCAGGATTTGTGCATAGTCCATGAGAATAAGGTACAATTAAATGGATTCTTTCTAAGAATATATGAAAGAAGAAATATTTACCTTAGTTAAATGTTGATGTAGAAAACATGGTAAAGCACCACCACCTAAACCTATTATTAAACATGTAGCACTAGGTTCTGTAATAATATAACACAGTAAATATTATTAAACATGTAGCACTAGGTTGTATAATAATATAACACAGTAAATATTGTTAATAAACATGTAGCACTAGGTTGTGTAATAGTATAACTCAGAAAATACTATTAACAAGCCAACAGTGAGGCTGATGTCCCCTGCCGAAATCCCAAAATAAATAGATGACACATATTAATTAATTGCACAATTATTTTTTTATTTTTTTCAAAAGTATCAAACAATCAAACTGATTATTAACTATACCCTAAGTTTCATCACTCTCTATCAGATAGAATCAAAGATATCTTGTCCCAAAGCATCAACCAATGAAATTGCTTAGCTCTGCTTAGCTTTAGCTCAAAATGTTAATCATTGAACTCAGTCAAGATATTCACCTAATGAACAACTACATCAAGTTTAAACATTCTACCCAATTGCTTATCGCTCCTTAGCCTAAGCAGAAAATTCTCATTATCGAACTTAGTCAAGGTAATGATAAGATGAATCTATACTCAGAGTTTCATCACTCTCACTTAATTATAACCAAAGTTATCATGTCCCAAAGCATCAACCAATCAGATTGCTTATCTCTGCTTACCGTAAGCAGAAAATGCTCATCTTCAAACTCCATCAAGACATTCACCTAATAGACACCTACACCAAGTGTGAACATTCTAACACAATTAGAAAGAGAGCTTATTGTGTTCCAAAGTCTCGGCCAATCAAATTGCTTATTGCTCTACTTACCCTGAGCAAACAATGTTCATTATCGAACTAAGTCAAGGTATTGATGTAATGAAACTATACACCAAGTTTCATCACTCTCACTTAATAAAAACTAAAGTTATCGTGTCCCAAAGCATCAACCAATCAAATTGCTTATCTCTGCTTACCCTAAGCAGAAAATGCTCATCTTTGAACTCCATCAAGGCATTGACCTAATAAACACCTACACCAAGTTTGAACATTCTAGCTCAATTAGAAGGAGAGTTATTGTGTCCCAAAAAGTGTGACGGACAGACAGGCGGACAGACGGACGAACCCATTTTAATAGTCCCCTGCTTTCTTCGAAAGGCGGGGGACAATTAACATGCAGTACTAGGTTGTGTAATAATATAACACAGTTAACAGTACAAAGATGAGTTAAATTTTTGTTTCATTTTGCAAGGAAAGGCAAGGTGTCAAGCACAACTCTGTGTCCAAGAAAAAAAAAGCATTTCTCAGTGCCGCAGTAAGGAAACTTAGATATTTAATAATTGTATTTCACATTAACAAAGAAGTTTTGACTCACCCTTGTTATCATCTATATTTGGCAAAAAAGCTAATCCACCAATCATTGTAAGATGATGTTGACAAGCTAGATAACTGTTGTCAATTACCATTTCATCACATTTTGATTTATTCCTCTTTTTACTTTTTATAGCACTTGCTGAAAAAATAGTATCGAATTTTCCATTGAAAATAAATGTATCTTTAAATCCATCCCACCTGGTATTTAAAGGCTCAATACCACTCTTGTTGTAACTGAATAATATTTCCCAATCTTTATTCTGGTCAACAAATTGTACTATTTTAGATTATTTCAATTAATTGATGATACAAATTTCATCTTAACACACCTTATTTAAAAATTTTGAAAAATTCAAAATAATGCGTTGAAACGTCTAACGTAAACCTTTTCAAATGAAACTTTGATTTAAAAATATTTTCGAACACTCTGGACAAGTAAAATAGGATGTAATGGATAATTTACACAACAGGTAGGACACTTAATCATCTAGTACTTAGATGGAGATATTATTTATTTTCTGGAGCTTTCAAGCCAGCAAGAGTGTTATTGTCCCTTTAAGTAATATCTAAATTATTTTCAACTTATTCGATCTCAAACCATTAAACCTGAAGCTTCTTACCCATATCTAATTTACCAAGAGATCTTCACCTGCCTAACCTTGTGAGTTTGCAACAGGTACTCTATTTCAGTTCCAGGTCTTTCCAAACAACCATGTGCACAAAATATTTAATGAATATACCCAAAGTTAGACTTGATAAGACCTGGATGGTGTTGAGTAGATGTTTAACACCCTTTCTCTCTCTCACCATTGTTACACAGACCGCTAAAATGGGGTGGGTGGGGGTTGGGGGCGTGGTTTTGATACCTTGTCTGTCCAGCCTCATGGGTTTTCTCTGGTTTCCTCCCACTGCTACAGACCCCTATGAACAAGCAAATATATGTTAGTCCGGAAATGACCTAGTCTGTGTCAAGTGGACGTTGAACCCCATTTCTCTCTTTCTCTCATTCCGATGTTTTACTCTTATCATAAATATAATAGAATGCAATATATGTCATGCATAGGGTTAAAGGAATGTTTGGATTACTCTGGAATATATCCAAAGGGTTAATAGTAAATTTTGAACAATTAATGGATCTTCACATAATTTCGTACCTTCAACTAAACGGGCTTCAGACTGTATGAGATTCTCATTGCTTAAAAATATAAGGCGCCTGAATGTTTCTGCCTGATCAGTAGTTACATCTTCTACAATACATTCACCGCTTATATCACTAATATATCTCTGTCTGATATTACGTTGACCTATATCACCTCCTATTGATAAGAACGGTACCTACAAATATAATACATGGCTTGTTGACTAAAATCAAGCATCTACGATAATCAATACCAACATTATCAACCTAAACGTGGCATGAATCTGTGTCATTAGAATTTTATCTTCAGCGTGAAACAATTTACTGATACATATACTTATTGGTGTGGTAAGTAGGCTAGTTTTAGCAGCATTTGGGTAGCATATTGTCATGTTAGGGCAATTCCTGGACTAAAACCAGTATCATCTTGATTTTTGACAAGTTCACATTAATTATACATGTTACCAGATATTAAATATTTTCATTAATTTTCAAACCAACATAATCAGAACATATTATAGCTCCATATTATATAGTGCTTACCTTTGTACCAGATTTGTAAGAAGGGGGGGCTAACTCCATGACTTTTCCAGATAACTCTGACTGTATACTGTCTATATCATTATATGAATGATTTCTATCTAGTGTAACTACAACCAATCGTTGATAACCAGCACTATCTGATAACTGCAGTCTTCCTTTATCCGTACTAAATAACCAATCAGTTTCTCTGAAAATAAATTAATGTATAGAGTGATTTTATACATTATTGTTATGCATGTATTAGTTTGCTGAGTTTGTTCCACAAAATATACATCTGATTTCTAATTCGGACTAAATTTCTACAAAATGTATTTTTTGTCATTTGATATAAAAGTTGTTGTTAATTTTCTCTTATGCTATAAAATTGAAGCATAGGCTATAAAAACTGGCTCTAAAACTCAACTGCTCAGAGTCTTTTAGAAGAACAATGAACTGTCTATCACTTCCAGTTTTGTCATTCTACTCTAATATTTGGATAATTAGTCGTATTCAAAGTCCTCCCTTTCTGCCATTTTTAAACAGACTGTCTAAGAAACTTGCACTATAGGGAATGGGGAAATAGTGAAAATCTGACAAGGGTCCACTAATTATTCTACTTTTATTGAAATAAATATATATCTGTGTAAGTTACTGACCTGCCTTGTGGAACTATAAATATAGCAAATTTTTTTGAATATTGTTGAGTACTATCTACTATAAATAGTGTATATCTTGGTGTGTTAGCTAGTTCATTATATAAAGATAGCGATAGTTGATGATCACTCATAGAACTGAAAACAAAATTAAAATCATACATTTTAATAAGCAGTGCAGAAAAAATGCATAATTATTATTATTATTATTACAGCATATTTATAGTGCGCCCTTTCATATAACATGTTCAGGGGCACTTTACAAACACATGGTGTATTCAGTTTGTTTATGAGAGGGAACTGAATCTATATGTAAGTTGAAATAATTTGTTGACAATATGAACAACTACAGTACGGTACAGGAAATCATAAGCTACAACTAGCATTGAAAAATGGACTGGTAATAGAATTAAGTCAGTATACTTTTATAACTTAATTATAATAGTATGTAAGTAAGTAATAGTCCTTTTAACAATATCATGAATTTAGATATATGTAGTGTAGCCTATATATTGTAAAATGTTAATTTTCTAAAACTCACTTATTGCTTAGTTGTTCTCTTAATATGCCATAATACTGCATTTCTTTAACTACCTTAGTTAAACCTTCAACTGTTTCTAGCCTCTCTATTTTACTCTCAAATGTAGAAACTTCTAATATCTAAAATAAAAAAAACATAGCATAAAATTCTGTATAATAATTCAATTGAATGATGAAAGTTTGATATTATTTAATCAAAAAGACTGAAAGTCACAATACAAATTCCAGTTTCTTTTGAAGCAATTTTTTAAAGAGGTCGTAAGTGCAGGAGAACCATACACAAAAAACAGAAAATCACAAGTCGTGGCAAAGTTAAGTAGTTGACTGCAACTCAAATATGGAACAAAAAACAAAAGGATATTTAATTCAAACAGCCTACTGAGCAGAGGCCTAAAAACCACTCCAGACTACACACCTGTTTCATGCCTTCTATTTTTTTAAACTTTGTACAAACGACGGCAAACACTGGCAGTTGAAACTCAGATGTACTCTCTGTATTTATACGATGGATTCTGATTGGCCAACCACTAAAATAAATAAAATACATGTAAATTAGTTATTCATGATGTAAACATAGTTACAGATACGTAAATAAAAATATCTGTCTAAATTAGTCAGAACACTAGGGGTGTTCAAATGGAATTATCTCCCTTTAGTCTCTCAATTCCTGAAACTTATTCATCTCCAAGGCAACACACATAGCTTAAATTGTTTCAATGGCATTTAATAATTGAACTGGAAATACAGAATTATAAATATACTGCCCCATCACAATTTATATTCTACCATGTTGCTCATAATCAAACAGTATCTATATGTTGTTGTTGTTGTTAGTTAGTTGTATTTTACGTCCGCTTCCACCGAGGTGATATCGCAGACAGTATCTATATTCCACACAAACATATATCAGTCAGACAACCATTTAATTTGAAATTTAATCTTTTGAGTATTTTAAACTACAGTCAAAATATCTATTTCCGAATAATGCTTAATGTTAAATATATGGCAGATATAATGTAAGTGTAAATACTATAAGGAACTTTAAATTACCTGTCAGTAAAATATGAAAGTAATTTTTTGAGGATATGATCTTGTAATAAACTGATACAGATATATCTTCCACCTAGTTTTAATACTCTCATAATCTCACTAAACATCTTATTAATATTATCAACAACCTCAGCTTCTGTACTGACCATTAATGCATCTAAAGTGCCTTTATCTAAAACTACAGAAAATTCACCTTCTTCACATGGCATCTATATAAATAGAAAATTATAACATATTGATTTCCACTATCATCATCTCTGCCATCGCATTATTATAGTGCTAAAATTTCATCCAAGTAGCTGCGGTGTGGGATGATTTACCTAATACTACCCAATACCACCACATACTACAACATAATGATGCAAAATGGACATATCATTTAATTCTTTTCAAAAATAGAAAGTTATATTCGGGAAATGTACTTCAAATGTGATGCCGATGTTTGGCTGTTCCATTTGCCTCCCTATATCACCCAAAACAAGCAAATAATAACCCAATACTACCAAATTCTCATCAAATACTACTCAATATGATCAAATAACAACTTAATATTGTCAACAACAGCACATTAGTGTAATTAATGCAACGACTATTCGATATTTTGCAGAAAATTGAAATGTTTACCTAGTTATCTCCCTATGCAATCGATAAATAGATTTTAGATTGCTACTCATGCAGGTTCATCATCTTTTTTGGCTTTGCAGTTGTTTTCCAAAACAACGAAGTTAAAACAAGTATTTTGTTGTGTATATTTCAATCATTATGTATCGTTAAATCAAAAATCGCTAACTACTGTATTATTATATAAGATGGATGGCCATAAACAATTTTGACGTAAAGTCTCCCTTTCACTATTCTGCTTAAACATTTACATCTCTGTTGATTTCTTTTATGATCAAACAAAACAAAACCCGATACCCAATCAACAATTTTAATCCCGTTGATTAATTTTTAAGTCAGGTAGAATTTATATACGTGTAGAGCATTACACACTTGTAATGAACATGTGCAATTTCGTTAATTTTAAAAGAAACCATCGACCATTAAGTAAATATGCAATGATTTAATAGTTTACATTTTTTTTAAACTTCTTTTGAAACTCTTATATTTTATTTTATATATTTGATATGCTTTAAAAGGTGTAATATTTGTCTATTCTTCTGTACATGTGTTGATAAAATTATGCTTTTAAAGTGTAATATTGAATAATATAACCTCAATGAAAACGATAACTATATCCGGGACATCTGATCTGTAATAACTTTTTGTTATAGCCACTGCTTGACGATACCCATGGAGGGGTTGAAGTAGTTTGTTGTCTTGGAAACCAACTTCAAAGCCAAAGAAGATGATTAATCTGAATAGCAATCTAAAATTTATTCATCAGTTGAAAAGGGAGATAACTGCATTTGAATTTTCTGCAAATTATCAATTATTTGTTCCAGTTCCAGTAATTATACTAATGAGCTGTTATTTGACAATATAAGGTTGTTATTTGATAATATTGAGTAGTATTTGATAAGTATTTGGTAGTATTGGGTTATTATTTGCTTGTTTTGGGTGATACAGAGAGGCAAATGGAACAGCCAGAAATTGGTATCACATTTGAAGTACATTTTCCGCAATGTAACTCTCTATTTTCGAAAAAAAAATCAAATGATATGGCCATTATGCATCATTATGTTGTAGTATGTGGTGATATAGAGGTGGTATTGGGTAAATCGTCCTGTTGGTGGCTGCGCAGACACATAAATTTTTCTGACATGCTGTATTCTATCCAAGATGCTATTGGAAATTCAATTTATCCTTTATTTGAAAGTGTATCACAGAATTACATTATTTGTAAAATATCTTGGATATTTAAAATGTTAAGTTATTCTAATAATTTGTAATGCATAATATAATAGAATGAATTTCAGAATCAACATATCTTAAGGCCACACGAACAAGGGGATCATTTGACAACTAGCATCTTACAACAACAAAGTCAAGATTATTTCACACTTTAGTCAGTAAGACCATGGACCGTATTATATTAAGTAAGATCTATATGTATCTTATATATTACTAAGTTGCAAAATATCATCTATAAGGTTATAGTTACAATTCTTAATTGACGATCAGCAGATGCCCTCTGCCAATGTCTCGTCAATTATCAGCTGATATTTTTATTGAAGATCTGTCAGTCAAACTTGTGGCCATTCTCAATAGATTTATATAAATGTTAAGCTGTGAATTAATGTTATACCTGAGTAACATCCATTTTCACAAATGACATTTTTGATCTCTCTTTATTCTTGTCAGTCATTTGACGAATGACAACATCACTAACATCAATGTTAACCAAGTTGGTAATTCCGACATCATATAGATCTGCACTAAGTTGTGAATTACCACACCCCACAACCAAAATTTTATCTTTAATTTTAATATATTTATGCAACACACCACATAGTTGTGGATATTCTCCATACCTGGTCAATATATAAAGTAACAATTAAAATAAATGTTAAAAAATATCAAAGATCTAAACAGTCAAAATTATTTAATAAATTCCTACATTTGCCACGAAAATGATCTACTCAATAAGAGCACTTAAAAAGGCAATATGCAGAACTAAATTTGCCTGCAGTTTTACATCCCACCCTGGTCAACTAACAAGCGGGAACCACACTCGAAATAACGATCAGTGAAATCTTGTCGAAACATGTGTATATAATAATAGTGATTGTTATCCATAAAACTGTGTTGTGTTATATTACGTTTAATCTCTTAATGCCATTCAAAGATTATATTAAACATCAGTATGGAGATGTGGCAGTTAATCTAATCAAACAGGAAAATGTGAGGTGAAGTAGGTATGTTCTAGATAAGAAACCTCATCTCTCAACCCTCGTGTTTTGAGATAAGAGATGGTACTATATAGATTCACCTGGCAAAGTACGATGCAAATCAGATAGTATGGTACTTCAATAAGCAAAACTGTCAATTTTTTCTTCAAAACAACGATTGATTATTGTCATTTATTACACTTCTGCATACAATTAAGCATATAATCCTACCTGAGAGTATGTTCACAGATGAAGAACTTATTGCCTCAACAGAATCACTGAGCTGCATGTGAACGTGGAAGGGGTTCATTGTCAAATTTAACACTGCCGCTTTGATGAAAACTGCCGCTTGCTGGTTTATCCTATCCATGTTTGCTTTCCTATCGGTTCTTGCATAAGATTTACTGTTTAGTGTATCTTTGCTTTAGTGTGTTACATTTAATTTGATCGGGAGATGTGTTCGTCGACGTCAATGTCAACCGACAAGACTGTAAGAATTGGCCATGGCACTGCAAGAGGAGTGGGTCAGATTGCCCCAAATCGTGATTGGACGGTTGATTAGGAGCATGCCACGACGAATTGCTGAATGTCTGAGGATTGGTGGAGCAATTACTCATTATTAAGACAAAAATGAAAAATGTATCTCTTTGCGAGTGAAATGGGACCGTCAGTTAAGCCGCCCATATGAACTGTTTATGTTCATGTGTAGGCAATTGGTCTGTTATTAACATACACTCATTACACTGGTTACCTCTAATAAAAACAGTCGTGCATTTCCTCAGTTTTGTATTTTTTCTGAATATCCCCTACTTTTTTTGAAGAGTAAGCTTATATAATACTTTCGCATATTTAGACTGACAAGGGGGAAGAACACTAGAAATAACGACCAGTGAAATCTTGTCGAAACGTCGAGTGTATATAATAATGATGATTGTTATTCATAAAACTGTGTTGTGTTATACAGGAAATCCTGATGGACTTTCTAGGCCTACACCGTCCGTAATTGAAGATGGGATCTCCAGGTTAAAGAGCCAACGTCTTGACTCTTAGACTCACTACAGTGACTGAGCCACCACAGGCACTTAGGTGGCTCCCTAATTTGTGTTTAGTATCTATCCTGTAGGAACCTACCGATAACAACTCTTTAACTACACATTACTCTAGGGTCGGTATTAGTTCAGCTCTGAGCGTAGGTCTCATTACACTCGCCCTGTGCGCCAGGAACCGTCCTATTGAATCCAGTCAATTTTACTGGGCAACTTTTTACTTCTAAACGGTCGTGTGTCAATCTCTGCGAACGCCTGAACTATGTAAAGCAGAAGGGGGCGTAGTTTTTAACAGCATATTGTGTTGCACATACATTGTACTGACTCTAGCGAGTTAAGCAAGGTCTTATTTTCTCACTAAAATTAAAATTGACTGGGGGCTGATTTTTTTTATAGGACGGTTCCTGAACGTACAGGACGAGTGTAATCAGACCTACGTTCGGAGCTAAACTAGGTCGGTAGATTCTATCAGTACGACACTCAGGAAATCATAAATGTAATAAACAAATATATGACATACCATTCAAAGGTTTTAGAACCACGTCTCTTGAAAAACTTGTCCCAATATTCTGGAGAATCAAACTCTGTGTGACATTTTGGTAACAGGTCCATTCTAACCAACTTTTTCTTTTCGACTTCGTTACTGTAAACCTAAATCGTTTTAAAAGGCATTCGAATAACAAAATATTGACATTGCATGTTTTTCTATGTGGGCGCTGACATCTTTTTTTCAGCGCCGTCTATATATATATATATATATAGATATTCCGGCGCGAGCAACTCCTCCGTAAATTACTAAGGATTCAGACCACATTCATTTACCCAATCTCTCGATTTCCATCCCAATTCCCAATGGAATCAACTGCTAGTTTACGTATTATTACGGGCTATATATGAACGGCAAAATCCATTCATTCGAAGAAACAAAAGTACAACCAAAATTGTTTTCTTTGAGAAGTCAGGCGATAGGCTACTAAGTGCCCAAGAAAAGCTAGATAACAAACCTCACCTCTCAACACTCCGTGTTTTGAGATAAGAGATGATGCTATACATACTAAGCAGCAAAAGAAACTTCAGGTTGGTATGTTACTCTGAATAGACGCATTGCATAAAACTTGCCAAATGTTTTTTATTGTATATTTGTGACCACATCTCCAACTTTACCTTATATAAGGCTCCTTCCCAAATACAGAATTGAGCCTAGGAAATGTTCTCAAAAACGCAACCTGACTTCTGAGATGGTAATGTGTTCTCCATGATTTTCATGTAACTCACGCTGCACGTGCTGTTCACCGGGACCAGCCCTATAAAATGCACCCCCATACCCGGTTGAATCATTCACTCTACAACGTCAACAGCATGCCACGACTCACGACAGCTCAGAGGAACCACTCAACCAGGCGATTGGAAGACTCGACCAGAACTGGCGACACAGGCAATGAAGAACTGTTCTGTTCACAGATGAGAGTCGGTATTGCGTATCAACTGCAGACGGCAGGGCCAGAATATGGCGTCGACGTGACCAGCGTTATTCTGACCAATGTGTCATGGAACGAGACTCATGGGCAGGTCCAAGCATAATGGTTTGGTGTGGAATCGGCCTGAACCAGAGAGTGGGTCCTGTGGTGTTCTAAAATCTTGGTCCAGGGAGAGGAGGCGGCATCACAGCAGTGCGCTACATCGATCAAGCTCTCAGACCCCACGTGATACCACATTTCGCACGTCATCGAAACAACGTTTCCCAGCATGACAACGCCCGTGTCAACACTGCCAGAGTTACTCGGGACTTTCTACAGCAGATTAAAGTGCCTCTCTGATTATGAAATCGTACTGACGGTTGTTTTTTTTTTTTGGGGGGGGGGGGGTGGTTTTTGTGCTGTTTAGTATAGTTCCACGTAGCAAATCCCAACGCAAATCACATCGGGCCTCAGTAAGCAAAATTGATAATATTTTTCATCAAAACGACGATTGATTATTGTTACTGGGAACGCCATTTTTAGATGGGAGATGTATGACGGTGTATGTCGGATAAAAACAAGGCTTCATTATTTTTAACGTGAATATTTGGAGTTAGGCCATAGTTGCACCATTACATTGGCCCCTGTAAGTTTAATTAGGCATAATAGTATAAAATTATCTTACTTTAAAGATGTTACATGTATTAATAAAGAAACTGAGTTTGCCACTTGGAACTAAAGGCACCCAATCGTAGCTAAAAACAAGCACATCAGTATATCTCAACGTTTTAGCTACGTCCTCGTAGCTAAAGAAAAGCACGCATACCTTGCCTCGTGTTCGACATCCGTCACGGTTTACTACAGCAAACCGGAGTGATGGTTTGGACTGAATTTAACTCGGTAACATATCGAATTCAGTTAAGGGTAGTGCGGACTTGATTTACATAATATTATGCACTAATCACGAGTGGGGGGATGTGGGGGGGGGGGGGGGGTAAAGCATACGCGTTAAATCAAGGGGTCTGTCATCGAGTCAACTGGCGTGGTTTCGAAGGAGTAGGGTCGCCTGTCTAGCCGCGTGAGTTTAGCTCGTGCCTTCCGGTTTCCTCCCACTGCTAAAGACCTCTACGCGCAAGCGAATTATTGAAATAAAAAATTGAACCGTATGCTATTATATCAGAATAAGCTGTATTTAAACGTGTCGAGTCACTAGTTAAACGCCAATTTAATGAAACAAAAATCCCCAAAAACACACCGCCATACACGAACGTTTTAATAGGGTTACCCGCATCCTCGCGAATCTCTTTTCTGACTCTATATACACCTAAACAAATTTAAAAGCCAGAATATCTTGCGTGTGGGGTGATGTTAAAATATACAGCCTTTGTTTTCGCAAGCCAGGATCGGGAATGGTGTAGTTTGTTCTAACATAATAACTTGTTAACCTGTGGGGAGTAAAGGTAAATAAAAAAAAAAACAAAACAAAAAAACAAAAAACACCCGCACCCGCATAGGCACCGCCATACACCGCCATTTTAAATATGGTTACCCATACTAATAAAATCGCATCCTCGCGAACCTCTTTGCTGACTCTATATATACACCTAAACAACTTTGATAGCCAGATATCTTGCGTGTGGGGTGATGATAAAATAATTATGCAGCGTTTGTTTGGGAATGGTGTAGGTTGTTCTAACATAATAACTTGTTAACCCGTGGAGACTAATCAATGAGTATGGCGCTCTCTCATTAACCAAGACTTTCCGGTTTCGATCCTGGTCGGAATTTTCCAGTCTAGCCTTCCTTTATCGGTGGTGTAGGACGGAGGGCTTGGCAAGGAACGGCGTCTAGTTGTTTGAATGGGACGAACAACCGATGTATACCATTGGCAGTTGGAAATCAAAATAAAAGTAGGCCGTAGCACCCCTGCCGTGGCAACATTCGCTCATGCACACTGCATGGCACACATTAGGCCCGCCTTCATTATCCTGGTTGGTGAAAACACATAATACGCTAGCTAAACCCATTTCATTTTATTTCTCAAACCATGGCTTGCGATGACAATCCTCAACTGACCTTCACATCGACTAACGAAAGTTAATCTCGTATTTAGGCCGATTTTTTTTTCAATTTAAAGAAAATAAAATTATTAAAGTATCTTTATTAGATAGACTAGATCAATAAGATAATATCTTATTTAGAATAATACCGTATTCATCACGAACATCGTGATCGGGTAATTACCGTTTTTGATTCGCTTTTCAATAACAAGACCAGGGAGAAAATACTGATTAAGTTTAAAATTCTTGTAATCGTGTTTGTATATTTTTATACTAAATCAAAAGTATATACATATAAACAATATATATCTATATTCAGCTCCCTTCAGCCTTCCGACCTGGCATTGTCTTTGCTCGAACAAAAGAATCCAAGAACAGTGATGTTGTTGAGGTAAAACAAAGTTATCTAGATAAACAAATTAATCTTTTATTAATCCGATCAACAATCAAAAAAGAGATCAGGAATTGAGACACCGCTGAGACTTCTAATGGTTTGAGCTGTCAGAAAATAGAAGTTTCAAAAATATACTTACTGAAGCGAAAGAAGAATGCCAGGCTAATCGACAACTAATTCTTGTTAGTTCTTTTAGTATGACAACAAAGCTAATTATGCAAAACGACAAAGGAAAATACTTCATCAAAGATATTACCATTTTATAAGATCAACCATTTGCCTAATTATATTCATTCCACAATGTTTTCATGATAACCTTTAACCCCATCATGACGGTTCATATCACATTGACCAAATGTCTAAATATTATGAGCAGACGTCAACTACCGTTGTCTCTATCTACAAACAGGTTCGACGAAGCGCGTGATTCACTGAGTAAACTGTCGAAACATTGCCTAAATCAAACTCACGGATCACAATAATATCAAATCAATTGGCGCCCAGCTAATAAATACGTTGACTTGACTCAATTACAATTAATTGCTATTCAGACAATTGAAGTATAATTAGACGTTTGGAACACAAGTTACTCTCAATTTCCACCGCCAATACCAACCAACGTAATGTTGCCACACAGTAATTTGATTGTTTGAAGGAAAATCGAAGACGAGAGAGGAATTACTGCGTCGAAATATTTTTGATCGTAAGCTGTGTATGAAATGCTTGACTGATAGGGGCCAAAGGGGGCTATATTAAGAAAATGCCACATCAAAAAGTTAGCCAACAAGATAAGACATGATTGAGCGAATGGGATGCATTTGTGGTGGATTGAAGTTAAATCCTTTTCACCCCAATTACTAACTATTTTCTGTTGATTAGATTAATAGGCGATTGATAAGCCGAACATGAATAACGTTGATTTACCAATCCCAAGAGAATATGACTGATTGAGAAGCACAGCGAGTCTTTGTAACTTTCTTGTGTAGGAAACCGTTTGGTTTTATTGAAAATTTGTCGGCTACATCTAATGGTGAATGATTTGATTTTCCTCTATTCAACAGCCTCGTCAGAATTCGACAAGAAATTTGAATATTTTCTCATTTTCTTCTCCGGGCGGACATCATATAGGAAAACGTTTTCATATTGTAAATGGACTCTGATTATAGTTGCAAATAAACGAGGATTTAGTCTGAATTTATGTAATTAGGGAGCACTTCGTAATTGAAACTTTATTCAGCCAAGACTATCAATCTTCTCAAGACCAATTCTCAGTAAATTGCTATTTTTTTCATCTTCTCGTTTACATTTTGTTAAAAATATTTCCATAATGACATCTTTCAAATGTAAATCAAAGAGAAGATACTTTAAGTGATACTCAGAGAAACAAATTCTTTCTATTGAAAATCTTTACTTTAAAAACATAAATCAAAAAATAGCGAGTAGTGCATTGAGAAAATTAAATCCGAAAAAAAATTTAATATAAAGATTTTGACCATGATAAATAAACAGCTGGCAAAGAATTACAGTGAAGTTTGTTATCCATGCGAACTTCTCAAATAAGTCCGCAATGTCTAAGACGCCGTTCCTTTCTTAGCCATTTTGGTGGCTGCTGTGATGGTCGACGGCCAGTGCCAGATAGCCAGAAGATAGCATCTTGTTTTTTCTTCATTTTGTTTTATCAGACAGAGCGACCAAAATGACACTGTTTTGCCAGGCTTTTTCTTTTCTTTTAGTATTTTAACATATTATTTAGTGCTTGAAATGCCTTGCATTTTAAATGAGTCGCGTTCCCAAAGATGTGAACTCCTTGAGACTAATTT